ACGTTAAAAAAATTCACAAAAGTAATGATTCAAAAAAAGTGATAAGCAAAAACGTTTGTGATTAAAAAAAATTAACTGAAATTCAAAAATGTTAAAAGTGCTTAAAATAGTTCAAGAGTGATTCAAGAAAAGATAAAAGAAATTCAAAAAAGTTTAAAAGTGAATCAAAAAAGTTAAAAGTATTCAAAAAAGTTTAAAAGTGATTCAAAAAAGTTAAAAGAAATTAAAAAAAGTTTAAAAGTGATTCAAAAAAGTTAAAAGAAATTCAAAAAAGGTTAAAAATGATTCAAAAAAGGTAAAAGTGATTCAAAAAAGTTTAAAGTGATTCAAAAAAGTTTAAAAGTGATTCAAAAAAGGTAAGTGATTCAAAAAAGTTTAAAGTGATTCAAAAAAGTTTAAAAGTGATTCAAAAAAGGTAAAAGTGATTCAAAAAAGTTTAAAAGTGATTCAAAAAAGGTAAAAGTGATTCAAAAAAGTTTAAAGTGATTCAAAAAAGTTTAAAAGTGATTCAAAAAAGTTAAAAGTGATTCAAAAAAGAAAAAGGTGTTTCAAAACTTTTTTGAATCACTTTAAACTTTTTCGAATCACTTTAAACTTTTTTGAATCACTTTAAACTTTTTTGAATCACTTTAAACTTTTTTGAATCACTTTAAACTTTTTTGAATCACTTTAAACTTTTTTGAATCACTTTAATCACTTTTTTGAATCACTTTAAACTTTTTTGAATCACTTTAAACTTTTTTGAATCACTTTAAACTTTTTTGAATCACTTTAAACTTTTTTGAATCACTTTTACCTTTTTTGAATCACTTTTAAACTTTTTTGAATCAAATTTCACTTTTTTGAATCATTTTAAACTTTTTTGAATCACTTTTAATTTTTTGAATCACTGTATATACATTTTGTTGAATTTTTTATTATATTTTGTATTTGTGTACATAATAATAATTAAAATATGGCTTACATTGTGCCCTTTCGTACGAGGCGTGGATTTTACTGGCAATGATTACAAATTTTTGAATGCTTTTTAGTACTAAAAATTGACTGGACTTACAATGACTTTGTATTTTCCAGATTTGGACGTGGTTTCCTTACCGCACCTTCCCCTGTAGAACTTCCAAGGAGAAAAGGATGGCTCCCTATAACAATAAAATAGCTATTTTCAAATGTATATAAATTGTGACTGAAGGTGTCTTTGTTAATAAATTTACTGAACATCAAAACTTTACCTTTCAATCCATGAAGAACTTGTCACCGTCCCATTTCTACAAACCATGGGCAACCAAAGTGATGAATTAACCACATATGAAAACGTGGTAATCTTTCATAACGACTGCATGGTGTCGACACAGCATCAGGATTATTGGATGGCGTACCCCTCCATCTCCAGAAACTTGTCGGCAATCGAAGTGAATTGACTAAAAAAAAATTCATCGCCTGGAGGTCTCCATTTTGAAACCCATGTGGTAACCTTTTCGAACGACTGGACCGTGGCATCGGGATCGATTTGATGCCCTACCCCCCCATCTCTCTCTAGCATAAGATGCAATGGAAGTAGGATTTTTGATTGAGAGGTCTGATCGAAAAAGTACGAATTGTTTTGGATTCTACGCACCAAAATTAATAAGAAAAAGTGTTTTCCCGAGAAATTTTGGTGCAGTCGATTTTTGGTAAAAAAGGAAGGTTATACACTGCCTTCTTTTGAGTCCCGACGTCTAATCGAAAAAGTACGAATCGTTTTGGATTCTACGCACCAACATTAATAAGAAAAAGTTTTTTCCCGAGAAATTTTGCAGTCGATTTTTGGTAAAAATGGAAGGTTATACACTGCCTTTTTTTGAGGCCGGAAAAAAAATTGTCTCAGATCGACCCGGAAAAAAATTTTCTTATAGAATGTGGCCTGTAGAATCCATAATTTCAAACAGTTCCAAGATTGGGCTACTAGTTCAAAAATTACAGCCCTTTGTATTTTTTTTCGAAATTAGGAGTGGTATCATCAATCAAGCGATGGCCTAGGGCCCCATAAGACGTTATGGAAAATTTTCCGACGCGCCTCTGATGTGAGTACTGGGTGGGAGAGGGACGTCATCTTTAAAAACTGAAAATCTAACTATTTTGAATGCTTTTTTATGTAGATTACGATGACATGAATACAATTTTTTATAATGTCTTTAATTTTTGACAGCTGTTTTAAAATCGCCCATTTCACTGCTCCCCCGTTATTTGGCGTACCTATAGTGTAAGAAGCACACACAACGCAAATGTGCCTTTAGAAATAAAAATAACATCATGTAACTGCGATATAGAGAAATAGATGCTACATCAGCTACATACCTATGTACTAGTATACAGTGATATTTAAAAAGTAGACATAGGGATTTAAGTGTGATATTTTCCCTGTGTCCACTTTTAAATAACAAAATCTCTTCCGAAGGGCGCCTAATTTTATGCATCCAAAATAACTTTTTAAAACAAATAAAGATCTGCCATCTGCCATGTAATTAAATCGGATATTGTTCCTTTGGCTTCACAGAAAACCTCTTATATTCTGTATATACACTGTACATATATCCTAGTACCCTGTGTAAATAGATCGAGATCGTAATATTAGCGCAATGAAAACATTTGAGCCCCCCCCCCCCCACATTTTTAAATAATGTGAAATTTATTTTTGATTATGCTATAACCACATAGGTACATTAAATGATTGGGGCGTACAGATCCTAATGAAGGAGTGGTATCCCTTTCAACGGGAAAGCAGTAGACATCAAACAGCATTGTGATCACTCGATGGCGTGACTCCCACATCTTTTCTGAAGCCCTGTTGCCAGAATTGAGGCGGGCCCCTAGTTATTTGTTCTTTAATAAACCACTACTTGTTATCAAAAATTTATATTATGTATCAATGCGAAATATATGGTACCTATACCTTTTTCTACAACCTCCCAGAAAATGACATCATTTAGTTAGAGGCATAATATAGCACCCGTCGCGGAAACGTGCGCAATTTTGCTACTCACCTGTAATACGCAATTACGAGGTGACGGTCGCTTCGTCACTGTAATATAGTTTAGGCTCAAGTTGTAAGCAGAAGCACATCTAGTGTGGAGCAGGTAAGCCACGTGCCCTGAGCGGCTTTTAAAAAGGGGGTGTTAAAATCGCCAATTAATTAAAAATCAAAATAAATCACAAAACGAGATTGTATCAAACAATTCCATGGAATTAGTGGTGGGCGCAAAAGGTGCTGATAAAGGATGCACTTGTTCATTTGCAAGACAATTAATCCCCACCGACAGATTGTTATTTAAGTTTAAAGCAAACCTGAGCAGTCCGCCTCCGACGTCTCTGTAGACTGGGATGTTGGAGGAATCAAACATGATGACCATAAAATTCAGTCAACTTCTGAGGACTCTCTGGTTCTCCTGTTCACCTATTAGCGTAGGCAAAGAGTACCCTGGTCCTATTGTGCATCCATAGCGTAGGATTACCCTCATCTGTGAAAGTGCCATAACTTTAGTACCATGTACGATAATTAAGAAAGAACTTTCAAATATTTATAACATAGAGACCACCCTACTTGTCGCATTCAATAGAGCATACTTGTCGTCATTCTGGAAATGTGATGAAGCAATACATTTTTTCACCCATTTGAACGCGTGTATGTATATTTGAGACGGGGTTTAGTATTAAAGTTTGCTTATTTGACGGTATTCATTGAAGTGGGATATAATCTTAGTGATCAATACCTGAATAGGGTGGTTCGACATTTGAGACGGGGTTTAGTATTAAAGTTTGCTTATTTGACGGTATTCATTGAAGTGGGATATAATCTTAGTGATCAATACCTGAATAGGGTGGTTCGACATTTTTTGTATATCTTTTATTCTAACTAAAATTGAGAGATTATATGTTATTAAAGACGACCAAAAAAAATTTTAGGGCAAAATATTGATATTTACGACCGCTGTAAGCATTTTAAAATCAGGGTCAGCGCGAAGAAACGTCCCTGTGCGCGATAGACTAGACCGCGTGACGTCAGTAGCCAAGACATTTGCCGCCGCGCTGGCAGAGTATACAAATTCACGTAAAATGGGACCGATTTGTTTATTTCATATTATTTTTGCACAATGCCGCAAGATTATCAAAAAGCTGATTCGCGAAATTTAGTTACCAAATGTGAGTGTGGAAATGATGCAAGAGTCGTATAATTCCACTACTGGACTGCTCTGAGGTTCATTTAAATTTTCATTAGCCAAAAACTCCATTTGCACATTGGGTAAATTTCGCGAATCAGCTTTTTTATACCCTGGAAGCATTGTGCACACAACAAATAAAATTAATACATCGGTTCCAGTTTACGTGAATTCGTATAATCTGCCAAGGCGGTGGCAAATGTGTTGGCTACTGACGTCACGCGGTCTAGTCTCGCTCACAGGTACGTTTTTTCTCTTTGCGCTGACCCTGATTTTAAAATGATTACGGCGGACGTAAATATCAATATTTTGCGCCCAAATTTTTTTTATCGTTTTTTTAATACACAATCTCCCGATTTCAATAAAAATCAAAAAATGTCGAACCTGCCTATTGGGCGAAGTGTTACACCTTCACCTTTAGCCTGTGTGTGGCATGCAGGGCGAGTTATTTTAGTTTTTTAATGCAAGTTTCTTGTTCAAGTGGTATGTTAATTAGATTGGCAAACATAAAAATCACACTATTGTTTTACATACCAATCCGAGTTGGTCCTGACCATAAGATCTCAAACCGAGTGGGGCATCAACTGCCTCATAGGTCAGCTCAAACAATTTTCATGGAGACCACCACACGAGCTGCAATTACTTTTCCTAAAAAAGTGCATTTTAAATTTGCTTCACACATTCTACAGCAGGTCCAAATCTGTTCTGTATGCTGTAGCTGGTTTACATCTTCTGGTATTCTTAACTCCGCCTCCTCACACGCTAGTTCTGATCAGACTGAGAAAAAATATAAAACAAAAGTTTGAGTAAGCTGAGGTTTCTTTTGCATATTTATTATAATGCGCATTGATACAGCAAATGAAAAGCAGAACATAAATCTAAATCTAATGTCTGCAATCACAAAGACTGATTAAATCACTCGTGGTCATTAATCAGCCTTGCAAAATGAAGACGAAGAGAGATTAACTATGAGAGAAATTAAAGCAAATTAACATCACATAACTTAAGTTTCGAATTAGTAACCAAGACACAAGAAACCTTACTTTTAACAAAAATCAGTACAATTTCGAATCACATTTTTATTTTAAACAATGACTAGCGACTATCAAAAGATATATACAATTGCCAAACAATTTTCACTTTGGATGCAGGAACGACTTCAATTGAGATCATTTAACCGTACATTTAATTTGAATACGTTTTTCAAATGTAAACCATCAACACAAAGCACCAATAACAAATTATTTACTGGTTAGCGATTAAAACACCGCAAAGTTAGGACTATAAATTCAACAAATTGAATAAATTGTTAGTTCAGACACGCAAATTATTCGATACCGTGTGCGAATATCATCACTAAACCGGGTTCAACCATCATTTCCTCACTCATATGCTCGTTATCGCAGTGCAACACTAAAACGGCCTGTTTCCCCGGAATTCTCTTGCACACGTAGTTCTCGTATAGCCGCCTGTTTGTCTGACGAGTCTCCAAGGAGCACAACCCCGGTGGCCAACGTCTTTCGTGACAATTCTCCATCAAGTCATCTATGATGTGCGCGGGACAGCCCGATTCACTTAACGTTCTCTTAATCATGCGCTACAATTGGTGTGAGGTAGGTTAAAAATTGCAAAACATCTACATACCTGTAGTATTTCGTCGGGTGTCGAAATCATCCCACCCCAACGTGTGACGCGTGCTCGCGCAAGGGTATTACTCCATCGTAACACCTCATCGCGTTCCATTTGATCCGCAATCGCTCTCATAGCTGGATTGGATATTCGCATAGCCTTCATAAAATCCTATGTCATGATTTACTTATTAAATGTACAGTCTCTTGACCCTCAGATAGCGAAACTGACCTTGTTAAAGTTCGATTTCTAGAATGCCCATTGACGAAAATAACACAATTCTTAAAACTTTAGTTAGGAGCCTTAACAAAGTCAGGAAGTTACTTAATTTGCTATTCAAGGGCCATTAATTATAGAAGAGACAACGCTGTACGAGATTTGATCTTCACTTACCTTCAAAAGTTGCAGTTCACGTTTTTGTTCGACCATTGTGAACCTTTGCTCCGCCAACTCTTGCTGGAAATCGTTTAATTTCTGCTGTTGAGTATGAACAAGTGCGCGCAATTCCTTAATGCAGTTATGATCTTTAAGTTCATCTTTCGGTATCACCAAACCGCAACCCTGCTCGCACGGTATTAAACGTTTGGGATTGTGTTCGCATTCTTCCAAGTGAGTGGCTAACGTGTCCAATTTAAGAACACGAGTGCATCCGTATTCGGCATTATCACAATTTATACATAATCTGAAGACGAAATTTAACGTAACAAACTACACAAAACGCTCTCACCTAGACAGCAAGTTTCGTAATATCCTAGGCACAGGTCGCAATTGCACCGTCGTTATATGCTGGCGATCTACAGGACAATTCGGTTGTCTGCATATCCACTCTTGTATGCAAGCTCTGCAAAACGCGTGTTCGCAGACCGGCGCCTTAAACACAAACGGAATTAAAAAAGGGAAAATGTTAGAAAGTAGGACACCTGTAGTGGATCTTCTAAAACACCCGAACATATGGGACACACCAGCTCTTCGTCTACATCACCTTGGAATCGAGTTAATTCGAATCCCATATTTTTACACGTTTATATGGGATACAACTTAAAATTATTTTTCAAAATTAGCGCACACCAAAAATATTTTGTATTCAGAGTAAAATGACAACAAAAATTTTCGCAAATGACATTTCGTACAGTTTCCAATTATCATTGTGTATAAAGTTTAAAAGTGCAAATTACCACTTACACAAATACCCAAAAAGCACAAGAAATTAATACACAGGGTGCACCCTAAAGGCATGTGATACCTTTGTTTAATAGACTGGTCCTAACGAAGTTAGTTTTCTTAAACATTAGCGTGTACCCGTAAAATTAGATAGAACTAGGTATTAGCCAATTGATTACGTTTCTCCGGGTGTAAATTTGTGTAAAATACCATTTTCCGAACAGAATTTAGATGTAAATATTGAAGCACTGCCCGAGACCATAATTGATGATAATCTGTGAACTGAAAATATGTCTTATTACAGGTACTGAATAGCTAAATTTGCTGTAGGGACTGCTTTCGAGAATCGTATTTCACGCCAGACAGGTTTGAGTCAGCTAAAAAAAGAATATAGTGGTGCACACGAAATTTCCGGAAGGTTCATTGTACAAATGAAGTTCATAAGATTGTCCTTAATTTAATTGTAAACATTCTTGACATAATGTGACTATACATTGTTCAATTGCTTGATCTATATTATGTTATTCCACTTGATAATTGTTCCATCTGGACCATATCTCTACCAATAAATATTAGCTATGCTATGTGACGTCCTTTTTTTCTGATCGAGAATCCTTCCGTGTTGTTCTATTACTGTTAACTAACTATTAAAGAGCTTTGAAAAGATAATAGGCTGAATTTAAAAATTAAAAATACACTTTTACAACAGTTTATGATAAAAAGGTCGAAATAGATTTTGACTAATAGCGTTGAGTGAAAAATAGTACCGGGTGATTCATTAGAAGTGATGATTAGTATTTTTTGCATTGTTAGATTGACGGTTTGAATTTCGTTAGTAATTTTTTTCTGTCATGACTGTCATTTAAGAAACCAGTGTCGCCGTTAATTGTTGTGTGCCATTTGCGGTTTATTACTTTTTACATTTTGAACAATTTTTAGAGTTGATGCACTAAAATATGTAAGAAACGTGACTGCGTCTAGTGTTAGTTTATAATTTGTTTTAAAACAGAAGCAGTATTTGTAGATTATAAATAAGTAAACGATTTACTAAAAGCATGGTGATACACCACTGCAATTAAATAAATGATCATCAGTTAGTACCAACTTCATAATTTTTTTGATTTGCGGGAAATTCAAATTGTCCTCACTTCTAATGAATCACCCGGTACTAATAGGTATTACTTAATTACAATTTCTCTCAATTCTTTGGTCTTTACCCTTTTGTAATCGGCGTCATTTAATCTTCATTAGATTTTATTTCTTTGTATTGAGCGGTTATTGCAATTAACGAAAAGATTCCGTAATAATACCCGAGTTATGTTTTATATGTTGAGTTGATCTTCGCAATTAGCAGATTTTTACTTTCGACACATGAAACTGCTTTCACCCATATATTCAGCCTTATTTCATATATATTTGCAAAAAACCGCAAAAAAACACGAAAATTGATGATTTTCGCTTCCTTGTATGAATTTTCTAGGCCGAGGTACACCTAGGCTAACTTCTGAGTATCTACCTTGTAAGAAACTTCACGAGGAGCATTTTCAGCTAAAAATAGTTGATCTAGACCTAAAGGTCGCGATATATTTGCAAAAAAACCGCAAAAAAAACACAAAAATTGATGGTTTTCGCCTCCTTTTATGAATGCTCTAGGCTAAGAGGTAGAACTATAGGCTAACGTCTGAGTATCTATACCTTGTATGAAATTTCACGAGAAATACTTCCAGCTAAAAATATTTCATCTAGACCTCATACCTCGCGCCATATCAGCTAAAAAAAGCGAAAACACGGTTTCTGGGGGGGGTGATGGGGTGGTTGGAGCCTTTAGCACAGGGTCTGGAAGATGGGATTTTTAATATAGGTATGTTGTTTCTGACACCTAATTGAACGTATTCCACCATTTTTTCTTTTCCATCTTAAAATGTCCAGTTTTCCAATTTTACAGTCTCTACGCCTAGACTATAGGTATCAAAACTACCAAATATAAAGGTTTTGCGCGAAGTGGATTTCACAACTTGTGACGTCATCGCTAGGAATTACTCTCAATGTCAATTACAGCCATATAATTCTCCAAAAGGAACTTCTTCGACGTTAAATACTTTTTGAGTAGTCCTCTCAGTTTTTTATTTAAACACTTTGCAAAACACCACAATTCGCCCGTAGTTACGTGAAAAATGTCAAATTCGCGAAAATCTGTCCATTTGTAAAACAGCTGAAAACGAAATTAATGAGCTCAAAAGGTGATATCCTAGCAAGATATCACCTTTGGGTTCATTTGTTCAGCTCTTTTGTAATAGGATAGACTTTCACGAATTTTAAATTTTGAAAATTTGCGACCACTTCAACCAAATTTATCTTTATTTAGTAGTAAAATTTTGGATAGTTTAATGCAATGCCACATCTGTTGATGACTAAACCCTTATCTGTAATAGACACGAATCTTGAATAAAGAAAAAAAGGTGTAGAATCGCAAGGCATTTATGATCTATATTAGGTCATCTAATGCGAGTAGGTAATCCAAATTCGGATTCTAGAAATTTGCTGTGACTAGCACAGATACACCTGCGCCTATCGATTCTGCCCTTTTGTATCTAAGAATATGTGTACCAAATTTGGTTCCTAATCGGTTCGTCGCCGTTTAGCCGGAAGTGAGAATACCTACAGTCGGGCCGACAGACAGACTTTGATTCGTATTCCTAGTGCTTCAAAACGTGTATTTCCGTAAAAAAAAAGTGGGTGGGCCATTTTTTACCTTATTAACGTGCGGGTGGTAAAAATCAGGGTAGTTAGGACTCGGAATGAGGATTCATAAATTGAATTAAAATAGGGGATGTAGTAACTTTTTTGTATTTTATCAGAATTTTCGTTTATCGATTAGCAATAGAAGTAATTTGTGGGGTTTAGTGAATTTACATGCATCCCAATTAACCAAAAATAAAACCAATTTGTTAAACCTTATTAAGTAGATCGGTCTCTTCAAGGGAATTAATCATTGGAACGACACGCTAAATATACCGCACCTTTTGAACTTTCAACAACTACTGCGCGAAAAATTGTTAGGTGAAAGCGCGGTAGGTAACAGATAAGAGTAAACGATTTTCTTATCTTTAGCATTGAATATTATTCAATGACTTTAGTCACTCGCCCTTACCTTAATTGAGGTCTTTTCAAATAAAAGCAACTGTCGCTGTTCACTAGGCGTTTTTGCAATGCTCGTCAGATTTTTTACCTCATTACATAAAGCTAGCAGGTTAACCAATCATACCCACATCATCATCATGTTGCTTACATCCTGATGTATCAAAGTCTAAAGGTAGGTACTTATAAACACCATCTTAAGAGATATCTAATCTCTTCTAATTGCCCAATTGGTTCCCATCAGCCATCTTTCATGAATTCGAAGAGACCTACCCATACCATCAATAATACACTAAAATTAGCTAAACTGCAGAGGAAGTGCTGATAATGTGTCCCTATACGCGGCTCGCCACTTTTCATGTTCAGTTAGGCCACTACTGGATTAAGAATAACTGAGTCTCGCCAGAGCTTACCTTAAAATTGTAAACTTTTCTTCTCTGCCAACGTTTATTTCCAATGGTGCTGTAATGTTCGACGGACGTTTTTTGGCCCTTTTGAATCTCGGTAGTGTCGGTTCGATATGGATGACACGAATGAATTCCTACGTTATGTGTAATCTAGTTTTATGTGAGGACGTGAGATATAATCGGGAAGGGAATTGAATAACATGCAGAATTTTGCGTAAGAGAAGACAAGACAAGAACAAATAAAATATATTATAAACACACAACAAGGCGATACCAGTAAAACCTTTTATGGGCCAAAAACCTGGCATAATGAACCAACCACAAACACGAAATAAATTAACTACAAACAAAATGCAAAAGAGAAGCTCAGAAAAAACAAAATATATAAACCCAAGAACGCGCGATGCCATGTCGACACCATCCCGTTAAGCCCCGTTAATTTTCTCCCCATGCTTCGTTATGAAAATCCCCTGGATTCCCTACACTGTTAAAGACCAGGTTTCACTCACATATCCATTTAAGTTTATTACCGGAAAGGTGCGCGGAATACCAATAACACACTAATTGTTGAATTTGAAAAGAAAGTTTATTGAATAATTTATCAAAAGTGTAAAAAACACATTCAAATGCATGGAAATGCCACCCCTTGAAAAAGAACAGAAACAAAGAAAATTCCGAATCACTGTTCGCAGAGGGTAAGTATAGAGAGAAATCTGAGGTAAGAGAGATAACTGTGAAAAACACTAAACACACATTTTACATCATATCTACAATATCTACATTATACAAAAATTAACAACCCGAGGAAGTAACTTGTGGATTTTAATAAATCCGACGTTAATTTTATACTGTAACATTTGATAAGCCAAAGAATGGCCAGCTCAAATAGAATTCAAAGCGACCCCACTTCTTTCCCATTTGTGAAAAATAACATGCCGAAATCTCTTACATAAAGTAGGTACTTATACAGTGACATTAAGACTAAAGAAACGCTCCAGAACTTAACCATGCACGGACGACAGTTAAAGATTGTTAAAAGAAGACAGAAAAGAATTGAAGTGCTAATTAATCTAAATGAGTTATTAAACATTTTTTAGGATGGTCTACTATAATCTACCACTATAAAGGGCAAATATCAGTTCAAACACAAGAAAAATCATTGAAATCATACTACCAACAACCAAAATCATTATCGCAGATCCAACGTGTTCAATCCCCGCACTAGAATATCGCGATAGGTTTGTTGCAATTGGCGAAGTTAGTAGATTTTCCTTCAAGATCTTTGCCAATAAGCCAGTCTGCTTCAACTTTAGCAATCTAAAAGGGCATTAATACACAACTATGCGAGCTATTCCCTACTCGCCTCACATTCGGTTTATGGTTCTGTACACTGCACCTTTTCGCATTAAAAAACTCCTTGCGAATCGAACCTCGGATAATTTAGTTGATGCGTACGTTTGGGACAAGTTATTATTTAGACGCTGGGCGTAGTACTGCTCCACTAGGAGCTGGGGAATGATTCCAACTATGTTCTGGCGATTAATATGTGAAAATATATCACCAACACTACCGACTTCTAAGATGTCACTCTGTAATGCACTGTGAATGGTTTAGACAGAACAATCGGCTATACTTACTTTGGATTCAGCCCTGTAATAGTCCAAGCCTTTTAGGGTCACAATTCGTATGTCCATCTTTTGAATGTCGTTTGCAGTTATGCGCTTGCCCATACCTTGCTGCAGTAGCAAGGAGGTGATTCCGGCCGCGAAACCGGTATATAGTAAATAGGATATTAAATATCCCAGAAAGAATATTGCACGACTTGCGAAACCGCGAGGAGTATGACTCAAACCTGAAACCTTGAAAGTAAAGAAATACGACAATTCCACACTAACCTTGTTGGCATGCTGCCGCGTTACCCCACAGGGTGATGTCCACCCACGACCATGGTTCGTATTTCAAATCTAAGCGAGAGTACTGTTTCATCGACAGATGCAAGCAAAATGCGAGGATTATAAGAGCTATCAGAAAGCAAATCCATAATGTCCCGGCGAAAGTTAAGATGAATATGTCTTTGGTGAAATTAAGCTTGTTCGGGTCGTATATTAAAACATAGCTGAAATGCGTCAATTGTAGAGTTGACCGAAGAAAAGACTGTAAATCATTGTCATACCAACTTACAAGAACTGATCGGTTTTATGGTGTTGGTACTGTGGCAATGATTGTACAAGCTGTATAAGGTAATTACTTGCTTTGTAGAGTGCGAGTAAGTGGAGCTATTCCCAAACGTGAAGTAAACTTGTAGTCAGGATGACAGCCAAATATATCTATCTCATTTGTTAATAGCGGTTCTGTGACATTCTGTAGATAATTAATTTTGCGGTAATGAATGCTGCAAGTAAAAAATGATGGTCTAATCGCACAACCAATACCTATAATACCTTATGTTGAATTCTTGCACTAATTTCATAATTTCAATGGTATAGCCGGTGTACGCACCATTCACAAGTTTACAGTCAAAATCATATCCATCAAAAACCCCGACTGTTAAACGTTTTATAATTCTGGTATCCATTGCGTCGGTGATAGTTTGTAAAAGACTGTTCAAGAAGCAAAATGACACATTCGGCTATCTCATATATTATTAAATGCAATTACTTAAGCGAGACGTCATAATTATAATAAGTGACATATAAAAAGAGAGTAAATATAAAACGCAAATAATGCAAATGAAAGGTTTTTATTAAAATTAAATGGTCGGACATGATCCAACTGTAACGTGACCCTCTGCCATTCGTTGTTCCAAATAAATCGGATTGTTATTGATTTGGATGTCCTTGATGCATCCGATGAACGATGATCTCGTCGATAATCCGCGCGTGCGATTTATCAGTCGATGTCCGCCCAGGAATAGGGCGCCGCCAGTGTCGGTCGATTGCGACCGAAAATCGCCAACGCCCGGCTCCGTGAACGTGCTGTCGACGGAAAGAGTCACCACATTTTTCGATTTGACCGCTGAAAAATAAATGCGCCAAATTCATTTTCTTTTGTCTTTTTACACAATTTGTTAAACTCTTCCGAATTACCACTTCTTTTTGTTTCTCTAATACACAGTACTTCAATATGTTTCTGTTTTTTTTTTTTAGTAAAAGTAAGTATGCACGTTCAAATGTAACTTTTCATTTCTTTTTTTTCAAGATCGGTGCAGATCTAAATATGTCCATTTTTCCTATTGCTTGTATTCATTTTGTTTTTTTTTTTAATTTAATACTTGTCTTGCTTGTGATATTGTTCAATAAATTGGAAGGAACCAAATTAGATACAGACTTGATATACATACATACCTAATAATTAATTTTGCTAACAGTGATAAAAGATAAAGGAGTTAATATAGCTCAACTTAATGTGCGTTCAATATTGGCAAATTTTGAAAAATTTAATGACATTCTCGCAGATAGTAATTATGATTTTTTTGCAGTAACGGAGACTTGGTTAAGTTCGGCAGTGCGTAATAATGCTCTATGTATAGGTAACTACAATATTAAAAGAACCGATAGAGATGGACGTGGTGGCGGAGTTTGCCTGTTTTACAGGAATTGTTATAATGTTAAATGCTACAGGAATCTGAGGAAGTATGATAGTTTTGAGCACTTATGAGTAAGTTGCTTACTTAATAGCAAACGAATAGCCATAGGAGTAATATACAGACCACCTAATCGGTCTATAAACGAGTTTGTATTAGATTTTGATAAACTTCTTTCTACTATTATCCCGGCTTGTGAAGAGTTAGTCTGTGTAGGCGATTTCAATATAAATCTCTTGGATCTAAATTCGTATGGTGCAAACTTTCTTAGTATGCTAGATTGTGTAGGGTTGAAACAAATAGTAAAACAGCCAACTAGAATTACTAATATTAGTTGTACATTAATTGATTTAATTCTCGTCAGCAACCTAAGCATGGTTAAAACCTCTGGTGTGTCTAGTATTGCAATAGCCGACCACTTCTTAAGTCTAAAATCCAATTCTAACCTGGAACATAAGATTAAAACCTATAGGGACTTCAATTCGTTTTCTGCTGCTGATTTTACTACTGATTTAGTAAATTTACCGTGGATGGATATCATTTATTTACCTACAGTCGATGATAAAGTCTTGTATTTAAATGAATTAATCTTAACACTTTTTGAAAAACACGCACCAATTAAAACTGCTAGGTTTACAAGATTGAATAAGCAGTGGATCACCTATAATATTAAGTGTATGATAGATTTGAGAAACAAAGCTCTGAAGCGATTTAAAGAGACACGTTTGCCAAACCATTGGGAATACTACAAAGTATTAAGAAACTATATAAATTCAGCCATTCAAAATGAAAAAAGATCATATTTAAAACATACGATTGAATCAGGTGGAACTGGCGCAATATGGAAAGAGTTAGGACGTTTAAATATATATAACAGAAGTAAACCTAACATACCATGTTATATCAATAATGTAAATGAAATTAACAATTATTTTCTCAACGTTACTGCTGTTCCAAATTACAATGCTGATACTAATAAAGAAACACTTATTAATTTCTATAGTAGTAATAGGAAAGTTGATTTCCCACAACTCTTTCAATTTAAACATACCAGTGAAAAAGAAGTTCACTATATACTACTCTCAATAAAAACTAAAGCAGCTGGGGTTGATAATATCAATGTTACTTTATTGCTGCATTGTATACCGACAATTTTACCGTACATTGTACATATAATAAATTTCTCTTTTGAAACGAATACTTTTCCTACAGTTTGGAAATACGCACAGGTCGTTCCTATTGCTAAAAATCCCACCGCAGAACGATATCATGATCTTAGACCGATATCCATCTTGCTAACTCTGTCAAAAGTATTTGAAAGGATCATTGATAAACAATTACCAGAACACTTAGAGATATTTGACCTGTTGCCGGATCGTCAATCTGGTTTTAGATCTAACCATAGTTGCGGAACAGTTCTTTTAGAAGTTACCGATGACATAATATCCGCATTGGATAAAAAATTGTGCTGTTATCTCGTACTTTTAGACTATTCAAAGGCTTTTGACATGATTAACCACAATATACTGGTAGCCATATTTAGTTACTTAGGACTAGGTCCAGCGGCGACGGAGTTAATGCGGAACTATCTGGGTGGCAGAAAGCAAAGAGTGTTATTGTTATTATTGGTTAGATGTTAAAAAAGGAGTGCCACAGGGATCCATTCTGGGACCTCTGTTGTATACTATATACACATCAAATTTTCTTACGTGTTTGGGGAGTTCGAAGGGTCATATGTATGCTGATGACACACAGGTTTATCATATATTCGATCCTTCAAATCACGATGAGGCAATTAGTGAAATAAATTTATCTCTGGAAAATTTAGTGTTACTCTCAAAACAACATGAGCTCATGATTAATCCTAACAAATCTGTTGTTTTATTTTTTGGAAATCAAAACATATCCACCGATACTTTTGTTCAAGTGGATGGAACCTAGGAGTTGTCCTCGACACTAGCCTGAGGTTCAAGTATCACGTAAATACTTTAATTGGTAGATCGTACTCATGTTTAAAGATGTTATACTCCTTTAGACATGTCCTTAGTCATAAATTAAAGTTACAAATATGCAACTCCTTAGTTTTAAGCCAATTTGATTATTGTGATTTCGTCTACGGTCCTTTGTCTTGACACCATAACAGCTAAACGCATACAAACTATTCAAAACGCTTGTCTCAGATTAGCTTATGGAATTACAAAGCGAAAAAGGATATCACATACTTTACGGAAGGCGAAGTGGTTAAACATGGACAATAGACGACGTCTACACTCTGCATGCACCTTCAAAAAAATTGTGGACAGGCAAACTCCGCCATACCTTCACAAAAAGTTAACATATCGGACAGACGTTCACAACATAAATGTGAGGCAGAAAAGTAAATACATATTTAGTATACCAATGCATAGAACCGTTCTGTTTCAGCGATCTTTCAAATATCAGGCTGTAAAAATACTTAATGGACTTCCTGCCGATATTGTGACGTTAAACCAAAAAATGTTTAAGTGCAAATATAAACAATACTTGTTTACTATACAAAACGTGCAATAATTTAGCTTGTTCCCTTTCTTTTTCTTTTTTTTTCTCTTTTCAATCGTTCATCTTTTTTTTGGTTCTTAGTTGTTCTTTCTGTCTGTACCTAACTGGATGCTTTCATAAAGTTATTAAGGTTAAAGTAGAATATCAGATTAGGTTTTACCATTGAATAAAAACACTATAAGAAGCCTAACCCCGTGGAAATAAAGCGCGACAGAGATTGAACTGAGAATATAATGGAAACACTGTCAATAGTGTCGATTCTTGAACTGAGAAGAATGAGAATTTGCTTTCCTCCTATTTACCGCAAAGAGAGTTCGGTGATCACAACCAATGCGGGTGCAAGGGGATTTGTCGCGCTTTCTCCCATAAGCGTTAGGCTTCTTATAGTGTTTTTATTCAATGGTTTTACCTAAAAAATCTGAACTTTCACCTAATTGATATATGCAGTACTTATTGCAAATGTAGAACTGCTAATCAATAAAGACATTTATTATTATTATTACTTCAAGAAATTAAGCTCAAGGTACCATTTGTTAAGCTAAGGAAAAAGAATACTATTTCAACTTCCCCACTTATTCAGATCTTGATCATTTTAAATAAGTTATCCTCAGTGAATGATATCGACTTTTTTCACGATCTTCTAAGTGCAATAATAAATCAAATTAGATCTTAAGTCCTAATGTTTGTTCAGAACCCCAGTGCCATGTATATAATTGGAATTTTTATTCTGTATGATGTCTTGGTTAAACAAATAAATAAAAATAAATAAATAAAAAGATTTTTCTATGTGTTTCCTCTCCCAAATGCCAATCAATGTCCAATGTGAATAATGAAACACCATTGAAACGCAATTGTGCAATTAATTGAAAAATGCTCACAGCCAAGTTATGTAAATAAATATACTGAACTGCAAGATTTAAAAGCTGTTAATAAGAATTTCGACCTATAAATATTACTGGATATGTCTATCTAGAATGTTCTCGACTGCTCAAGGACGCATATTCCTGAGAAAGATTGAGTCTCGTCCGCCTTCGTTCTTTATTGCTGATGACTAATCTTTCATGGCGCCTTGATGTCTATCGGGATTTCTGGAATATTCGCTAGACTACTCCCCATCTTAAAACTGATGCGTCTCACAACAAAGACGACGGAAATTGTAGGGGACATACAGTCCCAGGCAACTTTTGTTCTATAGCGCGAACTTGCACGACGACTCCTCGTGCATCTTCCATTCTTGAAGAAAAACAATCACAGTTTACAACCAATGGGTACAATGAATCCACGAACCGATCCGTGCTCGAAGGTACCAAAATGTCAGGGGCGGCCCTACACCATTAAACTTTCTCTAGGTCGCTTAGCAATAAATTATTACGCCTTTGTGCAGAAAATTTTACACCTGTTGCAGTATATTGCTTAGGTAAAAACACAAAATGGAATTTTTTATGCTACTTTTGTCCAAAATTTTGACATATACTCGTAGGTACTTCAATTTGAGGTAAGCAGTAGCGCAAATTACATACCAACAGAGTAAATTCCATCTTGTTGACCGTATGTGCACATACATTTTTGTAACCATCAAGTTCATTACTAATCATATGCCAATAATGGCAAAGTAAACTCACCTAAGAGGCTTTAATATACGCACCTTGAATGCTGTGCCACTGTCCATCACAGAAATAATGAGGCTTGTCAGGTTTGAAGGAGGTGTATATAGGTCCCTTTCCATTTTCAACCGTCAACTTAATGACACCATCCACCATTTCCAAAACCAAATAATCTCGCTTGCCGTGAACCGATATAAGCAAGCCCGAGATATTTCTCGGCTTTATTTCCATTTTAATGTCGATCTCCAAGCCGACCTTGAACTTCTCCTCGAGTTTCATGTAACCGCCTTGAATTCCGAAGAAGACGCCCGGTTCGACGTCCCGCAAGCACCTCATCACCTCGATATTCGTCGGATCGTCCATGACGAACGAGTTCATGTAGAAGTTGCTGATGCAACCGTCGAAGTACGCCGTCGAATTTATGTTGGCGTAAACGTTGGCGAATTTACTCTGCGGGACGCCGCCAACGTAGTAAGGTGGGTAGAGCTGTATGGTGCTGATATTTTTCGGAGTGCGCCCTTCGATAACCACTTGGTCGTCGATGATTAATTTACCTTCGGGACCGATACGGCTGATGTTAACGTGATGCCATTCGCCATCGTTGTAGGTACCATCAGAGCGTAAAACGGCAGCACCTGTACCGCCGTTAAACGAATACACCACCTACAAAGTACAAGTAAACCAACTACTTTTAAAAGGCAGAGGTTGAATCATCTTACACGTCCTTCTTTTAAGTACAATGCCACGTGTTGGATAACTGTTGGGTTTGTTACATAGAAAATAATACCATCAAGGGCTGTTGTTTTGAATTCGAACGTAAAGTCATAGTGCTTTCGCATTCTTCCTCTTGTTGTATTGTACTCGGTTCGACTCTGCTTGTCTCGTGCTGTGAACAAGATCCAAATTAATTAATTTCTAGTGGACTAATAAAAACCCTTACAGTATTTGAATGCTCGAGTCGGTGAAGTAACATCGATTGCTGGCACCATTGGCAAAACGCACGACGGTTTGGGTACCGGTGGTTCTGTAGGTGGTACGGTAACAGGCGCTACATGCACAGGTGGTACTACTTCCGGGAATTCTTCCGATTCAATTTCAGGAACTTCTCCAAATACTGAGAGAAGTGTGGTTGTAGGCGGGTCCGGTGCGCGGACAGTGTGAAACTCTACCCTCTCGGTTGCCACTTCAGGTTTTTTTTCAGGTATTAGTGGTTTACTTTCTCTACCTCCATCTCCTCTTTGTGGAATACCTGCAAGTCACAATCGTAATAGGTGTAAAAGGGTGCCACTAGATCGTGTCAGAGAGTGTCAAGTTAAAAATAAATGCTGACAATCAAATTCATCGTAACCACGAACCCAAGGCCACCACCCAGTTATTTTTCCATCACTCTGAGTACCATGGAGATAAGACCTGTCGGAGCAGCCTTCGTTACCAAATTGAGAAACCTGACATTAGTGGATCAAGAATGATTACATTAAAGCGACCGTTTTGGGGAACGAAAACATAAGACTGAGCCAGGCGTGCGCGAGTAGAAAATGAAGCGGTTGCCACCTCCAACGGCTGGTATACCTTACATACTATGCGATCAAAAATGAGTTGCTGTCGAGTCACCTTTGGAACTTTTGTTTACATGGGAAATAGTACTTGACTTGAACTTCCAAAGGCGACTCGGCAGCAACTCATTTTTGAGCGCCCGTTACTAGTAACCCTGGCGATCAGCACAAGGCAACCTTGATTGACGTGTGCAGCATAACGCACTAGAGGGTGTCCACCTGATTGGCTTGCACTTTTATTTCTGAAAGTACATCTAATTCTAACAGAGGCCAAAGGTACAAAACTCTCGCTCTTCCAAATTTTCAAAAGGTAGGCACACTCTATGATAAAACTAATGAAATATTAAGGTTTTCGCCTTATTAGAGTACGGCCACAACGGAGCGCTATTGAATATGAGCCGCATTAAAAATCCAGTTTCCAAATACGGCCGAGTGGCAAAAAATTCCCCTACTGAAAATCGTATGCGATTCTTCATAATTACCTTGATGAGGATGAAAATAGAAACATTTGATTAAATTTAAAACAATTTGAAAGTAAAAAAAAATAAGCTTAATAATTTTATGCACGAGACGTCAGCTCCCACCCTCGCTCCTACCTACGCGCGACCTTAGTTGCTCTGATGTGATTCCACTATTTGGCACGTTTATTTTTCTTTGTGAGCGGGGCTATGATGCGCTGCTATGATCGGCGCTCCATTGTGGCCGCACAGTTAAGTGTTGAAATTAGAGAATTGCGGTTTTTATATTCGGAAGAGCTTTCTGCAAAACAGTACAGCCTTCATCGGTAACAACTAAAATACAACAATTACAGACGAGAAGAGGCGAGTAACTTTAGCGCATTTTCCATGCATTGATCAGTACTTCCCAAAAGATCACAGCTATGTGCGCCATGTTTTTATTTACTAGAAGCATCTATGGTTAAAATTGCAAAGAAGTGTCTATGAAGTTGGCACATGTATCTGTTTTTTTTACCACCCGCACGTCAGTAAGCGACCTCCCTTGCATTGAGGTAAAAAATGACGCCTCACTTTTTTTGACGTTTTGAAGCACCAGAAATCCGAATCAAACAAAATCTCGATGATGTCGGTCTGTCGGTTCGTCTGTACTCTCATTTCCGGCTAAACGCCTGAACTGTTTTTAGCTGTTAATTTGGTACACATATTCTTAGACATAAAAGGGCAAAGATGCGCATGCCACAGCAAATTTTTTAGAATATGCGATATGTTTATCTTTACTAGAAGCATCTTTAATTGAAATTTCAAAAAATAGCACCATAAATAAGAAAGTTAGCATTGAACAGTCTGCACATGCGCAGATTTGATTTTTACTATATGCAATATACTTGCCTTTGCTAGAGACATCTGTGGTTAAAATTTCAACAAAATATATTTATAAAAAAGGACATTGCGCAATCTGCGCATGCGCACATCAAATAGACCAAATTCAGAAAGAACGAACAAAATGTATTAAAAATTGTAGGTAGTTAAGGATTCAGGTATACTGACAGAGAGAGACCGCAATAGCGCACCAAACTTCGTTAGAAAATGCGCGAATTGCGTGCTATTAACACCCCCAGTAATCGATCTGGAAATTAAAGCATTTACCCTACATACTCCTCATAGCTGCTTCCGGGCGCCGGGAAAAGTCTAAATAGTCTTCATGTCGACGTACCTATGGTGCAGATTTAATTATAAAAATACCAAGGCAATTTTGGAACCATGCTCACCCTCTAAATTCCTCAGATTTTTCCGAGAAAATCAAATCAGCTAGATTTGTACAAAATGCTTAAACCGTAAGCCTGCACCAACTCCTCAACGCTTCACACCCTCTAGGGGTAGCTGTAAGGCAAAGAAACTAAAGGAGGGAGACAAAGACACCAATAGTGCCTGACCCACCACAGGGAGCTGGAGGATCGCAAAGAGCCATATCCCGAAGGCGCAACAGAGGGATAATGACCGGAGGAAAAACTAAATTCAGTAACTTATATAATCCTTTCACAAGTAGACTTTGCTTCCACAGGAGAGAACACTCCCCAAAAAAGACATCGACTCTATGTCAAGAGGGGCGGTGGGATGATGCAAGCGTTGTATTCTTAACCTAAAGCGATTTAACAGCTTTTACAGACGTTTCTCACTTTAAAATGGAGGACGCGAGAACGATGCGTATAGGTTGAGATTCTTTATTATCCACTATTGACGTGAAATGCGCACTTCCTAGTAGCCATTGCTCAGGAAGACCTTAAATTTTTACGGTGCTCCTTTCACAATAATAATTTCTTAATTTTGGGGTGAAACCGTAAAGGCTGGCGCGCGAAAACCTTTTCGAACATTAGGTATGCTAGTACGACGAGGTTTTGTAGTAAACGACTAGCACTATATTGTATTCATTTTAAGAAGGTTGCGGTAGAAAGCATAGGGAAGCTTTGACCTTCACTGTGATTGGTTAAAACACGAGTCAGTATTACAATGAAACATAAAACGACTGGTGAATTTGGTAAGGCGGTAGTTTATGTTGCCACTGACGTAGTGTCATTAGCTGTTATTGGCAAAGGTTTATTTCTGTTCGCAGTGCTGAATATTTCTACTTTACAATAATTTGGTACCGTTTTTATTTTTCCTGTGTGTGTTTATCTTCAAACGCAGCGCCATCTACTACCTTCTTATAATGAATGCAGTATAGAACTATCAAAAGACGGGCACCATTTTCCATACAGACCCTCCATAAATACCTACGGAAAAAGTTTACCAAAGGAAAATTTACACATGTACCGCTTCATAGTGAACACGAACGAAAAAGTGTCTGATGATAAGCGATATCATGAAACGTATTGCTGAAAGCGATCGCGGTTGCTACGATCTCTTCAGATCTAAAAAACAAGCACGGGACAAAAATACGAGTTTCTTATTCGTTTAAAAAGGTACGGCAGCCGAGTTTGTTTAAGACGCGTTTTCATACCGGTCTAGTTCAATTCCAATCGTTCTACATCGAATCGACGACAATCGCCGACTAAAAGTAGACAGTCTTTCTACTTCGGTCTAAGACTCACTCCTGCCAAGCCAAAAGGTGGCTACATATTCAATTTGATTTCGATGCAATAATCGACCCAAATCGTTCAACTCAAATCGACCCGTGAAAACGCACCTTTAGTACAGAAAGGGAAGTCCCGGTTTTGCTACCGGCCGAGATTTAAATAGTGAGAGAAGTGGGATACCATTTTTATTTTTTAAAGTTGCTTAAAATGATCCAAAAAAGGACAATCGTAATAGCCTAGCTAAAAGGGGGAAAAAGTAACAGCGAAAATGGCAAAGAATTGTAATATTGACGCCTAAACTCACCTGCGATGTATGGCTCCTCTGTTTTAACTGCAGGTGGTTCTGTGGTACCAAATTCAATTTCATGAATTGGTGGCAATGTCGGTACTAAAACAATAGTGCTATGAATTTTCATGTGACAAAAGCAAGGAGTTACCTGTATGAACATTGGTTTCACTTCCTATAAGTTCATCCAGTATACATTTCCCCAAAAATTCACCTTTTCTATCGGTGAAGCTGGCGAAATTAATAATATCACCATTTTGACTGGCATCGACAATGCATCCACTAAAGAACTTGGTTGTTGCAAACATGGATGGATTGATATTTAAGTTCGACGGAAGCCCACCAAAGTATATGTCTCCATACATTATTCGTAAGGGTGTTGGTGGCGACCCCAACCTTCGGTTTGAAGTATTAACGTGGGCGCTAAAAGGATGTACTTACATTTTGATATCATGATCGTCGACGTCTAATCGTAAGGTTTGGCTACTGTGTGTAATGGTGACCACGTGCCACTCGTTATCATTGTAACTGCTTTCGCCACTGTCAAGCTGCACTTTCTGGCTAATCAGCGCCAATCGACCACCTACTAAACCTAACGAAATACCTTCATTGTTAAACTTGTCGCTTGCGTAAAGTATGAGTCCCTCCTTTGATTTGGTTCTGAATCGAAGATTCATTTGGAAAACATCACTTGTCGAAAAGTGACTGTTGGCAATATATCCTTGTCGGTCGCTTATAAATGAAACCATCCTTGCGAACTAGAAAACCACCTTTATAATGGATAACACAATAAATTGGATACCTTCTCTGGACAACCAGGTACAACGCCATACGCCTTAATATGTCGACTTAAGTCAAGTGGACTGCCCATTATTGCCACATTATCGATACACCCGTCGAAATCCACATTGGTGACATCTTTCACGTGGTGTTCCTGCGGATAGCCGCCGAAGAAGAACGTCTCCGATGACTCCAAGGCGGATCCACCAACATCCGCGGTATTATCCGGCATATCCTCCTTGTCGACAATAAATCTACCCTTGGAACCCTCGCGGCTAGCTTCGATGGTATGCCAGTTACCATCGTTGTACATCTTCGGAGTAATCCACATTTTCGTTCCCGCGCCCAAGTTGTACTGTGAAACGGATGAGATCATCAATGTCGGACGACACCATTTCGAATTTTTAATAAAAGCGGATTGTTTGTTTAACTGTTTTTTGTTTATTATTTTGCGCGATTTCAGGGAAAGTCGCGAGAGAGCAATCTAAATCCCCCTCAGTGTTGGGCGTTAGAGACGAGTTTACACTCTTCTGACAAGAGGACTGAACAAAATAATAACCATAGAGAGCGTCCCAGGGTATCCCTCAACCTGTTTCATATCGCCGAGCCTCAAAAACACACCAAACCGCAAAAGTGCATCCATCTCCTGCGCTGACCAAAAGAGGAGAAAGGTCACGCTAGCCGAAAGGCAACTCAAAGTAGTGATTATAGATACCAAACTGGCCTCGGCAATGGGTTCTTGACCACAATTTGTTCGCTCTAAAAGACTCTACACTAGAAACCACGCGCAGGAGTTGGAGGTACTAGGGCGAGATCCTAAGAGTGGTTGAAGGAGGTGGTTAGCAACGTCCCATTGTGGGTGGCTCTCTCTGACCACATAGAGAAGTAGAAAGTCACTTCAGATAGAATGATTTAATTTAAATGTTAAATGCAAGGGTCCAAAAGTGGTATTGCAACTCCAAGGGAACAGATATTCCCCTTTACAAACATCTCCTTGGAGAAAAACTTAATAGAGCACCCTTTTGAGGTCCTGCCGACTTACAAGGCAAAGTCCTACCAACTCAATTGTGGAACCATCTGAACAGGCATGTCTTCTGAGGACTGCCAAAACGTCCCATAATCATCTCTGGTGGTGCAGGGCGCACGAAAAGCAGAAAACTCAGTTGGGCAAAACTGTTCAATCAGACAAAGAAGAGTAAATCTATATCCGATTGAGAGGCCTATAAGGTAAACCAAAGGCTAAATAAAATGGGTATTAAGAGGCGTCAGAGAGAGGCATGGAAGAGTTTTTTCAGCTCTATATGATCCACTTCCTCTGCATCCCGCCTAAATAAAATTCTAACAAAAGGTTCATATTATAACCTAGCTAGACTCAGACATAGAGTAAATAATAGAGGTTCCATGCTGTATAAATTTGTGGCAGTGAGAGACTATCCCTGAACATAGATGGCGAAAAGCAAATGCCGACGCTCCCTCTGAATTCAAGAATAGTGTACTAAATTATTACTAACACTGCTTGTTAATGTTGTTATCTCAGCTCGCTGTGCGTTAATAAGTGGAGAATGGAGGCGACACGCGACCCTGAAATGTATACTTCTATTTATCAGCAACATTTAGCTACTCACATAACATTATAATGAATGTGCTGCTTATTCTGCCATTGACGAAAGATGGTCTTTACCTTGACCTACCACAATTTGTCACTTAATAATAAACTTTTGCATATCTTTTGATGATGCCCATTATAGAACATTATCTTAGCTATATTTGCATCGCAAGACGGCTTAGCGTTTTAAATGACATCACTGATTTACGTAACAATTATTTTATGAAAACTCAAATTCGTATATTGTGTACAATAGGCAAACAAAATTTCATATTTATTGTGTGCATGTTTTTGAACATGAGAAATACATGCATGTATTGCTTGGATTTGGCCCATTGTTAATAAGTTTATTACACATGATATATAGTATAGGCCAACTGTGCAGTTTGAACCAAATCGGCTCAAGCGTTTGGCAGTTACCTATCCTGTTCACGGACGGACACCATCGACCTCCTATATAAAGCTTGTATCGCTTTGTTCTGTAGCTTAATTATCATTACAAAAAAAAGAAATTTCAATGCTGTGGCGCCTTGGTATAGAATTCGGTTTAATTTTGAGGTTTTCGTCAACGATTTGCTTAGAAACACCATAGAGTCAGTAAATTTGCCATGTAACAAAATCCAGGAGTGTGTAGCACCATGGACTAAATTACACTAAGAAAATTGACGAGAAGTATTTCAGAAAAATGTCATCACATACGTCATAAGAAGTAATCTACATAATCATAAACGTCCGACTTCAAATTCTATTATAGAATTATAGATAAAAGTGAAAATGGCCTTGTAATGTGATCGTCATCTACGCCTACGTAGATTTTTGCTTTATCTTCAAGCCATAAAAGTAATTCAATCTTCGTAAAGTAGGAAGTAGGTCAGCGAAGAGAGAATTTTCCTGATTTTTCTGTGCGGAACTGCCGACTGCCCAGTGCCAAATCAGTTCCAATGTAGTATTTTTTGAATGCGTTTCTAGTCTATAACTTTTGATTGAAAAGTCTGATGGAAAAAGTACGAATTGTTTTGGATTCTACGCACCAAAATTAATAAGAAAAAGTGTATTCTCGAGAAATTTTGGTGCAGCGAATTTTTGGCAAAAAAGGAAGGTTATACACTGCCTTTTTTTGAGGCCCCAAAAAAAAATTGTCTCAGATCGACCCGGGAAAAAAAGTTTCTTATTGAAGTCTATAACTTTTGATTGAGAAGTCTAATCGAAAAAGTACGAATTGTTTTGGATTCTACCCACCAAAATTAATAAGAAAAAGTGTTTTCCCGAGAAATTTTGGTGCAGTCGATTTTTGGTAAAAAAGGAAGGTTGTACACTGCCTTTTTTGAGGCCCGAAAAAAAAATTGTCTCAGATCGACCCGGAAAAAAATTTTCTTATAGAATGTGGCCTGTAGAATCCATAATTTCAAACAGGTCCAAGATTGGGCTACTAGTTCAAAAGTTACAGCCCTTTGAATTTTTTTTCGAAATTGGTTTCTAGTCTATAACTTTTGATTGAGAAGTCTGATGGAAAAAGTACGAATTGTTTTGGATTCTACGCACCAAAATTAATAAGAAAAAGTGTTTTCCCGAGAAATTTTGGTGCAGTCGATTTTTGGAAAAAAGGAAGGTTAATACTGCCTTTTTCTGTCCCGAAAAAAAAATATCATTGTATATAATATACATCTTTATATACAATGGTAGTATGGATGGAATTGATCTTTTCTCTCACAAATACACTATACTTACAGCACTCCCACATTAGTGAATTGCGCAAAAGGACCTTGTTTGCGTAAATTCCACACAAAATTGCTAAAGCAGTGTTAAAACGGTCTACGTGTACCGCTAATCCAACAAAAACGTTAGAAATTATACGCATAATCAGTTATATTTTCTCACTGTACCTATTTAATTTTCATTGCTAGCTAAATTCAAATAAAGTTTGTAATTGGGCAAAGGTAAGGCGTTAAAATAATAAAATAAATAGGTCTATGGCCTGAAAGAATTAAAAGACTCCTTGCATAGGAAGCATAATATCACATTCCGGTGATTAAATATAATGCTGACAGTATCATGGTCTGTGTTGGTGCAAAGTAATGACGTAATTCAAATCTCAATTTTGTTGTCAGTACATTTAAATAGGTAATACAGGTTACATGCTGCTATATGGTAATACAGCGATACAACAGCTTTGAAGAACAGTCACAAGATAGCAACACTTCCGTACAAGATTTTCTACTGCAACAATATCCTATCCCATGACACCTCTTTATATTATTTACTGTATGATTCGGGTATGCGAATGATAACCCTACTAAAACCTGGCAAATTTGAGGCTACTCTATGCAGACTGAACACTCCTTGTCCAACCTCACAAAAACGGAGCCAGTTTTCTTCACAAGAAAAAGACAGGTAAAGCCTCACCTCAACACAAGTGTTTTATAGTCCAGAGCTGACTCTTCCACTTACAGTTGCAACTGACAGGGCGACGATTAGAGCCCCCTCCCCTTCCCGCATGCTTAGGTTCATGCTATGTATGGGATGGCTTGAGCGAAGTTGAGGAGTCAAACGACTCTAGTGAGAGAGGGAGCTACATGTGGATCCAGATCCAGAGCAATCTGAATGTTCAAAATCTCACCAAAATTTCGGTTAAAAAATGAGTAAGTAGGCATTGGAAAAGATGCCAACAAAGAAAAATGTTCGACTTTTTACAAACGGTGCAGTTTTTGAAAAGATTGACCGTGTCTGGCCATAAAATAAGTCAAATTTTTCACAAATTAAGCCTCTATGATACTTTTAGTGCTAAAATAAGTGTATAGTCTCTTCAGGTTAGCGGAACTCCATCGCCAAACCCAGCTCTCCATGTTGACGCTTGGTCAAAGCCCAAAGGGATTTCTTCGAAATTATTTGACCCCCTTTAGGATAGTTCCAAGACGGCGTCAGACGAATAGGTAAAAAAGAACAGTTAAATAAACCTAAAGAACCACTAAACAGCATTTTGCAGTAAACTTTTTGTAAAAACCCATAATGGTTCAGGCCAACATCACAGAGATAAAGCATCACTCGGGCTTACCTGGTACAGAATTCGGCCATCCTTGATTTCAAGCGACAAAAACGTTTTACTCTTACCACCAGCCATCAGGAATAATAATCCTGTTGGAGCAAAAGTTTTAAAACTAATTTGTACATCTGACCGGCCTCTTAGAAGGAACGACCTTGCGTCGTAAATCACGTAACCGTAACCGTTAAATCTGAAACCGGTGCTCGGGTGCAGTTCAAGAAGTTGATCTCTACAAAAGCAGCCTTGAAAATGAACGTGCGGTCGCAGTTGTTACCTTCGCGTCGCCCCGTGGTTGTTTTCATTTCCTTCGACAAAGTTCCAAAGGGAGATTGGGGTTTCGCCGATGACCACGTCTTCAATTTCACCGTCAAACGAATTTTGAATGATCTGCTCTTGTATGGGGAACTGCGGCGGGTAGCCTCCGATAAACAGTTTGGATTGGTTTCGATCCAAATTGAATATGGTCTTCGGTCCTTGCAGTTCTTCGGGTGTACCGTGCAGTATGACCTCGCTACCGACCTGTTCGCGGACGGTTAGTTTTACGTTATGGGCGGTCCTAGAAAATTCAAATTAAAGATTCATTATATATTATAGATACAGCAGCAGGTTTAGTGATGGAAATAATTTGATTACTTCCAAACCTACCTGTCAATGATGAACTGATACCATGTATCATTCGAAACAAATTTGTTATTAACAACGCGCTGTGGTCCATTACCGACATCCATGGTAAACACCAAATAACCATTTTCCACTTCCAGGGCCATAAAATCGTCCGAAGATGTTCGTCGTAAATTAGTCCCGATACCATTGCCAAGGTAAAATAGGAGACCGTTGGGTTCCTTAGTCTTGAAGTAGCCAGAAATATGAGCAGAAGTACTCAGGTCATTCAGATTTGGAGGATTTTGTAGTTCGAGGGTCGTGTTGCGATAAAATTTCACTCCGACTTCGATACGATTCGCCACATCGCGCGCTAAGGCGATCTGTTGGTTGAGTATTTTGATTTTCTCAGCTATCTCCTTGCCAACGTCAAGTATGCGGGCCTGTCTCGCCGGGATGTTCTCGAGATCGCGCTGGATTATCGGCAGGCGCTCGTTGACGCTCCTCACTTGTTTGTCGGCTTTATTAATATCTCGTAGGGTGTCGTCCAACTTATTTGGTAAATATTCCGAAGCTTGTTTCTCTTTGGACACCTCAAGAAAATGTTGCGAAGCTTTAGCGAGAGTTTCCTTTGCTAAATCATCCGCATGGCTCACTATCTTCGAGGCTTCAATAAGCCGCTCGTCGAGAATTTGCGCGTGCGGTTGCCGTAAGAATTTCTCGATGTTGTCTAAACGCTCCACATTATTTTCGTGTACGGCGCGAATAGGACGTGCCTTTGTAAATGCGCTTGTAAGACGCGGATAAATATCATTGAGCACTTTTTCACTGGCCGCATCAGCTTCAATGAGCAACTTGGAGGAGATGTCATGCGATGATCCGGTATCCTCTTGTACTTCTAACAATAAACTAGCAGCTTCGCCGGCCGCGGTTTCGCCCAATTCGACCGCAGTTTCCGCATTGTCTACTGCATCCACTATGCTTTTATAGGCCGTGGCCGCTCGAATAGCGTTTGTCGAAATATTTCTAGATTCGGTGAATAAGTTATCAAATCTTTCGGCGGAAATGGATAAATTAGCGGCGTGTTCCTGAACTTCGGGCATCAACTCCTGTACACTTTCCAATTGTTTTAAATATAAGTCAAGAGTGTTACCCAGTTTCACATTTTCTTGCTCCAGAGATTGTGGCTCGTCAGCAATTTTATTATATGCAATATTTGCCTTGTTTAAGTACACTGTAGCATTCTTTAGCAATGCCTGCGAGTTGTTCATATTCTTGTAGATTTCATCCGTTTGGTTTTTAATGGCGTCAAGTTTTTTTATTAACGCTTCTTTCCTAAAATAAAAAAGAAAACAAGAATTACACGTTGATAATTAAATGAAACAAATAGTAAATAAATATGCTGATTACTAGATTAGCCAAGCACCTCCTAGTCAATTAGGCAATATTTACTGATCTTAATTATATTAGAATAGGTACCTATGCTCTACAAATAAGGACACTATCATCTTATTTTCATGTGCTTCCAGTCATTTGAGCAAGACAGTTTCCCCTAAATGTAAAGTCGCGCAACAAAATTGTAAACAATTTAACTCCTACCGCAAATGGAATTTCAGTATGGTCACGTTTGTTGAGAATCACCAAGAGTACTATTTATTCAATCTCCAAGGTAGGTACACTATTGGATCTGACTTGTGCATTGGGCTGGTTGTGTGCCACTTGTTCTTTGTGTAGCAAATTTTAGTGATAAAGAATGCGCTGTTACTACTTGACCATATCTATATGACTAATTAAATTTGATTGCTGACAAAATTTTGGTTCTGCACGAATTTTGAGCAATTCGAAATAAATGTGGTCCAGTGAAGGTTGAAGTCCAGCATAATTTTAAACCATTAACTGCACGTCGAAAATAATATTAAAAAAGTACAGCGACGTCACGTATCAACCGATAACAAAAAGATATTTCTTTTTCTTACCTTAGTGCAGGCAATAGAAGGTTTTGATTTTGGAGGCTCTTCTTGCACCTATTTACCAAAAAATAAGACCTGCGATGAGTTAAAAATCACTTTATTGAGTCACTATTGTCCTAAACGTCCATAGCCTTTGGGCTCATTTGCTTCAGTCGTTTTACAATAGAACAGATTTTTGTAAATTTTGAATTTGTGTCCACATCAACAAAATTTATCTTTATTTAGTAGTATAATAAGTGCTTAAAAATATCATTTTGGATAGTTTACTTCAACAGTACATCTGTTGATGACTAAATCCTTGTCTGTAATAGACACGCATGTTAATACAAGGTGCAGCAAGTAGTTCTCCCACTTTTCAAAAAATGACTGTGCGAGAAGAAATGATCGGAGAGGGATGCGGTGTTGTGTGTTCGACGCGGAAAAGACTCAACTTTTAGTAGTAACCATGGTTTGGTCACGTGTGCATAGTGCATATGTTGTTTAGACGTTTTTTTAAAAAAATGGTGAATCCGTTATAGCACCTCAGAGGGCGTTCCGCACAAGGTACGGTTGACAGTTCACAGATCCAGTCTGTGATAGAAAAACGATTTTGCGTTAGGTTCTTAAGCAACCAGACTCCTCGAAATGGATTCGGACCGCCGAAAACATCGCCAGAGTGACGGCATCAATTGAGCAGCCTCCTAGGCGCTCTGCACGAAAACATGCGGCTGCTCTTCGAATCTCGGACAGAACTGTGACACGAATTTTACACTGTGACTTCAAGTTTCATCCCCTACAAGATTGTTAAGGTCCAAGAATTGTCCTCAGCGGACTGGGGAAAATTACGGGGGTTGTTGTAACGCGATTCTTGAGGCTGTACCGCTCACCGCTGTTTTATGGTCGAGCGAGGAAGCCCATTTCCACTCGCCGGGCTTCGTCAATAAAAAAAACTTCCACGTCTGGGACGCCCAAAATCCTCGAGAGTTTCATCAGAGGCCTCTTCACAGCCCAAAAGTTACGGTTTAATGCGCCGTGTCCGCCATTTGGGATCATAGGCCCTTACTTTCTTGAGGAAGGCGCCGGCGCTACAGTCACCGTGACATTCCAACGATACTGCAACATGTTGGAGGAATTTTTGCAAGGCCCAGAGAACTTCTGGTTCCAGCAGGATAGGGCTACAGCCCATCGTTCAAGTGAGATTCTGCAGGATAGGGGCTCCGGTTAAGTGATCTCTCTGCGAGAGGTGATTTCTTGGCCTCCTCGCTTCCCAGTGACTTCTTCCTGTGGGGCTACCCCAAGAGTGCGGTCTACAAACACCGCTCTAAAACCCTTGAAGACTTGAAGGAGATAAGTAATCGAGGAGGAAATCATTCGAATTGACACCGGTATGCCGAGGAGAGTCATGGAAACCTTTCGCGAAAGACTCCACATGTGCGTCACTCGCCAAGGCCATCATTGGGACGACATATGTTTTCAAATCATTAGTGAAAAAAACTTGATCAAGTATAAGCTTTCGAATAAAATGAATTTTTTTAATATATTGTTTTTTTAACAACTCCTCCAAATGTGGGAGAATTAGTTGCAGCACCCTGCATATTTTGATATAGAGAAAGAAAGTGTAGAATCGCAATGCATTTAATATATCCTTTTTTACATTTTGTTGTCACCTCTTTGAGTACCTAATCAAAATTCAGATTTTTAAAATGACGATAAAATACGATCAGGGTATTAAGGGCTCGGAAGGCGGAATCATAAAATACGTAAACTTGTAACAAATTGAACATTTAATCAGTTCTTCCTTGGGTGATGATAAATAAAATACTTACTCAAAGCAGAATTGAAAAATTCGAAACCGTGTGGGAGATATCTTGTCCACAGACGGATGGACGGAAATCATGAACTTGCTAATAATCTATTAAAGTGGGGGATGTAGGCACTGTTTTGTATTTTCGTTTATCGGTATGGGGTTTAATTAATTTACATGCATTCCAATTAACCAAAATAGAAACTCATCTTAAGCCTTATTAAGTAGTTCAGTCTCTAAGGGAATTTACCATTGAACGTCGTTAAACATACCGCACCGCTTAAACTTTCGACAAGTACTACGCGGCAAATTGGTGGGTGACGCGGTAACGAATATATGCAACGATTTTCTTATCTTTAGTCACGCCTCCCTTTCGAACGACTGCACCAAATTAGACAATTCTTTTTTTGTTACGTTTGTTATTATCAGGACAAGATTTGTATAAAAGATAATTTTCAAAATATGGTACGGAAAGACATAAAAAATAGTATTTTACATTATAAGCTATTTCTTTTTTCCGTTATTTTTAATCACAATATACCGGGTGTTGCCTAGCGCGACGCAGCATAGGGATTTCAATGGTAATTTCTTTATAGCCAATTACTAGCTCCCCTAATTATTTTAGAGCAAAAGTGTAAATACGTTTTTTTAGAGAAAAAAATACTGCATCTGTTCATACGATTACTTATAATTTTCCGTTTTTAAAACCGTAGAAATCCACAAAATAAAAAATTACATTTTTATAAATCAGTGAGGCTTTGGAATCTTTTAATAAACTACAAGCGCATCGCATCTGTTTGACGTCGAACGATTTTCATATTTAATTCTGTTTCAACTAACCGACGCAAGAAAAAGCGTCTATGGAGTAATGTTTTTTTAGAGAATGAAATGCTGCATCTGCATCAGATACTATATTGTTTATCATCTTCTGGAACCAGAGTACATAATCGATGAAAAACAAATTGATTTGAGGAAGAATTGTTCTTAAACTTAAGTTCGGATTTTCCGCTACTGCAGCCAATACGTTGAATATATTGTCGTTTTCCTGGTGGTTTTGACGCATTTTACACGTTATTGCACTTGCAGTGATTTAACACTGTTCTTGTTCTTTAAAACTTGCGCACAATTCTGTCTACTGTGGTACTGCTTGGAATCGGTCGATTGGGGTACCTCCCAGAAAATAAGGAAATTACTTGGCGGGCATAAAACAACTTTAACATTTCCACTTTCTCTTCACTTAAATACATGATAAACAATTTTATGATTAACTAATTTATAAACAAGTATTTAATATACGTCAAAGGCAAATGATGAAAAGTTATCGCTGTTTTTTAGGTAATTCCAAGGCATATCTGATTTATTATAAATGTACTTTTTTATTTTGTCGATTTCTACGGTTTTGAAAAACGGAAAATTATGAGTAATAGTATGAACAGATGCAGTATTTTTTTCTCTCAAAAAAACGTATTTAGACTTTTGCTCTAAAATAATTAGGGGAGCTAGTAATTGGTTATAAAGAAATTACCATTGAAATCCCTATGATGCGTCGCGCTAGGCACCACCCTGTATAGATGGCGCCATTAGTGAAAATAAAAATGAATGTTTATATCATTTATTTTATTAGGTATATTATTTATTTTATGGCTAAACAGTTCATTCGATTGCGATGAAACTGAGGAATGTTTGGACGCACGCCTGCGAATGTCTCTGATATAGTAAAATATATAGGTACTTATGCATGCGCTCACATCGGTTCGTACACCACGATCTGCTGTTACCCTGCGTCCTTCTCTATCATATGGAACAGTGAGGTTGTCGCAATTCTAAGTAGCGCGCGAGAGAGAAACATGTGTATTATTCTGTGCGAGAGAGAAAGAAGCAGTGTGGTGAGAGAGAGTGCATGCGTTCTCTCCATGTGATAGAAGCAGACAGAAACATTACTTACATTCATTTCAATTAAGGGTACTCTGGACTTAATTTCTTCAGGCAACCCATTTCCAATGTGTTTGTTTACATATTAAGTATGATAAAAAATGCATTCACTCCATAAATAGGTGGGCAAAGCTTGACCCTATGTGGGATCTTGTACCATTACATTATTCAATCATAGACCGGGAGATGGTGACACGTTTTGTGGTGTGATTTGCTACAAGTATGGCGACCATTCAAAGGTTTAATTAAGTACTCCTCAAAACGAAAATGGTGCTAACTCTCTGGGAGTGGGGCCGTTATTGCGTGACGATTGTTTAAACATGTCGGAAAATTTTATGATTTTGGGCAATTTGCTACACAAAATTCTTTAGATTTTCTGGTAGTCGGTGACAAAACGAATGACGGAAACGAAATGCCATACTTTTCCGGTGGGCCTTATAGCCCGCCATACTCATTTGAACGTGTCGATTGTTTTTTTTTTTTTTGGGTGATTTGCTACAAGCTCATTTTTTTATGAGCATCAAGTCCTCAATCAGTAATATTCACGAAAATTACCCTGCCATACCGCACCGACGGGGCCGGATAGCCGCCATACCGGCGCAAAGATGTCATTTTTGTTAATAATTTTGGGTGATTTGCTACAGTATGGCATTTGGATTTTCTGAAAGTTCATGCTCCACTTTGATCCATGATGTATGTGCCATACTCGTCATGAAGGCTAAAGATGGCGCCATACTCGAACATCTGTTTTCCTAAAACATCTTTGTGCTATAACTGGGACAAGCAACATTGTCATCGGTCTCTTCTGTTTCGTTGCCTTTGCCCTCGTCACTACTCAAATCGATTTGATCTTCATTCTCTTGGTCAATGCGATCCAGAATGATATATACGACAGTAGTGGGCATGACGTCGCCGTCGAACCAATTAAATTCATAATTATCTGGGTCCGTTACCTAACTTCCATCCATAATTTTCAGGACTATATATTGATGGGTATTTCAGATGCGCAGTGCCAACTTTAATTATGAAAGCATTTAAATGAAATTTGATACATATATGCATTTAGAATAAAAGCAAATGTAACAGCAAACAGGTGCAAAATTTGGTTTTGAACATGCTATAGCCATACCCAGGAGCTCGTTTGCTATAACGTTTATTATTATTATTATTAGTGTTACTTTAATTTGTATAATGTTCAAATTTTCATCGTTTTTTAATTCGAAATAAATACAACTGCCCTGAAAATTTTATCAAAATTGATCCAAGTACACTGGGTGTTCAGATACTTATGGCGGGTAGTATAAACTTGACGGCAGCTGCTACCCACTACCTGCGATCCATTGGATGCAATGCAGAACACAACGACCCCGACCGGGACCTCTACAACTTGACTAAGAGGTTCGAGTGGGGCGGAGAATATTAAGCGACATAACATCTCGTGATAAAACAATATTGGCCTGGGATTCATGTTTGAAACTTGATATTTACTTTTATTACACCTCAAACTGTCACGAAAAATTGGTGCCATACTCTGTAGCAAATCGCCCAAATTTTCCGAAAATTCTTACATTTTTGAAAAAATATTATACATAATTGGCCCATGGCCACAGGTATGGCGTATCGAAATTTCTATTCCTGACTATAAAAATAACTGGTGGAAAAATTTATAGGGTGTAGAAAATCGCCCAAAATTATTAACAAAAATGACATCTTTGTGCCGGTATGGCGCGTATGCGGGCCCGTCGCTGCGGTATGGCAGGTTGATTTTTGTGAATGACTATTGAGGACTTGATGCTCATAAAAAAATGAGCACCCAAATCACCCAAAAAAAAACAAACAATCGACACGTTCAAATGAGTATGGCGGGCTACAAGGCCCACCGTAAAAGTATGGCATTTCGTTTCTGTCATTCGTTTTGCCACCGACTACCAGAAAATCCAAAGAATTTTGTGTAGCAAATTGCCCAAAATCATTAAATTTTCCGACATGTTTAAACAATCGTGACGCAATAACGGCCCCACTCCCAGAGAGTTACCACCATTTTCGTTTTGAGGAGTACTTAATCACCATCTCCCGGTCTATCATGCAAAACGCACGAAATTTATGTTATAGTTACACTACTGTTAGGAGTGTTAATGCATTTTTAATTTTAATATAAATTTTATGGTAGCATCATTTGGTCAATTTTGAATGGAACGAAATTCACCCTTCTCTGTTCGGATTATTAATGCAAGAATCGTTAATTAATATTTGGTTACCCTGTTTATCATTCCAAAGTTGTTTTTTGCAAATATAATCAAAGGTTGAAAAACCTTTTTCAACGCCTCTCGCCTCTCCTACCTAAGTTAGGTGGGCACAGTTTCATTGTTTATTTTTCAATGTTCAACATTTACATATTTTTGTAGTATTCCCATCTTTGACCTGAACTAGCAAGATCTGGCACGCGTGTCCGAATATAACACAAGGAAAAAAAGTGACTTACACAGCAGACCACAGCACAAGTCTCCGGAATATGCCGACTGTCACCTATATCTCTACTCTACCACACTATGTTAAACTGCAACAAAACATTTTTAAATTTAAAAAGGATCTGAAACGTTTTCTTGTAGAGAGATGCTTCTATACTCTCTAAATGATTTTTTTTTAGTAATGTAATGTATTTTTTTACGCATCCTATGCACTACAATCATATGTCCATGGAAATAAAGAGTATTATTATTATCATTATCACTCATGTTGCCAAAAGAAATAACCAACATAAGAAGATTCAACAAATTCTTTCTAGAGCATCATAGCATGTTGACTAGACAATTCCCATGTCCTTAAATCGAGTAGCATTAATTATTATTATTTTGGAAGCTCGATTATTGAACAAGGCACAATAATAGGTAGTACAATTCCATCTCTATTAACTAGTCGACTTATTAAGAGGTCACGGATGAAGCACTCAATCTGTATTATAATAACAAATTCTGAAATTATATAAAATTTTATATAAAAAAGCATTTTACAGACATTCAAATCAAAATTAGTTACGGTGTCATTTTGTTTTGACATTATTATCAGTACTGCACAACTGATCATAACAAAACAACAGCCCCTCCAAATATTAACCAAAACTAAATATAAATATACTTTTGATACGCTGCATTTAATAAATATAATTATCAATATCATAATCTTTTGGAGAGTGCGCATGACACTTTAAACCTATACAGATATACTTCATTCTACTTTCTCAGCAAAGTAATTTATTCACTAATTTAATGCACAATCGATCAATTTATGTTTTTATGCCCCGCGTTTTAAAAGATTCTTTAACTTTCCACTGAACGAGTTCCATACAGGCGAGAGCGTCCTCCGCACTGTCGTGCCCCTGCACGTCGTTCTGAATGATTTTCTTTAAATACTCCCTGGCGAGATCGCGCAAAGCCCTCTTATGTGGTAGCCCGAACTTGTGGGGAAATAATACGGAGGTGTCGATTATTTTACTGTGGATAATCTTTAAAGCTTTCATGTCGGACTCTAAACTGTGTCCGATTAGGATCGTGTTTGCGTTGCACAGATGTAAAATGTTCGCCTGCACCTGTAAAATACTCGTTGCCGTTCGATTCATTTGCTCCTTCGTTATTCCCGAGAACCTCGTGTTGTAATCGATAATCGGACTGAGCGGTTTCACTAGACTTTCGTACACCGTTTTGCACTCCGAGTTCACGATCGTCACCCTAGTCAATTCCAAGCCCTTCGTCGTGTAGCACATTTCACAATCCAACGCGAACACCTCGCTACTTCTGGGATCATCGTCGCGTTCCGGCGGCATCGTCATTTGATACCCTTCGATTTCGCCGTCCGCATTGTTTCGTTCACTCTCACTAACGTGGGTCGCCGCGGTAACGCAGCCCGTACCCTCCCCACTCTTGCAACAGAGATAGAAACTCTCACCTCGAAATGTGCGTTTCTTTAACGGGTGATACACGCACTCCTCTTCGTATAACGCGAAACCCTCTTCGTCCACCCTGTACAGCTTGGAGCACCGACAGCATTTACGATCGAATTCGTCTAGACCGATTTTCGAGTGCTGCTTCTGGCACGGTACCTTCCCGAGGCCCGGCTTTCTCCCCTCGCGCGGAAAACCATGCAGTACCAACTCGTCGTCGGTTAAAACCAATTGCTTTATATTATTGTAGAATTTAACGCCCTTAATCTCGCTCCCGCCGTCTTTGGGAACGGTTGTGATGTCACCCGGCAGTATCGGTCCCAAGCCGGACATCTCCCTTTCCTGCAGCTCCTTGCGCAACCTGTTGATCGCGAGCATCGCCGAATTCCGATAAGTCACGAGCGCAGAACACCTCTCGTAGCACTTAAACTCCTCACTGGCCGCCCTCTGCTGAGCCTCGTCCACACGCATGTATAGCTTGACGCATTCGTCGAAAATCATCGACAGATACCGCGAGCGGACGTTAACGGGTAACTTCGAACGCTCGGACTCCAGAAGATCGGGCATGTCGCCGGCGGACACGTCGGGAACGTGCGCCACCCGCTTCTCGCCCTTATTCGACTGCGCCGTCGTTTTCAAGATCGAATTGATCGCCTTCCGCTTGGCCATTTCGTCGATTTTTGCCTTCGCGCGCTGTATCGAGTTGACGTTCTGTACCGGGGCGATTCGCCTGGGTTTGCTCGACGCTTTCCCGCCGAGTATGTCGTCGATTAGGGACGTCGACGGCGGATCTGGCGGTTTCGCGACTTTGCGGACTTTCGCCGGAATCGCCTTTTGGGCGGGCACCTCTGCCGGTCGTTTTAACATGTGCTTCTTAATTTCGCTTAGATCGTCCTGCTCCTCAGCGGCGTTTAATTGCATCTGTCGGATCGCTTTGAAGCGATTGACCATGATTTGGGCGGCGCTCGGCATGGCCGGTTTTGAGTTCTGAAATGTCTTCGGTTTATTCTTATCCGCATTATCGTGTGCAATTCGTTTTTTCAGTACCGCAACCGGCTGCTCCTCCACCGATTTGATTACCTGTTAGCGTCATCAAATAAAAGGTTTTGTTAGAATTTGGTCTCTATTTTAAGGTGTGCCGTTAACAAAACGTGGTTTAATATTAAGCGTAGGGCTTCAGGATTCTAGTTTTATTACTCTACACTCAATTTTAGACCACGTTTTATCGTGACTTTGTTAACCCATAAACAATCATGTGGTACGAAAACACCACCAACCCCGCACCGCCACAACTAATTGAGCAATTAACCTACCTCTGGGAATATTTCGGGTTCAGTCGGTTTGTACTCGGTAAATATCTTGTAGCACTCCTCTATCGGATCCTCCTCCAAATCGGAATCATACAAATCTTGTAAATCGAACGAACCGTTCCCTAAATCGTCCGCTAGATCGTCGCCATTCTCTTCAATTTTAGGCGACTTCTCCTTCTCTTTCTTTTTCTTCCGGCTACCACTCGACTCCCTACTTTTATTTTTGTGATCATTCCCCCGTTTATCCCTACGACTCGAACGGTGCTTATCCTTCGAGCTCGATTTCGAATTGGACTTGCTACTACTATGCCGTTTATCGTCCTTAGAACTTCGGTGTTTTGAATCCGATTTCTTAGAACTATGCTTCGACTTCTCGTCAGTCTTCGACTTACTCTTATCTCTACCTTTGCTTTTAGACTCCTTTAATTTCGGCTTCGAAACTTCTGCAGCTACTTCCTCGACTGCTTCGATCTTCCCATTAGAATCGTTTATAAGCTCGTCGATCATTTCAAATTCGTTCTCCAAATCCTCAAAGTTTACATTGCACTCGACCTCATCCTCGTCTTTCTCTTCGACGTGATTCACTTTTGCTGTGGTCCCCAAAACGCTAATAGGAGTTGGCTTATAAGTGGGCAAGTTCTCGTTAAACCGAAAACGAAAACTACTATTTTCAGACGGTTGCGCCAAGTCGGGCACGTAACTGATCGGAATGTGAGTCTTTACGTTCGCCAATTGGCTTTTGGGTGTTGGATTGTAAGTCGGTACCTCGGTACTAGCAGAAGTGCTCTCGCAATCTGCGTTTTTCCTTCTGTGCCTAAAATGACAATATGGCCTACCGCAGGAATTTTCGAAATAGGGACAGTCGATATTTTGATATAATCCCATTGTAGGTAACATTTTTGCTGATTTTTAACGTAAATTTAATTATTTTAACGGAACACGCAATCCCTTAATGAAACGAACATAACCTCACACACGACAGATAATTTTGACAGATATAAACAACAATCTTACCAGTGGCGTAACTACGAAGTTTTAGTACAAATTTTTATACAGTGACGCCCAAAATATCACAATCCTTATTCCAGCTGATAATTTTAATCTAATCAATTGGTAAGCGTTGGTAATATCCGCCCGAACAATTTTTGTCTATTTCCTATTAAAGGCCGGTTTTACAATTACACTTTTACGCAGAATAAGATATCCTTGGAATAACTGCCATAGCAACATGTATCTCATGGTTGATACAATTGTAACCAACGCAACCGGCGACATTTATTCTAGGTATAGCTTATTCTCGGTATATACCTGAATTGTAGAATCGGCCCTTAGTAACGTCATCTTTCATCCAGCAAAACTTTGGCAACGTGAAAAATAGCATTTTCCTTTACGACTTAGAAATTTGCCCCTTTTCCTCCCAAACTTCAACGACGGATGTAACTTTTTATCACCCGAACCTAAATCGACTTTTCGAAATTTTCATGCGTCGCTGCAGCTACTATCGAAATCGAATATTTTACACTATTGAGATATTAATGAATTTTTTAAAAACAAGTCCTATCGCACTCACGTGGGGTGCTTTGCCTATTGCTCTCGACTCTAAGGAGAAGATTCTACGCAAAAATTCCAGGCTTCCTTTGAATGGAGAGTATACCGTCAAGATATTGGCCTCATAGTACAATATTACGTCAAAAGTTAGAGCCAAGAAAATCATTGAACAAATCGAATTCGCTTAACGGTGATAATCGATGAGACCAGAACAAACACTTTTCTCAAATAAACTAAGCACTTCGTCTCATAAAAAAATTATATTTTTTCCATTTTTCTTCAACTACACAAAAGATGAGACTATGGATTTGCTTATGTATCTAGGTGTGCCATTACTAAATTTGCAAAATCCTATCTCACAAGGCCGCGCGGGGCGAGAAAAATGCAAATTTTTGAACATAAAAATGGTGGACTTATGTTTTGGAAATTTGAAAATAGTTTTTAAGGTTTCTGAAAAAAATAATGGAAAAAAAAACTTTTCATGCAAAGAATCTAACCTGAGCCGTCCCGTTGCAAGCCCTAGGATTCTTACCACTACTATGGCACACATTCAATCGTAAATAAACTGACGCAAGGAAAGTTTTAAATTCCTGACAAGTTGCGACAAATCTGCGCATGCCGCGAAAAGTACCTATAGCTATCTTGCGCGCGGTGATCTAATCGAGTCCCCCGTCTCCCTCGCGCTCGGACCGTGGAAAAAAACTGTTTCCTGAAGCCTATTGAATAGATATTGCACTACTTCACTAAAATACGAATCGTCACCTGCCGAAAATGTGGGAATCATATTATGTTCTGCCGCCAGTTAAAAACGTTGAGCAAGCCCCACTTTAGAGCTTTCTTAACTCAGGTACAAACGTAAACAAAAGATTTGTAGAGATTCTGCAAAGACCCTGATGAAACTCTGCACCCATACATTTTGAGAAGAGATTTTATACAGAGCCTGTAGGGACTTTGAATTCTGTTGAGATTACTTAGACTTTAGAGATCCTATATAAGTCCTATACATATTCTTTAAAAACTACGTTGAAATTAGTTGCGAGTTCCTACTGAATTTTGAAGCAATTCTGTCACGGGTTAATAGAGCCCTTGCGTGGACTGTGTGGAGATTATAGAATTGTGGAAAATGAAGTACTAATTTCTCTAAAGATTCGAAAATTCTGTAGGGATCGTCTAGATGACGGGCCGTAATGGGATTGTAGGTCTACTGTAGTCTACGAACACTCTACAGAGCTTCTAACTTAAGGTCTTAAACCGAAATGTGAGTCCACCATGCTACCATAATACCGCAATTTACTGATAAATTCCACTAATGCAAGGTTAATTGCATTTTAATGACACAGTGGACAGCATTCAACCACAAAATCCGATAGCGATACTTAAATGATTATGGACTAAAGCAACAGCATTTGAGCTATGCGGCCGGCTGTGCTGTTTCTTCTCATGTGTGCCTTTAAAATTACACATCAGTTTACTTACACTAACTTCTTTCTCAAGAAAGTGGAAAACTGTGATGAAAAGAATGTGTCCCGGGTCTTTTTTGATATACGCAATGAAGGGGGACGGCAATATTTGGACTTGCTCGTCGCGTTTCCGAAACCTTTAGGCGAAACCGTTGGGGTAAAAAGCAGGCGCCCCTTCGAAAGCTTACATCACCTTAATCCTTTTAGGCTATGACAGATATCGAATTGACACTGGATGAACAAATCTATACTAGACTCTTCACTATACGTGAAAAAAATTCTTGCACCTCAATGCACAAGTATATGGGGGAGTTTTCCTATGCACTAGAAAGGAGCGGTGGATTAACTCCTGGCGTTTGCCCTATAAGAAAGGTAAAATTATCCATTATACATTATCAAGGAGAGTCGGATCGTTCACGTTTTCAGAAAAAAATTATCGTTCGAAACCACCACCTGGATTTTTCAAAAATCGCCCTGCAAACTTTTCCATTTGGACATTTGCGGATAACAATATCCTTACTTGACCATGAAAATAATCACGCTGTTTTATTTTGCATGCGGTTCTATATCGAAAATGTCGTAAATTAACTTACATTAACTTGCGATGATTAATTATATGCACCAGACTATTAAAGGCATACTTCGATAATGTCTCTGCTACGCCCACTACCAAAATAAAAAACGCTCGCAAGAAGTTCAAAAAGCTCTTTAAGATCGGTCTTTTAAACACCCTAAAGAATTTTTAGAGGTTCTTAAAAAACTTCATAGGACTATACACTCATTGTACTATACCAAACCTTGGATGACCTTGAATTAAAAATATTTGGATATGGTGACTCTAAAACGCTTAAAAAACGTATGTCCACACTAGGAGACTGTAGGTTAACTGTTAAAACCTGCTGGCAACTATTACATTATCTCTAAATGCAATTACTATAGAGAGAGCCTTCACGTACCTACATTCAAAGACTCTTTAAGATTCGGATATGATATATTCTTGTTTTTTTTACGACCATTAAGTGGGTAGACTGTCCCAAATAGTTATAGGACACAGACCCCCAAAATTGAGAGCCTGATGCCTTTGATAGCCTTGTTACAGACACACATTATAAATTGTTCTACATAAATTAAACGAATAGAAAGACCTCAAACGGCGGTCTAAGTGCATCAGTTGCACATTTAGGTACTACATATACCTAAGATAATTACGTTAGAAATTCGCACCTCCTTATTATCATTTTAATAACCAATTGTAATCTAGGGAAAACGTCGCATGCATAAACACAAGCGGCATTTACCAAATCACACATTCTAATTACAAAACATATTTTTCAAACCATGGTATATTTACAGCTATAACGTCTATGCACCTTACAGATTACAGATACCAAAGTACCTATTCAGTGTTTACATGAGCTTTTTGGATCTGTGTATATGATTCAAGCACTTTTCAAAATGGTTAACAATAGCTATGCGAATCTAGCTATAAAGCATTTATTAACTTGAACATTCTTAAATGTTTAACCAATTAGTTGCAAATTCACCATAAATATTTTTCTTCTATTTTGAAGAGCATGCTTGCCTCTCTATAAAACCAACAGCAATACATTGTGCAAATGAAACAATACACTTCCTTTGTTCAGAAGGTTTCATTAAATATATGTATGTTTACCATAGTGAGTGGCAAATCATCATATTATGTAAATTTATTATGGTATAATACATAATGATGCCATTTCTGATAAAGTGGATAGTGTTCAACTAAAGTAGGTGCAGTTTTATAGTCTCCTTTTAATTTTTGAACCCACTGTTAAAGAGTAGAGGCGAAGTATTTACCTACATTTACTGAGAATGATGCTCACTACAAAATCCAATTGAATACCTACCTCTGCAATACTCAAAAAGGAGTAAACAAATTCATTATTGTAGGAAATTCGTAAGGTAAGAACAACTTAAGACCTTCTGCAGAGGCACCTCTAAAAAGCATTATGCGGGTCACTCTGTAATTGGGCGCAAGCCTGTTGGGGGCCCAGAACAAGAGATAATAAATAAATAAATATCATTAAAGAAAGACAGTAGGCTATACTCTTCCATTCTTTACCACATAACTGTTTAAAAAGCTCCCTGCCATTCCAAGCACTTACCAGTAGTCTTTTCTGCTCGGCATGTTAAATACTTAATGCTTTGCTTACTTTATGCTTGCTATCCACTTCTCTGCCTCTTGAGCCTTGTTGAGTGAATACTGCGTCTGATTATACAAGTCGTCTAAATTCTTAGCGAACTGATTTAAATTACTCTTGCTGCTGTTAAACTCCTGACTGGTTTTATCCGCAGGTTTTTTGAATTCACGTAAGTTGCTGATCAGCTCGTTCGCCTTCGTCAGCACGGCACTGGCGCCGCTCTCCTTCTCTTTCAAATCGAACGCCTTAATCTGCTCCAGCATCTCTTCGGCTTCCATGAGCGCGGCCTCGATCTTAGGGCCTGCAATTGGATAACGTTAGTTACCGTTCGCGTAAACTTGGTGGGCACCTTCTCCCGAAATCAAACTCGCGGATAGGGTTTCGATGTTGACTATCGCGGCGTTAGCCTGCGCGGCGGCGTCTCTCACCCCCTCGAGAACGACGTACGATTGGGCGTTGACATCGCCGACGACCGAAGCCGCGTCTTTACCGCTGGTCGTCGAGTAAACGGCCTTTCTGTTTAGATTTTCGGCGAATTGTTCCAGCGCTTGAATGTTTAATAGAGTGGGGCTTAGATCGATGGCGTTCGGGTCGAGTTTTTCAACTCTTGGTCGTAACTGTTCTAATGTGTGGTTGATGTGGGACAATCGTTGAGTGGTGAAGTATCCTGAATCGGCGGCCTAAACAAAAGATTTGCATATTTAAAATTATTGTTCAAATTCAAATTTCGCGGTTCACTAACGGAGCTAAAATGGCTGCCATTGGCGTTACTTTAGCAATCTAGGGACTTTATTCTGTACTAGAAACATATATAAGAAAATTGGGAGCATGCGCACATCTAGGTAATATACTACTAAATATGTATGGGAATAGTTGCGGCCTCGGACGGACGGGCGGGAACAATGGCAGCAGAAGCAGAGATGTTACATAATATACTATATATAATATTTGGATGGAGTCCCAAATCGTACAGTGAGACATAAATGAAATGAAACTTTACGTAATGCTATTCAAAAATGGGGAAAAAGAGACCATCTACAAACCCAAATCAAAGAGGAAATTACAGTTCATAGCACATGCCAAAAAATGTTGGTTTATTGTTATTGAATTGGTGTCACCGTGTTCTTTTTCCTTTTAAAATCGTTTGTAATTGCGTATTATTTTCTTGTTTAAATTTGATGGCTTAAATAATTTATTTAATATATAAAAGGAACCTCTGGTCGTTTGCGATAAGGAGTTCTTATCAGACGAAAATTGAATTAACTTATCGTTGTTAGAAGATGTAAGTGTTTTACGATATGTGCGTTATTTCGGCGTAAGTGGGGACGCGTTCCTTTAAATCGGGCGTTATCAAGCCTAATTGTGATTTTTGAGGAAGAAGATTATCGTGTAGTGTGATTCTTTAAATACTGAAATCAACGTAAAAACAAAATTGCTGCTGCTGCGAGTTCCGCGACGATTAAAGAACGTCTAAATTTGTTTACGCAAAATCTCCCGTAATCTGCCGTGTTTAGTTGCAGACGCAGTTCGTCGGTTTCGAAATAAAGTGTATAGAAGAAGTTAAACAATTTTAATAAGAGATTTAAATTATTTTCAAGCGACGTGGTAAAAGTTTGTGAAAAGTTTTTAAAACGGTTTATCCGTATTCGGAAAAACTTTGTAAACAAAGCAGTTTTCCGCTTAGAGAAAGTTAAAAGTTTCTACCGTTCGAGCAGCCACCGAAAATCTTTTTCATTTAAACCCAGTTCGAGTTATTGAGTTCAGTTTAATAGAGAAAAAGTGGTTTCCTGAAGCTATTAGCGAGTGCTTTTGTGTCTTTGATCAGTGCGGCTAAATATCGCAAGCTTTTTACGACCAGATTATTTGGATTCTTAAAAAAACTGTAATTAATTTAAGATTTGTTTAAATTTTTAATTATCGGCCACCTGCGTGCGGTGTATCATATCCAAACAAGTTTTTTTCTCTCTGGAGAGTTTTGTGGCACGGAATAAATTTTTTTCTTGTCATGTTAAATAAATACGTACATAAAATTCGTCCAAATAGGGTTGAATTAGAGACTGCAAACCTGCAGTATCATCCAATAAATTGTCAATGCACTTGTCACAAGGGTGGCAACCAACTTCCGGTATAAATACCCATCGGAACGGGCACTGGTCGCACTTTTCACCCTCGACACCAGGAAGACATTCACAACGCCCCGTTTGAGTGTTGCATCCGAATCCGACAGAGTATTCCGTTTTACAGCCACAAGCTAGTAATTAAGAGATAAATGCAAACAGAGCTCCAAGAGAATACTTACAATTGCATCCTGTTTCGCTATAATTCCAAAACCCGGGCGCGCAACGATCGCAGGTTCGCCCAGTAACGCCTGGTTTGCACATGCATTGCCCAGTAGAATCGTCGCACTGTGAGCTTAAAGAAGCAACTCCGCATGCACAGGGTATACAACCCTGTCCGGATTGGAATCCAAAATGATCCAATTGACAACGATCACACTTTTCACCGATAACGTTTGGTTTACATTCACACCGTCCGGTGTAACTATTGCAATGGTGAGTTCCAACATAATCGCAGATGCAGGCTGTTAGTTGCCCAATAAAAAATCAAACAAAAGAGAGGATCATACTCACGTTGGCAATCCTTAGCTAAAATCGCGTCGCCATAAAATCCAGGCGCGCATAACGCGCAAGTTTCGCCGTACGTGTTGTTAAGACAGCGCAAACATTCACCGGTTACTGTATCGCACGAACCGATCTCGGTTGGGTTGATATTGCCCGAGCATGCACAAGGTTTGCAATAATCGCCCAGGTTTTCTGGTTGCCCGTAATAGCCGGTGGCGCAGGAGTGACATCGCGCCCCGAAATAGCCCTCATTACACTGGCAACTGATTTTCTCACCGTCCGCGCTCACTTCGCATGAGCTTGCAAAGCTGAAAGTCGATTAAATCAGGATAAAGCCAAATTTAAGTTTGATAAGTAGTTTTTTCGATCTTAGGATTAAGTAGTTTTGCTTCGGTAGCCAGATATTTCGGACGCCTTAAGTGGAATCAAAATTGTGTCTAGTAGTAAAAAAAGTAGACCTCCATTTGACATGTCGAAATAGCTGGCTACTGAACGAATGTCTTCTTTGGCCTATACACCCTACTCAAAATTTAAACTTACTTGTTCGAAGCGACCGGTAGAGGGCACGCGCATATTAAACAATCGCTCGGAGTGCCTTGTAACGCGTTGCCATGGTAGGCGACCGCACATTCCTCGCAGTGATCACCGCGCGTGTTGTGCTTGCAACCCTACAATCCGATTTGCCAAAAGAAATCGTGGAAGGTTTAAAACACTTACGTAACAAACTCCAGTGTTGACATCGCATTCGTCGGCATGCCCATTACATTGACACTGAACGCAATATCCCCCATGCGGTCCGGAACTTATCCTATAATAGCCTGCAGCGCAGTACTCGCAAGAGAGACCGTCATATCCGGGAGGACACTGGCATTGTTCTACGGAGGCGGCGAATTTAAAGTGACCGTCTTGGTGGTAGTATTGCATTGGTACTGCATCATCCAATAGCACGTTTGATAATCTACAAACAAAATTCAAATTAAAGTAGAGATCCGATAATCATTTGATTAGGTAACTGTTAGTGTAAATGTAGCTTTATAAGCTAAGAACTTAAATTGTTAATATTGGTATATCAAATTGACTGACGTCTATCTTATTGAGTCTCTAGTAATATGAAAAGTTTCTCAAATTTGTTTGGTCTTCAACTCGAGTTTAGAGCATAGTAGATAGGATATTATACACCAAAGAGCTTAAGAGTATGTTTTAATACCAAAAGCAAAAAGCACCCCTTTGCTGCAAGTACACCTAAGGAGTGATGCACAATAGTCCCGTGGTATAGGGTAAGTGGGGTGAATATACCGCCCATGCGGGTAATTCTGCTCATCTTATTTTGCACACCCGAGCGTCGACCATGGCTCCGCGCATAGGTAAGAGCCAGGGTGAGAGCTGAGGTCTCGCGCATAAAATTGAGTTTAGTATTTTTTTACCCTCAACCATAATGCCACTTGCTGTATTGAATCATTTGTTTTTTCACTGCATCTCGCAAGCATCCACTTTTCATGCACTTTAACAACAGAAGTTTTTTGTTTAACACTTTTGTACCCCCCGTTTTACATTTCCGCACAATGCACGGTTTCGTCAGTTTTCTCAAAGCGGTGGTTTTTGATTTGCGTAGGGGTTCAAAGAGGTGCGGCGGTAGTCCTTGTATTTACAAGTCAGCTATAACTGTTGCCAGAGAACATTCCCAGACTCACGCGCCGCCCGTGATGATTTTTGGTACTACGCGGCAGTCGAAGCGTTAACGGACTCACTTCGCACATAGGAAACAGGCTCGAGTTTCCAGGCCTGTGTATACGACCGTGGTTTAAACCCACAAAAAATCAGGAAAGAGTGAGGCTCGATACAAGTGCAGAAAAAAGGAACAAAACACATTCGGATGTGCCCATTTGATATCTGGTGCCCATAATGATCATTTTTGCTCGCCAACGAATGGTGTAATAGGTGGTCGCTTTAGGATTAAAAAATGTTGGTTTCAAATTTTACAAAATTGCATGTATAGGAAATCTGATATGGATACCACTCATAAAGAAAGAGCACGGAACTAATATGCGAGAAAACGAAGGGCGTTCCGATAAAGCAACGAGTGCAAGCACAAAAGAGTAAAAACGCCACAGTTCTAAAAACCGTTCTGACGCAGCATGAGGGTCGCACTTTCTGCTATACCTTCGCATGTATAAAAAACAAGGCTGAAACCTGTTTTGCGCCAGGGTCGTTTCGGGCTCGACGAGAACATAAGTAAAAATTGAGTGAGAGAGAAGGGTGCTTTGCCGAACCCTCAAGGCGAAACTATGGAACTGGAGCGCGGCATTTTTAAATCGAGTAATATTGGATTCGTAGCCGAACTTTCGAGTTGAATTCGAAGAGAAAATTATGCCGCCATTTCAACGAAATTATTGTCGTGGGTGCTTTTTAAATTCATTGTGACTTGCCATTACGAGCAAAACCAAGAATAAGTGGCGTATTATTTATGCAAAAAGGAACCAGAGCCTCAGGTTTTGATTTTCAGGTTATAAATGGAAATAAAGAACCAACTTCTGCAAGGCTAGCTGCGGAATTAATTATGTCATTGTTCCAGTAATTAAAAAATATTTTTACCAGTGCCGTAGAGAATAAAATTAATTTTATGCAAGGGGGGTTTACAAACCCTGTAAACGTAAATAAACCGTTGCAATAGACCCACAATTAAAAATAAATGGTCCACACAACACGAATATAGAATAATTTTTCATTTAAAAGCCAGGCAATGACATGCGCGATCTCTCTTCAAATTCAGATCCGTGAAGTCTAAGTATATGGCTGGATCAATAAAATTTTCCGCCATTTTCAAACTTCTGTAAAACCTTCTCATGGTGACCCACTGCTACTTATCATAGATAACCATGTTAGTGACTGCACCCTAAGAGTTTTCAATTGTTATCGGGAAAATGGAATTGGAATTTTCACACAGCTCTCACTGTGTTCAACCATTGGATGTGGCCTTTATTTATAAGACACAGAAAACGGCTTAAGTATAAGAATCAATGCGATAGTGTCTTTCCCATCCCAGTCAAAAAATTATAACCAAAGAGCGTGCCGAAATTGGTAGCCACGAAATGATTCGAAGCAATGGTGTGTTTCCACCACACTTAAATGTTTTTTCACAAGATGACATTTTGACCGCTAAAAAATTAAAAATATAAATTAAAAAGATAACTTCCAGAGAGAGAAAACTCTACAAATTTAAAAGGATCTGAAACCGAACATAATCAACTATAGATACTAGATCAAAAGAAGTGATATAACCCATACACCTTCATGCAATAGGTATAAAAATATGTACCTACACATAATAAGTTAGGCACAACAAAAAGCAACACGCTGAAATATTCACAGTTACCCATTTAAAAGAATGATAGAAAGGAAAAAACAAAAAGAAAGAAAGAGAACAAATGAAATTAAAAAACCAAAACAAGTCAGTCATTTAAATAAGTTTTGGGGTTTGGGGTGTCAACAAGCATAGAAACGCAAATTTTAAACACGAAACGTAAATTTGTGGCGTGAATCTTTATAAATGTTGATTGAATAAATCTTTGCTAAATATTTCTTTCCAATTTTACATTTACGGCATTTACCCCGCTTACCCTATTGCACTCTAGTAATTACCCTTAGCTAATTAAATGTTAAAAATTTTACTTCACATTTGTGCATGAAAGTTAATTATCCAATATTATGAAGAAGAACTATTATGCATGTAAAGTAGAATACGTATGTATTAACTATCTTGATAGGTACACCTTATACATACGTACATAGGTGTACGTGAAATAAAATCGTGCTGTTAATTTCTACCAAGTCATCCTTGCCATAGAGCTTTCCTTAAAATAGTTATAGCATCCGAAAATAATAAAAATATTTCAGAATAGGCATAAATATTAGAAATGTGAAATTCATCTTACTTAGAAACGACGCTCGCCGTCCAGTAAGTGGCTCTTAAATAAACTCCACGTAAATTCTGAAGCACTGTCATGATGTGTTCACGTTTTGCGGCCTGTCCATTTGGTAAAACGAAGTTCGATTCCACAATCTGCAATCTGGCATCGAAGTTTTGCGCAACGGCAGGCTGCTCATAGCTATAATGGAGTAAATACGACCCTGCACCTTCCAAAATTACATCCGCCGCAAAAATTGCCTTTCCTAAAAAAGCTTAATTAATAACCACATTGAATACACTATGACGCAAACCATCCAGTCCAATACTATAAAAGATAGTGTAATTCAAAAATCCACCGTAAGATGTTAACTTCGAACCTACATAGGAACGAGGAGCGGAAAAATAGACAACCTTCTCTTTGACATTTTCAAAAGTGAAATCCGCACTGATAGTGGTGTACTTGTCAATTTCGACAGTGCTAGTGTTTAATGGCACTATAGCCAAATTTGCGGTGGTGTTAATTGAGACGAGCTTCCAGTCCTCCATCGTGAAGACTGCGGTTTGTATGTAATTGGAACTGATACAGCGAGTGGTTTTTCCAAAGCAGAAACATTCGGTGCAGCCTTCCTCGTTGTTTCTCTGCAAATTAAAACTTCCCTCCCTGCATATGCCGCAAGTGGGACCAGTAACTTGCTTTTTGCAAAGACATTCCGCGGATGTTTGGTCGCAAATTTTATCTGTAGTCCCACGTAAGTCGCATTCGCAAATTTCGCAGTAGGGAAAAGCGAAGTACCCATCGGCGCAGGTGCTGCATTCGCGTCCAACAATATTCTGCTTGCACCTAGAGGTGTGAGTGAGAGGGTGAATCAATTTTGTTTTTCTCTTACTTGCAGCTGCCCGTGAGTAGATCACATTGTAAATCGTTATCGACACCAAGTGGGTTACAATTGCACTGGACGCAGCCAATAATAGGATCAAAGCCGTAAGTGTACGGTATGCACTGATCGCACAGCGCGCCGGTGACATGAACGGGGCAAATACATTTACCTGTGAAATGCAAGGGGATCATCCGCTGTACTTAAATTAAAACAAACAGGACAAACCTGTTGACGTTTCGCAAAGTATAGTCGAAGGGCAGTTGCACTGTTGACAATCAGGAAAACCGTAATATCCAGTCTTGCACGCCTCGCACATGCGCCCGATTACGTTCGGCTTGCAATTGCATTGTCCGCCGAATTTGTCACATTCGAAGCTTAGGGATCCGTCAAAATCGCAATTGCAGGGTAGCGCACCGTTGTTGTGGCCGGCCGTTATTGAAAACACAGAGTCTCTGCAGAATCCTAAAAGGCAAAAGTTCAGAAATGTTGCAAACAACGCATTCGGTCGATATTATGTTAATCCCACTGGTCATATCTAATTATATCCTTATTAGAACTAACAATTCCTTTAAATAATTTGATCTGTTATGTGTGTATCGTATGGGTGACTGCTGGAACCGCCACTTACTAAAAACTGGGAAGTTGAGGTATTCAAACTCACCACGAGTCCGAGCCTTAAATTGTTACACCAAATTGACTATTATTATTAGTCCAGTCGACAGGTTGGAAAAAGTAGTGAGGTGGAAAAAGGTCGGAAGTTAATGAAACTTTGGAATGTTGGTGGTGGATGGTTATTTAACATTTTCTCAAGTTTTCGACCTTGAGGATCTTGTGCGAAAAGAGGAGGGGCAAAATTGTTGACCTCCCTCCGGTTTTTCCTCAATAACTTTTTTACTTTGCGTCCTATGGGAAAAGCTTCTCTATAGTTTTTTATAGAGCGTTAAATTTTCAATAGTTATCTAAAAGTATCTACAGTATCTAATGCCGTCAACAAAATAAGTATGTCTACATCTTCAGCAGTAATGATGACGTTGATCGCTGGATTTGGATATGGTGGCATTGACGATCATCCGGTACGTGTCTTCATATGCATTTAAAAAACACGAAGAATACCTAGAACGTATACAACGTCGTCTTTTAAAATATCTAGCATTTCGCTGTGATGGATACTACCCTACAAGAGAGGCTACCCACAAAATCTACTGCTAGAAAGATTCAATCTTTTACCCTTAAGTAGCAGACGTAAAAGAATAGTGTGTCGTTCTTGTACAAATTATTATGGAATGAAATTGATTGTGTCACATTACACAATTATTTAAATTTCTCTGTGCCTCGTTCTTCCTCCAGGCATTTCCTAACTTTTAAATTACCCTATTGCAGAACAAATCTCTTACAAAACTCCCCAATTTATCGAATGTGTCATAATTATAACTCGGCATGCGATACTGTTGATATTTTTAACACTAATTTAAAATACCTTATAAGTAATAAGTATGATCCAATAGTTTTTGTCTTTTTTTTTGCTTTTGCCATTGCACTAATACAGTTTCTCTAATTTACCAATATTGTATTTTGATTTATGACTTTATTTTGTTTATTGTATAACTCTGTTAACAATTTTCTTCCGCTTTAGTTATAAATCTATCCTTATAATTATTTTTGTTCAATTTTTGTTGATTTTTCTATATTTCTGTGCGGCTTTTATTGAACAATATTTAAGTTTGTCCTACTTATATTTAGACTAGATACCTAGTGTGTTTGGACAATAAATTATTATTATTATTTACCCGATGGTAGCATCCGCCATTCATGTCATCAACATCGATATGAATAGGCTTTCATGGTTTACCAAGAACTTTTCTTATGTTTGGTTGCTGATTATAATCAAAGAGTATATAACGTACTTTGTTATAATGTAGAACGGCGATCTCATTTTGCGGCTTTGGTGCTTTGATAGCCGTTTTTAGGGAGGTATCCATCAAATACAACAACCACATTTCTACCAAAGTGTCTCTGCACGTCGTTGCTGTACAGCACAGCATCTCGAACGTTTTTTTTTGTATTTTTGTTCCACACCATTTTGTGTAACAAATATCCTCCATCACTCACGTTAAATTTTTTGTTGCCAAAGTTGGCTTCCTCTATGGGAGTGAATAGTGAGTAGGTACATTGCAGACTTTGTTCCCTTGCGCAATCCCTCTTCACATTGAAGACTGACCTGGGTAATGATGCGAGCTTAAACTTGAAAAGGTCTTACAGATCTTCTTCAGATTTTTGCGCAGGCACGCTGGAAGAGAGTAGGAGCAAGAAACGGAAGCGAGAGTCACGATCCTATCTTTCAGTTTCAATTTTTTCTTCAAAATTTCTCCCCACTACTTATTTATGCATGATATGCCAATCTCTATTTCTAAGTGACAGTTCACTTCGCCAGGACCAATGGTTCCTGTGCTCAGCGGAACTATCGCCTGGATATGAAGGAATGGAGGGTGTGCGCGCAGTTTTCCATTGTCCATCTTGCTACTCGAATGAATCGCCAGACACCAAAATTTTGGCACTTTCAGCTTGCAGCACATATGACCCTTCTCGCTTGGTGGCTTTTTAGTAAAACTATTAAAAGTCCAATGAAAAGCCAAACTTTTTGCAGATAAACACGGAAACAACAGTCATGATGGAGAATAGACAAGATTTGGGGCGCACCTGCTATCATGATTGCATGAACCAGAGAGTTCTTTTTCCAACAGTTCAAGGATCCTTGTTGGTGGCACGGGCACCACCCAATAAGTTGTCCATAGGAGAATACTCCACTGTGTTGAACACTCTGGAACGGATGTCCTCCAAGATTATTTTTCCAGCTGCCTCCGGAATTCGATTTCTTTCTTCCTCTTTGTCTCCTTTCCTTTCGGTGGAATACCAGTTATTGTGCAGAATTTTGTCACCAACCCTCTTTAGACTAGCAACAGGTCCTTTCCTTGATTCTGAAATGATGTTTTGGTCTTCATATTTCATCTGAAAGCGACTTTGTTGTCCACTGTTTTCCTCAATTAGCTGCTGAATGGAAAACTGGCATTCATCACTGTTCTCATTGATTAAAGAACTTGCACGGCTCGTCAACGCTAGGCGAAAGGTTCTTTTCTGCGATGACTTAGCTGGGTGGTAAAAACTTTCAACACACTTTTGGTGATACTCAGCATTGACGTCGACTAAAGTCAATGCTTAAATTGGGCAACTGGCTGATGCGTTTTTCTGTTTTATTTCCCCACTCGTCTCCACGCACCCTCGCATTTTCAAGTAATCACTTTGAAAGGAGCATTGCGCCTTTCCAAGGGGAACTTTGTCTGTTTAGTTCTGAAATCATCAGCGATAGCTCCCTTACAAAAAAAACACGCGTTGGTGAAATCGAATTTCGTAAGGTCATGTTGTAGTCTCCCTCCCCTACCCTCCTCTTTTCGCACAGGGTGCTCAAGGTCAAAAAAATGAGAAAAAATAATCATCCCTAAACAACATGCCAAAGTTTCATTAACTTCTGACCTTTTTCTACCTGAAACTACCTGTTGACTGGACTAAATGGCCACAATTAAACTCCTTTCCCATATGGTTTCCTATTGAAATATGAAATATACCTACTACTTAATTGCAGCAAATGGTATCATATAAATCAATATAATAAAATACAAACTGCAATTTTCTATCGCTAGTGTGTGGATATCATACAGAATTAATGTACAGTCGTGGTCAGAAGTAATGCCCTTCTTCAGATACCTCAACTGTAGAAAAAGTACTAATATGTCAGATCCTCTGTAATTTAGTTCAACTTCATTTTAATCTTAGGGACTTTCTTCATTTTGAAAACAAGCTCAAAACTCACAGGAGATCTGGTATATTAACCATGCGCTACACTTGAGCTGGACTTCTGAATGTGTTTTTAAGATAAGGCACTATAACGTCACGCGCAGCGGCGCTCAAGAAAACAAACTTTTGACTTACCTGCATGACTTGTATCAATATTGAAATGATTACTTCCACAGGTGGCAATAAATTCTCCAGTTCTATCAAAAGTATCCTCTTCCAAAATTCTAGCCGTGTACAAATCGGCAGGAACGACCAACAAGTAATCCAGATACACAGATTTATGATTTGCGTCCTGTTGGTATAATTAATTTATTTTTATTATCACCATTGAACTCTATACTCCGTAACTAGAAGGGCATCGATAATCACCTAATGTACAGGCTGTGGTAGGTATTGTTTTATAAAATGTATAAATGCCATGTGAGTGAAACATGATGAGGTACACCTACCTACCTCTACTCATCTCTTTCGTCACGGTGCCCTTGCAACAGTTGTTTACCGGAGATGCCATTCCAGTTACGAGTATCTAGTCACATCAATGTCTTACCTTCAGTGTGACCATAAAATTTTCTGTAAGGCTAAAGAAGGTGTTACCATTGTTTTCAGTGAGCAACGAACGGCAACCGTTCGGGGACGGACAGTGAGGCACAGGCAAGTGAGCTTCGTAGAATTCACCGTTTTGCAAAATTGCGTCCAGATTAAATTCTAAAATCACACCTTCAATCGCATATTTAACAAAAGTGGGCCAACATACGCGCGAAGTCAGGTTGAAAATATTGCACGATAAAGGCGTACACCCCCGGACTGTTTACTTTGCCGTGTAAATCGATCATGTCATCCAAAGGATTTATCTGTATGAAGGAGCTTTCGTTCGTTAACTTGTAAATCGTCCGATTGCTCATTCCTTCGCTGTCTTGTTCAAATTGTATCTTTTTCGATTCGGGTGGATTGATATAAGTCGACTGCGCGCATTTTCCATTCTTTCGTACGCAAACGGGTTTCGGCTTAATGAAATCTAGGGACCATTCTTCTATTGGAATTGCCACCACAGAGTGAATTCCTACATTCGCCTTAACCGACTGAAAGAAACCAGTTAAGTTGATGCTAAAGTAAAAACTGGATTGTAGCTGTTCAAGTAATAAAAACTGAAACTAAAACACCTACAATTCTAATCTCTGGATTCATACAATGCTCCATTTAACTTTTTGGTTCATAGATTGATTATTTCCATTTTCCACAACAATATTACATTAAACAAACTTTCGTAGGCAACCCAAAAGACCCCATGAATAAGAGTTAATCGAGAATGTACAAAATAAATAGTAGAGATTGTGATCAAGTGTATATTAGGCAAACTTCATTTTAAAGAGCCCGTGGCTCATTTTAAAAACAATCATTGGAATAAGTAGCCCTGCCACACGATGCGCTTAAAAATATTCATAGGATTACATCTCTTTAGTTAAGGAAGTAAATAGTAAGGGTGAGTTTGAATAGAATTTTATCGTGACTTCTTGGTATTTTAGCTTTAGTTCTTGAAAATAAAGTAAAAAGTTGCCATTACCTGCAATGTAACGCTTATAGAGTTCCCATCAACTGAGTAAATACCAACGCCGTTCTGCTTATCCGTCACCACTTGCCTGCACACCATTGTATACGGGCAGTTGTAGAAAATAATTCGACCATGATTTTGTTCATTCTGCGCCACAACATCTACCTTAATAGTGTGCGTATCGGGGTCGTTCAAAGGAGTCAAATAATTCATAACGATAACGTACCGCCCTGGTTTTCTCACGGTAATGTTATAAGTGATATCTGGTTGTTTAGCGTTCAGCAAAGGTATTCGGTTGGTTACTCCCAACTCATGCAAATGCTAAAAACTCGATTAAGAAGTTCACCTCTCCTATCAGTTAAGGATACTTACTTTCGTGTCGTCGTAATATTCGCCAAGTATACTAACACTGCCTCCGTAAGTTATAAATCCTCCACCACCGAGACTTTGGTCAAACCAGGACGCATTGGGATAACTGTATTGGCGGCATAACTTATCGTCACCGACAATGCATGGTTCTTCGATTTTTTTATTAAGAATAAGTGGCTAAATAGAAATAGAAATCTTCGGGCAATAAGACAAAGTAGTCGACTAATAGATTCTTTTCGCTCTTAATGCTGACAGCCCAGCGACCCGGATTAATCACAAACGCGTTGCCGGTATCACCCGCCACCGTAACGAAGTTCGGTTCAAAGCTACTCTTAAAGTTCACCTTGAAAGTCTGCTCGTAGTCGTTCGGATTATCTGGCATAATTCTGATCTGCCCATTTACAGGTTCTGGATTCCTATTAATGTAATGAATCACCATGCGATACAGGGAGGGTTTCGAAATATGCACATCTTGTATAATTTCATTCTACAACATAAACGTTTGAATTTCATCAGAACTGATGCCTTGATTACTTGTAATTGCGAAAACACAGCGTATCCTTTCCAGGAATATCCGGGAAATAGTCTTTCGTCATAACCATATCTGACAGCTGTGTTTGAAGGAATACTGTAACCATCTTCGGCCTCGTATTGGTATTGGTACAATGTAGGGAAGTAGTGTGCCTTGAGTGGTTCTTTGCATGTCTTTCCAATAACGCGCGACTGACATGGACACTGACCTGTTAGTTTATCACATACTGTACTTAGGGAACCACCAATGTCACAGCCACAATCTGTAAATTTAAGTGCTGTAGTGATCTACTTTTGTTAATTAAAGCAGTAAGAATTTTTAAATCAGTTTTTTGTTAACAAAAGAGAGTTAGCGCGCTGACGATGTTAAACACATAAACATAATATTACGAGACTATTTATTTATTTATTATCCCTCTCTTATTCTGGGCTCTCAACAGGTTTGCACACAATTACAGAGTGACCCTATATAATAATAATAAAGGCGAAAAATTTACGTTTCGAGCATGCATAACTATTTTATGCTGTTCTTAACACGTTGAGTGGCACGAGAAATTTTTGAAAATTTTTTATCGGGCCAAAAACTATTTTAATCATTTTCGGATATGTTATGGCGGGTATAATGGCAAAAAGTTATAAATATCATGATACAGTGTGTAAAGCGATGGGGTATTATACAAGAGGGAATTTTTTTTTAAATATTGATTTATGAAAAAAATTTATTCTTCATGATATGTTTTGCTTGCTTTGAAAGTACCAATAACGTTTCGATAATCTAAAATTTATTTATAAAAATCTGGAAAAATATAAAATTAATTTTTTTTATTGAAAGTTATCATTCTACATTATAATTAAGATAGAGTATTACTATCAAACCACAAACAATCCACGTTATTGGTACTTTCAAAGCAAGCAAAAAATATTATGAAGAATACATTTTTTTCATAAATCAATATTTAAAAAAAATTTCCTCTTGTATACCCCATCGCTTTACACACTGTACATTTGTTTATTTAAAAATAAAAATAATAAATTTAATAAAAACTGCTGCAACTACCGAGTGGTCCCTAGGGACCGCCGTGGCCCTATCAGATATGTTACGAGCGGCCCCCACGGACCGCTGCGGCGCTAAACGTGTTAAAGAATGGTTTTAACTTGTAAAGAAAGCGCTCGGGAGTGGAAAATTTGCGGCGAAAAACCTAAAGAATACGCGAGAGAATGAAAACGATAATAATATAGGTACAAAAGAGAAAGAATGAAAAACTTGAAAAAATAAAATAGAAAATATGGCAGGGAGGAGAAAGAGCTAAAATGGGGAGGGGGGAAGGGAGATTTTAATACCAAAAGAGGAATGAAGGGAAAATGGGTAGAAATGGGAAGAGGATCACAGGCTAGAAAATCAAGAGGTAAGGAGTGCAACAAAGAGGGAGAAGTGTTACTGGAATTATCAGAAAAGAGAAGTTGGGGAATTAAACGGAGATATGGAGGGGGATAGAGACGGGCAATTCATATACATCGGAGGAAGAGGGGGATCGGTAACTGCCCTTTCACAATCATGTTAATGTTAATGGTAATGGTAACGTAATGTTAGAATGTTAAACTCCAGATAATGGCATTAACAAGCAAAGCGTTCACAATGATGGTAATGGTAATGTTAACGTAAGATGGTAATGTTAAGGTCCAGAAATTTTCTGGATCTACTAACATCGGCGTTAACAGCCTCCAATAGAATTGCAGCTACGGTAAAATGCAGCGCATGCGCATGTGTTGACTGCTGACCGCGTGAACTGTCACCCATCGCGTCATATTTATTTAAGCTCTGCAGTTCGTTTGAATTTCTCGTTTGCCTTGTTGTTTTCGTGTCACACTGTCACTTGAGTGGGGGAACTTCCTCTACCATCAACATTAACAGTATTGTGAACAGCGTTACCATTACCATTACCATTACCTCTTAACATTACCATTAACATTAACATGATTGTGAAAGGGCAGTAATTAGACGAAGATTAGTAGAGGAACAAGGAGAAGAAATTGAAGGGAATACAGACAAGAAGTGGAATAATATATAATCGAGAATATTCAAAAAGCCATAACGTGGCAAGGGGAGAGAAAAAAGAAAGGAGTGATGGGACAAAGAGTGTACAGAAGAGAGAAATAGAGAAATGATGGAGAAAGAAAGAAGAGGCGAGAGAACAGACAAATAAGTACAAAAGCAAAATGAAAAAAAAAACAGTTGGAGAAACAGAAAGTATACAAAAGAAAATTAGGGCAATAAACACAGAAAAGGATTTTTGGAAGGTGATAAACAGAGGAAAAAAGGAAAACAGAACAAGTGGGTGGGAAATACAATTAGAGGAATAGAAACAACATTTAGTTACTACAAGGGAGGCAGGAGAAAGAAGAGGCTATGGGAGAGGTAGTAGGAAGAGAGGAGGCTGAAGGAGATGAGATAACAAGAGAGGAGATCGAGCAGCAATTTTAAAAAGAACTGAAGAAACAGAAAGTGGCAGGGATAGACGAGATAAATAATGAGGTGTGGATTTTCGCCACAGATACAGTCAAGGAAAGGATGAGAAATTTACTGCCTAACAGGGTATGAAAAGGGGGGGTTTACTCGAACCTTCGAAGGGGTAATTGTGCCGATTTTCAAGAGGGAACAAAGATTGTGTGAAAAATCACGCCCGTAGGCAGAATGCACTAGCAGGGGTGGCCGGTATTTTTCTAGATTGGGCTTAAGAAGTTTTTGATAATGCCTTGCCCTGTAATTTTTGTAAAGTAACCATCAACCCTAATTTCCGCTGGGGGCAAGACCACGTTCTAGCCATCCCCTGGTTACGAACTTATGAAAAATTATTGGGAAATTACTTTGACCATGGCGTATAGAATCTATGGGTATGTAGGTATAAGATGCACGCTGGTTTTCTGAGTAAGAAAGTCGGCGTGCTTAAAATCCTATTATGCTAAGCGAGACTGTCCATAATCCACCTGCCCCCCAACTTCTTGCGTGCTTATAACAGTCTGACTCCGATTTTTATCGGAATGATTTGTTCATTCTGGTTTATTTACGTTCATTTGTTAAGATCGGCAGTGCTGCGGTTTATGCCGATAAAGTGGCGAAAATGAAATGAAAGAGAAGATGTTGGGAGAAACACAAATGGCTTTCAAAAAAGGGAGGGGAACGATTTACTGCATACTTATGCAGTAGGTACACAGATTGGTGGAAAAGGAACTGGAAAAAAAAGGCGGAAAGATGTTCGCGTTTTTCATGAACTTAAAGCCAACGTTTGACAGAGTGGAAAGGGAAAACGTATGGAAGATGGGAGAATTGACAAGGGGTAAAAGGACAGAATCAAGGAACTATATGGAGAGACAAGGTGGAGAATAAGAATAGAAGGGAAGGGGTCAGGTGCTCACGTGCAGAACAAAGATATGGGGGTGGATGGAATGGGAGGAACTGGAAGAAGTACAAAGAAGATATTATACTTAAATGGGTGTTCGGGTTAAACGAAAGGACACCAAATTGTATATTAGAGCAAGAAACAACAAGGTAAAAAGTAATCCTAAACGATTTACATAAAGCGCATTTCAACTTGCATTCATTTTCTATTTGTAAGATGCAACTTTTGTTAAAATTGTAAAAATCCGGCCACAAATATGAAAGATAGCGTTGCACAATGTGCAATCCATTTTGATGTCCTACTTCAATTTCAGCTTATCAGAAGAATTTCATTTCAATGCTTTTCTAAATAAGAAAGTTGGAACTGCGCATGCGCAAATCTAAATTTTGAAGCTAACGTTAGTTTTTCTATTGTTCCAAGTGGCTATGTATCAAATTTCATTTAAATCCCTCCATAAATAAGAAAGTTGGCAGTGCGCATGCGCAAAACCAAATTTTGAAACTGGAGTTAAATTTGCTTTTATTCCAAGTGGCTATGTATCAAATTTCATTTAAATACTTTTATAATTAAAAAAGTTTGCAATTCGGTTTATAAATGGTCGAGATGCGATTCGACTTAACTTTTGGCATTGCGTATTCTATGGCTAAAGCTATGCCCATATTGAATTTCATGCAATTCAGTTCATAACTAACGGAGATGTAAAAGCAATCGGACATTTCTAAACAAAGTTATCGTTCACACGGACAGATAGAGGGACAGACAGCCAAAGGAACAGACGGACAGACCAACAGGCAGACGACAGACAGCAATGCAAAATTATAAACGATCTCTAGGATCGTTAATAAACGGCAAAAGTGTAAAATTATGGAACATGTACAAAACGGTTTTTTGTTTTTTTTTACAATAACTTTTTTTGTAAGCGGTACAGAAAAAAATTCTTCCTTGGTGCAAGACTCGACACCATAACGAACCAAATAGCGAAAAAGTAGAACAATAGCTCTTAAGATAAAAAACTAGTAGCGTCTCAAAACGAGCGGACGGACAGACGGACGGACAAAGTGGCCACAATAGCGCATTTTTTATTATTTTGAAATGCGCTAAAAATGGAAAAGATAACGACATAATGTCAGGGAATAGGGCGGTAAGATTCGAGAAAAGGGGCGATAGAGACAACTAATTGATGAGGGGAAAGAGTGTGACAACGAGAATTAACGCAAAAGGAATGTAGGAAGAACAAAGAGGAAAATATTACTAAAGAGATACGAACGCGATGAGGTCGCAAGGAGGAGAGGAGTAGAAGAAAAAATGGAAACGACGTAGAAAAAAGGTATGCGCAAATACAACAACATGAAGACTAATCAGGGACTGGTTACCAAAATACTTGTGAAGAAAAAAATATTAAGAGATTCGGATACGGAAATGAAGAGAGAGGGATACAGAAATGGAGACGAGAAAGAAAATGTAGAATATGCGGAGACAGAACACGTGTTATGGAACTGTATGGAGGTGAGAATTAAAGGGAGCACTAGGAGTGAGAGGAATGAAAATTGGGATAGGAAAGAATAGAAGAGGTAAAAGAAATTAGATATATATTTAGGGTAGGTACCAAACGCACAGAAACAATGGGGCAAATGCGCACATAAAAGAGATTTAAGGAAAAAGGGGAAAATGAGATGGCAAAAAAGGATTAGATGCACAAATACAACATAACAAGAGGGTGAAGATAGAGAGCGCAAACGTAAGTAGTGATAATAAAGAGGGAATAAGAGAGAGGGCACAAAAAAATTAAAACAATAGCGAAATTTAGAACTGCACTGAAGAGAGAGAGAAAAAGAGAAATGGAGACGACAAAAAGAAGGAAAATGTAGAATATGCTGAGACAGAACACGTGTTATGGAACTGTATGGAGGTGGGAATTACAGGGAGGTGGGAATTACAGGGAGGTGGAAATTACAGGGAGGTAGGAATTACAGGGAGCAGTAGGAGTGAGAGGAATGAAAATTGGGATAGGAGAGAATAGAAGAGGTAAAAGAAATTAAATATTTAGGGTACCAAACGCACAGAAACAATGGGGCAAATGCGCACATAAGAGATTTAAGGAAAAAGGGGAAAATGAGATGGCAAAAAAGGATTTAGATGCACAAATACAACATAACAAGAGGGTGAAGATAGAGAGCGCAAACGTAAGTAGTGATAATAAAGAGGGAATAAGAGAGAGGGCACAAAAAAAATTAAAACAATAGCGAAATTTAGAACTGCACTGAAGAGACAGAGAAAAAAAAATGGAGACGACAAAAAGAAGATATGCGGAGACAGAACACGTGTTATGGAACTGTATGGAGGTGGGAATTACAGGGAGCAGTAGGAGTGAGGGGAATGAAAATTGGGATAGGAAAGAATAGAAGAGGTAAAAGAAATTAGATATATATTTAGGGTAGGTACCAAACGCACAGAAACAATGGGGCAAATGCGCACATAAAAGAGATTTAAGGAAAAAGGGGAAAAATGAGATGGCAAAAAGGGATTTAGATGCACAAATACAACATAACAAGAGGGTGAAGATAGAGAGCGCAAACGTAAGTAGTAATAATAAAGAGGGAATAAGAGAGGGGGCACAAAAAAAATTAAAACAATAGCGAAATTTAGAACTGCACTGAAGAGACAGAGAAAAAGAGAAATGGAGACGACAAAAAGAAGGAAAGTGTAGAATATGCGAAGACAGAACACGTGTTATGGAACTGTATGGAGGTGGGAATTACAGGGAGCAGTAGGAGTGAGGAGAATGAAAATTGGGATAGGAAAGAATAGAAGAGGTAAAAGAAATTAAATATTTAGGGTAACGCACAGAAACAATGAGGAAAATGCGCACATAAAGAGATTTAAGGAAAAAGGGGAAAATGAGATGGCAAAAAGAGATTTAGATGCACAAATACAACATAACAAGAGGTGAAGATAGAGAGCGCAAACGTAAGTAGTGATAATAAAGAGGGAATAAGAGAGGGGGCAAAAAAAATTAAAACAATAGCGAAATTTAGAACTGAACTGAAGAGACAGAGGAAAGGAGAAATGGAGATGACAAAAAGAAAGAAAATGTAGAATATGCGTAGGCGAAGAACACATGTTATGGAACTCGAACTGTACGGAGGTGGAAATGAGAGAAATAGGAGTGTGGAGCTGGGTGAGGAGGGAAGATGATACAAAAGCGAAGAAAACATCGCATTTTAGTTATAATTTATATTGTAAAAAGATTTTCCATTTTGGCGTTCAATAAAGTTTGATTGATTATTTAAATGAAGGAGCGAATTATTGCGAATTATTTCAAGTACGTAGGTGAAAGCCTTTCGATTGCATCAAATAGAGAAAAATTTCGATCATCTAACATCTCATCTAATCTGAGGATAACTCTTAATCAAAGATCAGCTTCATATGCATGACTGTAATTTCAAGAAGGCAAGTAGAAATGTCTCAGTATTTAAGCTGCACAATTAAGGAAGTTCAGGAAAGTTAGTATCTCTTTTAAGATGGAGTTGGGGGTCTTTTTAAAAAAATTAAATTTTATTGTAATTAGAATCAAATATTAATGAACCCATCTTAAGAATTCCGTAGCTAAAGTACTGAAAATCCTATGATTATTATTTTTGTGCTGTTAAATCAATTAGAGAGAAGAAATTGTTTGAAAATAAATTTAATTAGGTAATGGATTAGAAAATTATAGTTTCTAAGGTTCAAATCACTTTGTAAAGGAGGGGTTGAAATCACCCTCATTTTGCCCAAATCGAGGGTAGGAAATTAAATTCAAGTGGCCACTAAAAAAGAAAAGGAAATACACACCCTTAATGTTGTAACGAGGCATGTGCAACAGGTGCACTTGTACAAGGCGTAATTTAGCCAGTTACACAAATAGATTTAGATCTGACATTACAAGAAGCAGATGGGCATTGTTGTATTTTGAACTGGCGTCTAAACATACACTACGTTTAACAAAGTAAGAGACGTTTAAACCAAATCAAAGTCTTTAGTTATGTGAAATTTCACTGTAGGTACAAGTAAGTAAATACAATACCTTTGCAACCAAAGAGACTTGATTCTTGAAGATCAAAAGTACCATCGGCACAATCTGAACATCCTCTAGCTACAACTGCAGGCTTACAAACGCATTGTCCAGTTTCAGAGTTGCAAACTGCATTGCCACCAAGAACGCCCGCCATGTTGCAATGGCAATCTTCACAACCTTCTGGATTGTTTAGATGCAGATTCCAATACAATGGCTTGCATCGGTCACATATTCGTCCTTCTACACGATCTTTACACTGGCACAACTCACCGGCAGGGACAGAGCCGCATCCGGCAAATGCAGCAGCCACACCAGCTGGATTACAGTTGCATTCTGAAAGTTAATAATTAACTGCGGAATTTTAGTATGAAGTCAAATACCTTCGCAATTAGGGAAATTATAAAATCCTTCTCTACATTTATTACACTGATTACCATCGAAATTGTACCGACACTGGCAATGGCCTTCGTAGTCACACGAAATTCCAGCTGACCCGTGACTGTCACAGTTGCAAGCTGAAAAATCGAACTGAAACGGATTGTGCAACACAAAAAGGCTACTTACGAAGGCAGTCTGGATATTTGTAATAACCGACACTACATTTTTCGCAAGCGCGTCCGCCGAAATTATCCAAGCACGGGCATTTTCCAGTTGCATCACAGAATGCCGAAACCGATCCTACTGTGGTACAGTTGCAAGGTTGACAATCAGGGTAACCATAATATCCCTGCTTGCACTGATCACACCTCTCTCCCGCATACCCTTCCTTACACAAGCAAGTTCCGGAAACCTTATCGCATATTTCTGGCTGGGCGCCGCGAACGTCACAGTTACAAACTGAAATGAAAAATGGAAATGACATTTACCATCGTCCCCAACCGACATACATGAGCACGATGGGTAACCGTAATATCCATTGCGGCACTGATCGCATTGTTTTCCACCATAGTTCGTTTTGCAGGTGCAATTACCATTCGTATGATTGCATACGGCCGAAATCGAGCCGAGAGTGTTACATTCGCAAGCTGAAACTAAACGTTAAAGGAGAAATCGCGAGGGAATCACCTATACTAACGTTGACAATCCGGAAAGTTGTAATACTGATCAGCGCACTGCTTGCAGTATTTACCACCGTAATTATACTTGCAGAGGCATTCGCCATTGCGGGCTTCACACTGCGAGGTTTCAGTGCCGTTGAGGTAGCAGTCGCACGGTTTGCAGTCGGGATAGTTGTAGTATCCGAATCGGCACGAGTCACAGCGAGGTGGTGTATACTCTTTTCTGCACTCGCATTGTCCCGTTCCCTCCTTACAGTTGCCAGTCGAGTAGAAAAAGTTACAATCACAGGCTGTAATTAATATTTTTATTTACACTACAATGGAAAGAAGAAACACCAGCTCGGCCGCGCCATTCAGTACGAGAATTTAAAAATACGCTACTTACGTTGACAGACATCTGTCTCGTTCCAGAATTTCGCATGAGGACGATAATAAGTTGGTTTACATTCGTTACAATTGATTCCCTGCGTATTTTCGCGACAGTTCTCACATACACCGCCGCCATCATAATTTCCATGAATGTCAATAGATAAACGTTGACGATCCACTTCGGGATCGTAAGTGCAGTCAGTGCTATGACCGAAGCAATTGCACGCTGAAAGCGGTGTATTACAAACGACACTTGCTGACAGTATATCACTTACGTTCGCATTCGAAAGGCTTGTAGGTTTCGGAAATCTTCCACGCCTTCTGCTGAAAACCCGGCCGGCACTTTTCGCATTTTGCACCGTAGGTGTTGTGCTGACAGCGGCATAGCAAGATGTTGGTGTTAGGATCCTGCACGTCGCAGGAGTCCGCGTGACCATTACACATGCAACGTCCTCCGATACTAATATCCTTAATTGAGTAGAAATACTGAAACAAGCAAATTAGGCTCTGCGAGAAAGTCGATTGATCTTACTCTTCTTGTTACGGTTGGGTCTTGGCGTGCCAGTGTCATAAGGTGGCCTAATAAGTTCTTGGTTCGTAAAAATCGAAAACGGACGTTTGTTGCTCGGGTCCATTCTTGTAGGATGCTCGAGTTGAAATACTGATTGGCGTTTGGCCTTCCGTTTAGTAGTGAAATGGGAATCTAAAAACGTGGGTCAATTGGAATAGTGTTAAATAGTGTAGTACCTCGCCTCCTTCCAAAGGAACAATTGCAGAATAATCGGTTGTGCATATTACGGAATCGTCCCTTGTTATCGGTTGTAAACTATCGGGACCGAATAGCGCCTCACAGTCGGCCTTTGAATCGGAGAAATACTGCCAAGGTACGTACGTTTTGCCATAGTCGGACGATTTTTCTAAAATCCATAGTCCGGGTCTGGGTGAATTTGCCATTTGAATAAAAACGTAGGCGACATGGAATTCCTGCAACGTAGGACTTAGATTATTACGTGTTGTTGCGTATTTAGGCTGAAGTATAATACCAAATATAATATCGGGCCATCCTGTATGTGCGAATGTTTTCATTTAAATCAAATCTGGTGGATTTCGTTACGAATAGGTAAGCAGGGAATTGATTTATTTCATTAGAATTTGTTATTTTAATGTGGGGTAAATATAGCGGGCTTGCGCCCCTCTTTATTTCAGGTTTATTTCTTGGTAATTTATAATGCGTATGCTTCCGCATAAATTTTTGTCACTCGTCTTATTGTGTGTTTATTTGAATCCATTGTACAATCCAGCTAAAGTTCACGTGTTCAGATTTTGCCCAAAATCTCAGGTATTAAACAAAACTTGTGAAATTGATTTTTTTTCCCATTTTGGGAAGATGATTTAGGCTACTGAGTCTCCTAAAGTTATTAATTTCAAGTCATTATCAGGATTTTGTTTTGTAGCAGATGCCGGAGGTCAACGAATGAGACCATGTAAATTTTAAGTTTCAATTTTTGATTTATTTGAGCTAGCCGAACTCCGTATGTTTTAGAGTAAAGTAGCAGAACGTACTATGCAAGGAAAGCTGTAGCGCACGAAAAATGTTTGTGCAGCTTTTCATTTCGGAAATCAGCATGTGCCACAAAATATCAACTCTAGCAACCACAAAAATGAAAAGCTAGAAATCTAGCTACCTTAGGACCTGCGTATCGTCAAAGAAAATGAGCAACTGTCATATTGTTGTTGAGATCTATAACATAATCGTTTGGAGTCGAGAATCCGCAGTAATTTGTAGCATAAGCCAGTTCTATCTTACACTGCTACTATCTAAGTACCTTGACCATAAGAATTATATTGAGTTCTTTTGCATAAGCAATTGTGTCTATTGTGTACAACTTCAACAGTTCGAAAACAAAAATAAAAAATGCCATGATTTATTTACAAAAATAGATGTTAGGGATATCGTCAAAATGTCCATATATAACACTGATGGAAAATCAAAGAAATAGTGTTTGTGCTATACATATACCTACTTATCAGGTTAGTTGCACATTTTTTTCCAAATAACAAAGTGCCTTAAATAAGTAACGTTGTAACTCTTTCCCTACTCAATCACCGAGCTGGGTCGAGCGTTCTCAAAAACCGCGCGAGCGACGAGTGCTCTAATTTTCTCAAAAATGCTTGCGAGCATCGAGTTGTTTTGCAAAGCGAAACCGCTTGCGAGATCCGAGCACTCTTAAAAGCGGTTTATCGCGAGCGCTCGGGAAAAGGGCTCGTGAGCGGAAAAAGGAACAACCGCTCGGGAGCGGAAAAGACGCTCGCGAGCGGCGCTTAATCCTTCAGTACTTGAGGGCGGTTAAAAGCGTTCACGAGCGAAAAAAAAACGCTCGGGAGCGAAAAAATTGCTTGTGAGCTTGCGAGCGAAAAAAAAAACGCTCGTGAGTGGGCGGAAAAAAGCGCTCGAGCGCCGAGCACTGGACAATGGCCCGTATGAATAAAAGGAAGCAAATGCTTATACATGCAAAATTCAAAGTAAATACTCGTAACTGCCCCTTCACACTGGTCTGTTTACCATGGTTTAGCAGCGCTGCACTGCGTCCTGTCCTGCTGCTCAGCAACGCTGCTAAGTCACCCAGTGTGAAGGAGCACTTACGAGTATTTACTTTGAATTTTGCAAGTATAAGCATTTGCTTCCTTTTATTCATATGGGCCAATGGTCAAGAGAATTTTAAAGTGTTTGAAAGGTACTACTAATTTTACACCGCTGGACTTAGCATCCCCCCCCCCCCCTCCATTTCATCCAATTTATGAGTTATATAGGAGCTATTCATAACGCAAGCTTAAAATTTTAGAGCTCGCTTAAATCACTAGCAATCTAAAATTTCTTATGGGGTGGCGGAGTCTACTTGGATTAAGCCCCCCCTCTCTGATCGAATTACTTTGTTCAAATTGAATTTGGTACTACAATTACGAGCTATTTAAGAACTTTCATTTACAAGTAATTTCAATTTTTGAGCGTCACTCTTAAAAGAGCAAATAGATGTTATCCTGGGAGCGGCCAGGTCTATTCTGGCGTAGTCCCTAATCTGTTTTTTGTCCAGATACGCCAGAATAGACCTGGTCGCTCCCAGGATAACATCTATTTGCTCTTTTAAGAGTGACGCTCAAAAATTGCAATTACTTGTAAATGAAAGCCCTTAAAAGTAGCTCGTAATTCATGCATAAAAATTAATTTGAAATAAGTATACGATAACAGAGGAGAGGCTACGTCCAAGTGGAACTGGCCGACCCATCGATTATAGCTATAGCCCAGTCAATTTAGACCAAGAATGGGCAATCAGAGGAACTAAAAATACTAGTTCCAATTTTTTCAGAAATCTGTAGGGAGAGGTTCCCTGAACAAGAAAAAATAAAGTCCCTCCAAATTCCGGTGCCGCTGGGGGAGGGGGGGTGGGGCTTTAAACGACTCATTTTTCAGTTTTTCGCTTTTAACTCGAAAATGGTGCGTTACAGTGAAAATTCTTCAGTATAAAATGAAAGCTTATTAAATTTGCTACAAGTTTGGTTATATACATTTTTTCGAAAACTGAACCGTTTTATGGTATTAATGTCCTCGTATCCATCGAATATAACTGCACAATTGGAAGAATAGTGATTTATTATATATGAAGCATACTGCTCACAGACGAAAGTGGTCCCAACATTCCACTTGACTCTGTGAAGGAGAAAGCCACCGTCCACTACAGTGTAAATCGTTTGAGGTGCACTGCATCCATGCACACAGGGAAAGCCTCATAGAGAGCAGATTTCCTGAAGCATCCTTCGTGGAATAATGGGACCTGCAGATAATTCGTACTTCAGCAGGTTCGGACTATGGGGATGTTAATGCTGTACAGGTTTTATTGTGACGATTTTCCCCTAAAATGACCGGGGAGGATTTAGAAGCCAAAAATATACGAAAAACGTGAGTGAAAAACAATTTTGTTTAGAACTTACCACCTTTCCGGAGCCGGTAGCACGAAAACGGTTCAGTTTTTCGTAAAGATGTATATAACCAAACTTGTAGCAATTTTAATAAGCTTTCATTTTGTACTGAAGAACTTTTTCACTGTAACGCACCATTTTCGAGTTAAAAGCGAAGAACTGAAAAATGGGTCCGTTTAAAGCCCCCTCCTTCCCCTAGCGGCACCGGAATTTGGAGGGACTTTAGTTCCTCTGATTTTCATATTTTGACTGGACTACTAGGTATATTTTTAAGACGGGCGCTCAAAAATTCCAATTACTTATGTAAATGAAAGCTCTTAAGTTGCTCGTAATTGTAGTACAAAATTTAATTTGAAAAAAGTAATTCCAATCAGTTGGGGGGGGGGGGGGCGGAATCGAAGTTCGGCCCCCCCATCCGAAATTTTACATTCCTTGATTTAATTTTAAATAAATAAATAAAATTTTAAACTTGCGATATGAAGAGCCGAGTGAAAAGCTCCTAAATAACTCATAAATTGGATACGATTCCTAAATTGATTCACAATAGTGGGGAGGGGGGCTAGGTCCAGAGGGACACTAACTTTAATTTTGGCATTTGCTATAATGTTTCTGGAAATATTCAAGTATTAGAGTACAGCGATGTTGATTGTAATTGTGAGTGGAGTACTTGTCAAGTTCTGCGGTGGGGCTATTGCATGGACAAGTAAAAGACAACAAAGTAAGACTGCTAAAGACGCTGTTTGGTTTAGTCGCTTATTTAATGATATTTCTCCACTAGAGTGCAAAATTGTCAATTGAAGATTGCGAGCATGTATCTAGTGAAAAACAGGGGAACATTTCCTTTCAAAACTTAGAAGGGAAACCGCCTCTGCACTTTAAGGAACGGTGTGGGTACTGAATTAATCATTCAGGGGGTTCAAAACTTATTTCAATTATGAATAATCGCCGCATTAATTACTTTGACCATAACATACAAAAACATTGATTTACAATTTACATATTCCAATGAATGGTAGGTAGATACAAATCTTTTGCGAGCGTACCCGGTACACTAAGAGATAATGATCTTAAAGGGATGCGTCTAAAAATAGAAACGCCTAAAGCATAATATACTATCCTAATTCACATTCTCGTGATTGTTTAAGAACCACCATGTGGCTACCAGACGTTCCTTTTTTTTGCCTCTCACTTGACATGACAGTGTTGTTAAATCCTTGGGACGGTCGGGCGGTTTAAAGCCTAAACAGAATGCCAGGCCAGCTGTTTAGGTCAAACTATTTGAGAGATGTACTAAGCTAAAGCAATAACGGATCATTTGCATTAATTTTCCCCGAGATGATCTAATTCGCCTCTATTGCCTTTCTTTATTACATCATTCCTAGCGAAATAATTTTCATATCTCGCGCATTTATCGGTCTTTGTGGGAGTAAATCCGGTCCTCCTATCGGAGGATGTTACTAGACAGATTACCTATTTTTGGAATTTAACTGAAAAAATGTCAATGGATTTATAAACGAAATTAATAGCCGCACACTAATCTTAAAATAGAATTTAAGATGCTCGATTACTTAATCTATTGAGATAATTGTTTAAATATTATGTACTGCGGATGGATCAGAAGTCAATTGTGCGTTAATAAAATTCTAATACAACGACTTCCTGGTTGTTTTATTGTAAGCCTACGAATCGGTCGGAAACCTATATAGTAGATCAGAAAATCAGTTTACCTGGCCCAGATCGATGGTGAGATTGACTTCGTTGTACTTCATCCCTCTTGACAACGGAGGACTTTGCCACCAAGTTTCCATTCCATCGACTGCAAATCTGGGTGGGTGCATTTGAATGGGATCTCGTGAATCGCAATAGTCGCAAAACTGCAAAAGGGTGTCTTTTGTATTCAAAATTTGCACTTTGGTGCTCATCTTTGCAAAGGATTTAGGGGTTGCAACTTGCAGGTTTTATTTACAAGAGGAAGGTGTGAAATTAGGTATAACAATGCGTTTGGTTGGCGCAATAAAAGAAATCCAAAAATTTGTTACCTGTCCTTGTATAACGTTCGCATTTTGTTCATGTTGAGCATTCGCTCCCACCAATTTGCAATATAATTCGGGTCCGCCAAAATCCTCGCCACAAGTTGCCGACGCGGTTATATTTTTTCCCGCGGCAAGATTAAAATAAGGGGGTGTTAATATTTGCGTCCGCACTAGCGGTAATAAAAGAGCTACCGCGAGGGTAGCTCCTAGTTCAACGTTCAACATCTTTTCACTAACTGGATGATTTTAGATTTAAAGAATCGAAGGAAACTTAAGTGATAACGCAGGCCTGTACTGATAAGGCTCAAAATTGAATTTTAATAAAGAAACGCTTGCGTAATGAAAGCGTTTGTAGAGGCTGAAGTTAACGTGGTCTTTTTTGTACAAGCGAGAATTGACATTTCGTTGTTTTTGCGATTTTTTTGCTTTAATAAGTTTAAAATAAATAACTCCAAATACGGATCTGTATCATAGTTAACCCCCTCCCGAGAAAATTAAAGCGTGCAAGCCGTTTGCGAGCGAATCCGCCTTTTCATATGCATTTCCTGGAAGGAGCTCTTCTTTCTTTTTAATGCTGCCATAACAAATTTAAGTGTGATCGTAAACTAAATATTTAATTCTACTGACCCAGCGCAGCACTTTTAACGTCTATACACGGATTTCCAACTCAGCATCTTCAAATTCACATAGACACATGGATTGTCCAATTACAATTAAATCAATTTGCATATATTACAAGCTGCAGGCGTAACAAAAGCAAACTGTTAAATTTGAGCTCGAGAGGACCATCGTTTACGTTAAAATTCCCTCGTTAAATTTTTCATTCCTTAGTGCGATGCTTGCCCGAGTAGCATTTCCCGAAATTTAGCTCTACATAAGGATTTTCTTTATATTTTTCAAGACATTTAAAATTGAAGCCGCAAAGACACTTTTATTTATATCCTTATAGGTAGGGTGACCATATGTACTTTTTTTAGTAAGACAGTACTTTCTTTTCAAACGCAGTCTATTGTCCTTTACGATTTATCAAGTACACCTAAATGTACTCTTTTTCTTAATTGCACAAAATTAAGTCATACTTTTTGTCCAAACTAAATATAATTATGACTTCTTGTATGTCTTTGGTCATTAATGATTTGGCGTTTTGTTTATTTGGATTTTGATCCATTGTAATCGATGAAATGTGCCAGTTCTTAAAGATTAAACTCATTAAACCACAACTTCTGAACGAAATTCTTGGTTCCAAAAAGTACGACTTGTGCCAAAATGATGATCAAAATGTTCAGGCAGGAACGTCTGAGGAAAATTAACTTTTAAAATTTATATATACATATACAGATATACTGTTTCATTAAAGATTCGTAAAATTGTGACCAGAAAAATTTCCTAGAGTATTAGCAGTGTATTCCCTAAATGTCCTTTTTTTTGTTGAAAAATTATGGTCACCCTACTTATAGGTAACATGTTTGTACGATCATTGTAGAAACCTAGAAACCCATATGTTTCAAAATGAAGGAAAAATACTATAGTTCAATAGTTTATTACCCCATATGTTGGTAAATTGTTTTTGGGACAAAATTATGGCCCAAATGCCTTTTTACTACCTAGTATACAGATATGCAGGAATTAAACTATTAATTTCAAAAATTGTACAAAGAAAATGCCTTCCAACAATGTCACCTGCTGTTGAAGCTGTTCGGCTTCAGAGGAAAGTAAGGAATTCCTATGAACTCTGTGAGGAATCGGGAGGAATTCTTGAGTATTGCGAGGAACTCAAGAGAACTCCAAAGATTTTCCGTGAACTCCGAGGATCAACTTTGTTCCGACAAATATACCTTTATTCTCTTACCTTTGTAAAGTTATGACTTTTAGCAAAATAGGTATCTAAACAAATTCGATAATGTTTTGTGTTTAGTGTAATGTTTACAAAAGTAAAGATATTGTTGCAAAGCACAAATATCGTGGTTTCCGCTAATCCAAATATCCAAGCCCGAACCCGGATTCGAACCACGGAACCTGCGCCACACGGGGACATTTTAATAGATTCCATGTGGGAAGATGATCGTCAAAACGTCAGTCAAAGCAAGCATCCAACATTGAGTAAGAATTCAGGTTTGTATAAGAAGAAAAAAAAGCAGGGGTTGCCAATCTTTTTCTAGGTGGGACTGAAGAAAAAGAAAGAGGCCACTAGAATATTATCCAAAATAAGTACCTAGACATTTTGTTATGTGTTAGTTTGCTTTTGGGAAAAAGTTGTTATTTAGGACAGATACTTAAAATAAAGTCAGTTGTATTTGATAACTGTATAGAGATTTTCCCTGTAAAACGGGTAGTTTTTCAAGGGTTTGACATGTTTTGGTAACCGTGACAGGATGTGAATTGTGATTATCTAAATACTCGCTGTACAAATAGATCATAAACAGCGTAAAAACTGTTGGCACGTATCCTAGATGTGTAGTTTTCGAAGCTCGCAAGAAAATTTTCTGTAAGATGACGAGGAGGTGATTGAAACCAAGAAAAAGCACAGAAAAGTACTTCGTTCATGTATATCAAAGTCTCCTAATGAATTATACATTTTCCTACAAAAAAATCAATAATACCATTGTATATAGGTACCTACATCTTGTAATACATTAGCGAGTGAAGATTGGAAAGTTGTTGGGACTTGTAGAGGAGGTGGGATCGGTCTCATGTGTTAGTCGAGTAGGTTTGAAGATGTCTCCAGGTAAATGCAAATTTAAGTTACCTCTTGTGGTAGCTGGATGTATTACCTATAGGTATCGAGGGCACCTTTCATCGTAGGTCAAAAGATGAACTTGTATTTAATTGTTGGTAGCAGATACGAAGGACACCCTCCATTACCTACAAATTATAAAATTGATCATCATAAAGAAGGAAAATTTCCGAAGCTTGCGTTTGTCTTATATTAGTCAGTGTATTTTTTCATCAGCCAGCATCTTGTATTTTAATAGAAGATATGGTGTAGTCGATACAAAGATCAAAACTATTTTTGGACTGAATTACATCAGAATCCCAATTTCCAAACCTACTAAGCAGAGCTGGGTAAAGCCCTCTTGAAAAGAGCTTGAAGCACTAAGCACCGAGCACTTTGTTTTGATAAAAGTGCTTGCAAGCCCTATAAGCACTTTTATGTGATGAAAGAGAGGAAAGTAATTGAAAATACAAAGCACCAAGCCCTTGGAAAGTGCTTGAAGAAAGTGCTTGAAGCCATTAAAAGTGCTTGAATCACAGTAATTGACAATATAAATATAAACAATATAAAGCACCTTTCATATTACTGGAAACCAGGGTTTCTAGTCTATAACTTTTGATTGAGACGTCTGATCGAAAAAGTACGAATTGATTTGGATTCTACGCACCCAAATTAATAAGAAAGTCTTTTCCCGAGAAATTTTGGTGTAGTCGATTTTTGGTAAAAAAAGGAAGGCTATACACTGCCTTTTTTTCAGCCCCGAAAAAAAAATTGTCTCAGATCGACCCGGAAAAAATATTTTCTTATAGAATGTGGCCTGTAGAATCGATAACTTCAAACAGTTCCAAGATTGCGCTACTAGTTCAAAAGTTACAGCCCTTTGAATTTTTTTTCCAAATTGGTTTCTAGTCTATAACTTTAGATTGAGAATTCTGATCGAAAAAGTACGAATTGATTTGGATTCTACGCACCCAAATTAATAAGAAAAAGAGTTTTCCCGAGAAATTTTGGTGTAGTCGATTTTTGGTAAAAATGGAAGGTTATACACTGCCTTTTTTTGAGCCCCGAAAAAAAAATTGTCTCAGATCGACCCGGAAAAAAAATTTTCTTATAGAATGTGGCCTGTAGAATCCATAATTTCAAACAGTTCCAAGATTGGGCTACTAGTTCAAAAGTTACAGCCCTTTGAATTTTCTTTCGAAATTGGTTTCTAGTCTATAACTTTTGATTGAGAAGTCTGATCGAAAAAGTACGAATTGTTTTGGATTCTACGCACCAAAATTAATAAGAAAAAGTGTTTTCCCGAGAAATTTTGGTGCAGTCGATTTTTGGTAAAAAAGGAAGGTTATACACTGCCTTTTTTTGAGGCCCGAGAAAAAAATTGTCTCAGATCGACCCGGAAAAAAAATTTTCTTATAGAATGTGGCCTGTAGAATCCATAATTTCAAACAGTTCCAAGATTGGGCTACTAGTTCAAAAGTTACAGCCCTTTGAATTTTTTTTCGAAATTGGTTTCTAGTCTATAACTTTTGATTGAGAAGTCTGATCGAAAAAGTACGAATTGATTTGGATTCTACGCACCCAAATTAATAAGAAAAAGTGTTTTCCCGAGAAATTTTGGTGTAGTCGATTTTTGGTAAAAAAGGAAGGCTAGATGAGTGCTTGAAGCTCTTTAGAAGTTGTATGAAAGTGCTTCAAGCAGTTCAATAGGGCTTGAAGCTCCAAGCACTTTTTAAAGGTAATTGAAGCACTTTTTCCTGAATTAGAAAAGTAATTGAAGCACAGAGCTCTAAGCACTAAAAGTAATTCTAGTCCTTTAGCAAGCACTTTTTTTCAAAGCACTACCCAGCTTTGCTACTACGTGAATGATTCGTAGCAATATTTAATATTCTCAGTTAAAAGTAGTTTTTGTTGTTCTTTTTGGAGAGATTGTAAGGATTTGTTCTTTTATCTCACTGTTTAATCGTAATTAATGTAATTCCGTTTTAATAAGCTTGTGGTGGAACATATGGTAGCTGAAATCGGTGTATTGATTTTGCTGACATCCTGCTCTATTGATTCTACTGATAATATTGTGGTGTAATGTGTGGCAGCTACCATATATGTTCCACCACAAACTTTTTTAAATTAACGTCGCTGTTGTGTGGAAGTTGCACAAACTTTCCAAAACACATTGGAGTACCTATAAAATTTTGAGTTAGTTTTTTTTTCTAAATTTTGGTTACAAATAATTTCTAATCATGAATCATATGAATGTCCTATTTATGACCCATTTTTAATTGAGCTAGCTAACAAGTAAAAGTAGACACAACAAGGTAGGTCCCCAAACGTACTACAACACAACACGAAGAATTTCACCAATAGAACCACGAACCCAAAGTTCCTATTTTATTTCCTACAATTGTAGTTACCGTGAGTGTTACAATGTTTGGAGTAGATCGTAGGTACTACATCCAATACCTTTGTTTGCTTATGTTTGACTTTGTTTACCAAAGTCCACAAACCACCCTTTAAGTGCGCATAAATGTATGTCCTGTACTCGCTTCAAAAATTATAATTTTTCTTAGAAAACTCATCTATGTGTAGGTAACATAATCCATGTGAGAGCAGCAATGTTTGTAGTACCTAGGTACTTCAAATATTCTTGTTTCCCTTTGATATTGTTTACCTATTGTAATGTGTAAATGTCGAGTTGGCTATAGGCTTATATTTCATATTTTGTAAAGAAACAATTAGAACAATTTACTAATTTCCATAGGGGATAAGACCATAGGTGGGTCTGAGCCCCACCTGGCCTCCTACTGACTACGAGCCAGGTATTACTTTTAGAAGAAAAGTCGGAGAAAGCGAGTGCCGATAGATTGAAATCCACAAATAAATGGGGAGTTGCTTTCACTAAAGGAAACGACGGGAAGAACGCGAAGAATCGTGATCCACAGAATCCGACGATTCATGACCTTAATCTACCCAATGAAGATAACAAAATTTTAAGACATAATATGTAAGTAGAAGATAAAGAAGGTGACTGGGTTTTACAGGTGGGAGGGAATGTTACAGAAGCAGACAGTAAAGGTACTTTATTGGAGAGATCGAAGAATTAAACAAAGAAAGGAATGAAATCGTCAAGGATGTTAGTTCTAAAAAATGATTCCAAATGAAGTCTAGGTACCTAAAATTTTAGTCTTTTCAATTATTGGAAGCTATAAAGCACACTTGCGCCCGGTTTAGGTCTATTAGGCCAAGATCCATTTGTTTTAGACTTTTAGAGAATGTTCCAATTTTAAAATGAATGCCATAGGAACGTGATGAGTAATGCAATATTAACAAGTTGATCTTTGTTTCCACTATGCACCCAAAAATGATAGTAAGTGGTATTGCTGTGTAAACAACGTCATGCAGGCGTTTTGTTCGGGCTCTGTAGTCGGTACCCGTACCTATAACAATACATGGGTCACCCTGTATGTGGAAAATCAATTTTTGAGTGTAAATTTGCTGGTTTTTAATTAAACACGTTCGGTCCTTTTATTTAAATTTGCCCTCATGTTTAGTTTAGAAATAAAGATCAAATTCTAAATTTGTTAATAGGTGCTGTTTAAGCTGTATTTTGCATATTATATTGTCTGATCTAATAGTTTGATGTGGCACATTTAAAAGGAATTGTACGTATGTCTCATGTATCCTATTTAAACCATCCGAAAGTAAGGTAGGTAAGTACCTATACCTACATAATGTGCCACGTTTACAGATCAAGCATATGCCCCAAATGTCACTTTGGAAAACTATGGGGCTCAAGATTGTTCTGCTCCACTGAGCGTAGAAAAAGCTCGTTACGGCATTAGGAGCCTCGATAATTGTCCTTGGCAAAAAATTTAGCGTTTAAAGAGACTTTCAATTACATTTTAAAAAAGTAATTAAAATGGTGGGTTTATACACTCATAATCATAGTTCACTATCATTAGAACATTAAAAAATAGCCAATAGAAATAAAGGTCCGGTTTCGTTATTAGCGACGCGTAATAAAACTGGTTTCTATTGGCTATTTCTTAATGTTCTAATGATAGTGAACTGATAATGATTGTATAAACCCACCATTCTCCCAAATTGCATAATTTTTAGTGAAATTGTATATCTTGTTATTACATCACGTAATAACTCCGTCGAAAGCATAAAGTGCCTCAGAGTACCATCCTAATTGATGGACACCCTATATTTAAACATCAAAAGAAGCGCCAAACGAAATTATTGGCGCAGATAATTAAGAGGTTATGATTCAAGGCCAAACCACTAGAGCCAGCCAAATAAATACCTATCTGGGATAAACTTGGAATGTTTTCCAGATGATTATAATGTCAATCAACAGGTTTAGCTTTTAACATGATTTTAAAGGAGGAATTTAGTTATGTACAGCTCTTCTCCGATTTTTTAAGTATTATCACGATCTCCCTATGTTTCGTTTTGAAAATACCGCAGATAATCAATATATTAAAAGTGAAAAATGCCACCGGAATGAACACTGTTGGACTTCTTATGGAGCTCTCTAGGTAGGTAAACTAATGCCTATTTTTTTTAAATAGTCGATGTTCACATTTCAGTTATACGATTATGATGTCTTACAACTACCGGAACGGCTACGCCATACTAACATACTTAGAATACCCCATAATTTTAGTTCAGGAGCTGATTTTAATTTTATGCGTCTTATACTACAACAAACAATTGGGGTTGGCAAGTGTATTCGGGGCAGGCCTGTATTTCTCAGCCTTGTTTGGGTTTTTATCCGGAATTATCCCTAGGGAATTACTCACATTTTTAGTGGTAGGTATTTGTACGAGTACGGTAAGAGAGTAACCATCTCTCAATTTCAGCCATTCTGCACTCCGGTCGGAGCTTCCTCAAAAGTTGTTCAATTGTTGACAATATTAAAGTCGAAAAATTCAGAGTGCATCAGTGTTCTTACGTGGTTTATTTCGGCATTTACCAACTTAAGTATGTGCAACCACCTTTTGTCATATGTCTTTATATATTATAATGTTTTAGCTCGAGTTTTTACAATATTTGTGGATTCGGCGGATGTTACACTGTTGTTGAACTTTATTGTTAATGTTTCCTTAAGCAGTTCGATAATGATAGCTGCCTATTACTATAAACCGGCCAAAGAAGTATCCAAAATGAAGAAAGCAGATTAAAATTAATTACATTAACTAATGTTATACTACAGACAACAAATAGTTCAAATAATTCTCATTTTAGTCATTGTGCTGCCTTCTGCAGCATAAATTTATTCTATCGCTCAATTGTTAAATCGTTTCCTCCAAATTTAAGTGAATAGTACACTTCATATTGTATATATTGATATTTTAATATATTTTATGTTAAATTTGGCATTTTTAATTATTTTATTTAAACTACTGAGTTACTACTACTTAATAATCCTTCAATGGCAGATTATCAATAAGTTATACATTAGCTAGGCTATAGCAATGACCTAAAATTTTTGCATTTGCATATGACTCAGTTTACAACATTCGTCTTTAAATCCCTATATTTTCAAAACTGTTCGCTTATCACAAGTGCATACACTTATTAAAACAATTAATTTTGAATTTGTGTTAGTTAATGTCAAAATCAAACTTTTCTACGCATGAATGACATTTTCTCGGCAGCCTTTCACCATCCTAAAATTGTCTAGGCCCCTTCCAGCGCCCTCTAGACCCACTTCAATGCAAAGGAAAGTATATAAAAAAAACTCTAGCTATAAAGCTTTGAAGGGGTTTTTAAAAACATTCTCAAAACTTCCCCTGAAGGTCTTTTAGACGCCTCTTTCACAGCTTTTTAGGCGTGAAAACGAAAAAATTGGATTTGGCATATACTTATACCATTATGGAATTTGGTTCCACATTTCAAGAAAGATATTGACAGTAAAATGCGAATTCCTCTCAATGGCCCTGTCTAGGCCACAAATAACCCCAAAGAACTTAAAAAATTAATAATTTGTGAAGGTGCATTTCATGGAAAGGATCAAGACCCAAAGGTGCATATTTCCTGTCAATAGGTTTAGCCTTTTGCATTTTTTTAAATACTTTGGAAATAGGTAACACAGCTTCGAGAAGGAAAAAGTGAATAACAAAATTTTTAAAACAATTAGAAACAAAACATCAAACGTAGGTAGTGAACAAAAGATCCAAAGAACTCGGAATTTGCATGTGACAAGATGAAATCAGTTTGGATTTTGTCAGGGGCGTATCGTGGGTAAATGGCGCCTATGGCAAACGCCTATCTTGCGCCCCTCTCCGACCGTCCATCGACAGGGGGTCGCAACTTTTTTTTTTATTTAACAAAAGTGTTACTCATAAATAATAATGTCCCACTCTCAATGTCTTTTAATATATATGTGTATCTATAAAAGCGCCTTTTTCGCGCCCTCCTTGATTGGCGCCCATAGCACGTGCCATACCCTAGTTACGAATCTGGATTTGTTATACATACGGGGTTTGATCAATGGAAAAAGTGAATTTTGAATTTTCTCGGATTACGTACATATTCGATTTATGATTTCTGTGTCTAACATCTGTTTTTTTTTGAGTTTAAAAGGATCAAAGAATGTGTATTAAAAAATTTGCTGTGGTTAGCGATTCTGCCCTTTTACATCTAAGAATATGTGTACCAAATTTGGCTCCAAACGGTTCAGCTGTTTAGCCGGAAATGAGAGTGCAAGTGGTATCTGTGCTAGCCACAGGAAATATTTACGAATGTTTTGGGTATGCAACGGTGTGGTAGCGAAGATTGTTCAGAAATTGTTAAATTTTGAGCAAAAACAACGTCGCATAAATATCCCTCAGGAGCTGATGAATGACGTCAATATATCAATGAGTCATAACTGGTGAAGAAACATGGGTGTATGGATATGACATCGAAACCGGAAATCTGTCATCCCAAAGAAAGACGCGAGTTGAGCCAAGACCCAAAATAGCAGCTCAAGTTCAGTGAAATATGTGAAGGTTTTACTCACTGTTTTCTTCAATTACGATGGTCTGTTGCATAGAGTTCTTGCCGTATGGTCAATAAGGAATATCACCTTGAAGTTATGCGCCGTTTCAGTGAGTCAATACGTCCGGATCCCATCACACGTTTCATTGCTTATTCCTGGTTTTTTGTCAAAAACAACACAGTATCCATAACCATGCCTTAGCCGCCGCCGCATTCATCAGATTTGGCCCACTGCGATTTTTTCCTGTTTCCAAAACTAAAGAGACCGATGAGAGGATGTCGTTTTGTCACGATTGACGAAAGACCGCATCGCTGGAGTAGCTAAACGCCATACTGAAAATTGCGTATCACAAGTGCTTCGAGGATTGGAAAAAGCGCTTCCACAAGTGTATATTATCAGAGGTGGATTACTTTGTAGGGGACGAAATAGATATTCATGATGAAATAAATATTTTTTAAGAAAAATAAAAATTCACCTTTTGCATTGATCAAACCTTGTATATCAAGATGACCAATTTCCTATTAAAAATGGATCAACTCAATTTGTATAACAAAATATTCAGGATGTGCCTTACAAATTTTGAATAGAACACAACATCAAAATCAACAGGCTACACACAATACTGGTAGAAAAGTGATCTATAATAGATTCATAAAGGGTCCCCACCACCAAAAAAGGGGCAATGAAAAATTGATTTGTTTTGGAAAATTTGTAGACCCCAGTCTTTCTGCTGTATGGCAATGCAACCTTGTGCAGTAGTGCTAGAATGTGGCTAATTACGAAGGTATGTAGCGTTGTTGAAATAAGACATTCACTGTATAGTTTACTGAAGGAGAAATCGCGCATGTGCGTAGGGGACACTATATTGCACAAATTCACACAACAATCACTAAGTACTTAAATAAGTTAGTTTAGCGTTTGTTGACACGTTAGACCTTACCTATGAATTCCAAGGGCAAGAATGGATCCGTCTCAAATATTGAGATACTATTGATGAATTTGGGATGCACCATGAACAGTTAAGGTATTACATGCCAACACACGTGAACGTAGCTCCTCAGTCCTAACTGCACTTCTTGGTATGGTGAAACCTGGTTAGTAAATTCCTCATTTAAAGATCATAATTTTAATAACAGAATTATGTTTAATGATTACAAATGAAGGTAAGTTTTGTGCCACCTTTTCTTCTTACCCTATCAACACAGATGGAAAACTCTCCTTCAATTTGTCACTACATGGTAAGTCTCCATGAAGTAAAAAGATAATTGTTACACAAAATTTGGATTGATACTTGTCCTTTTGTTTAGTTAAAACTTCCACAAGGCATCTGACATTAAGACAATTAAATCCCCACAGAAATAGCTACGCACATATTAAAAAAAACAATTGTTACTCTATAAACTTTTAACTCCATTACGTACTACAGCAAACTAGAAATACATCACATAAAGTAAGACCCATACAAAGAAAGGATTATAATTAATTATCATTATCACAAGCCCATATATATATCTCACACACGCACAAGATTACGATACTAAACAGATGTTAATAAGACAGTGGAACGCAAGTGCATTAAGCATTATTTCTGCACTAAAGCAATTTCTAATGTCACTTTACTTAAGATTGAAATGCTTCATACACTGCGACGTAAGTGCATTATAGTAAAAGTAAATATATAACCTTTAACAAAGTAATAGTTCTATTGTCAAAATATACCAACAGACTTAAATCATTTTTTTGTTTCTAAACGATTATTGTAAGAGTTCAGAAATAACACGCGGAATATCGTCATTATAACGCGCCAATAAGGTGGCGTTCAAGTCACGATCCCAGAAACCCATATCGTACAAAGTCCTCAGTGCTTTTTCACGAGGAGAGTTTGAATCGGTTCCAATCCAATGGCCGTTCAGCCATTTTCCCTGCAAAATGAAATCTTATTACTGCTTTTTTAAATGGTAGCTGGCGGCGTACCTGTTCCGGTCTCGTGAACATATTTAAAACGGATCGGGCAGTGTTTATTGCGGACGATGCGACGTTAACGGCGCCAGAGACTAAGGTGTCGGGCAGCATGTGAAGACCGTTAGGCTCAGGTGGGGGAGGAGCTGACGCAACGTTACAATGAGGGGACTCGGTTCGGTACTGGCGATGGGCTTCGCCACTATCCGACTTGGGAGTGTTTGCATACTGTTGGCAGTACTGGCCGCCGCATTTGGAGTGGTTGAAATCGGGAGTGGGGTGAGTCAAAAAGAAGGCCGGCTGGGAGTAGCTGTGTGGGGAGCATTGGGATACATGGCTCCCAATGCATGGGGACACGACAACATTATCCGGTAGATAGAAACTTTGATTGGGCGAAAATGGGACCTGATTGCTTGTGTAGCTCTCATTGCGTTGCAAATTTACGCTTTCCGGCAGGGAATGCGGGTGAGTGGGGGGGTAGACGACTTCGAAGCCAGGCCTGTTTAGGGGAAACACAAACAGGCGCGACTTGTTTTCGAGAGCCGACTGCGACATGGCCTCAGAAATCGAGTTTGTCATCGTAGAGCAGAATGTGGCGTTATCTGTTGTTGATGTACAGTTTGGTAGAAAGGACTGTGCAAACACTGGTGGAATTGGGTTGTCGTGAGAAGCAGCATCGTCACTTAATAATGGTGGAGGTATTGGTATGCCATTTGTCGTCGGTTCTGGGGCGTCCTCAGCATTTTCTAAGTAATCGGTACGTAATAAAGATTTTGGTACAGGAATCTTTTGTCCATTATAATGGATGTACGCGTACTTGGATTTGTGTTCATTTAAATCTGTAGTACCCTCCATGCTGTTATTATTATTATCATCCTCGGTTTTTACGGTCACATTCTCTGCGTCTACGATTTTTTCCACTTTAATGTCACTAAGAGCTATGCAGAGATTTTGAGAGTTCATATCTTCAATGGCCTCAGCTTCTGGGAAGCGAACAACAACAAATTCGTCGCTCGGGGCAGAATTTACCGAAGAAGTACTCCCCGCAATAGAAATAATGCTTTGAGTCTCAGATGGGCAACCAATAAGACTATCGCCTTGATTTTGGGTTTCTGACGGGCATCCTACAAGACTGTCGCCCTGACTTTCCGTTTTCAAATTCTCTACATTCTCGTGTACATTTAGCAGAATATCATTATCAATTTTTCCGTTGGGCAAAGATGCTGCCGGATAAAACTTCATGGGCAATAAATAATCGTCTAAACTTGTTGACTCTTTCGGTTCAGTGAGTACATTCATTGGTGTTTGGTCAACTGTAAAATGACAACCGACCCAACGACCTAAACGACGACCCTCGTGATGGAAGTACCAATAGCATTCATACTGTCCAGGCTTCTCTGTAAAGGATTAAAACAATATACATTAAATCTGTATTATTATCTATTACTAACAATATGATGCAGCAATTAAGTGTTCAGGAAACAAATGAAGGATGTATGGTGACAATTTTGACAGAATGAGGAGGTAGGTGTCCTGAATAACATGTAGATGGGCGAAGGGTGAGTAAAGAGAAGGGAAGGGTTACATCTTAGGCGAGTAGGTTAAAAACTATGCTTCTATAAAACCAAAAGTAAATCAGAAATGTGAATGATTAAAGCACATTTTTGATAGGTATTACAGATCAGTATTTTATTAGCAAATAGTGCAGGCGCTAGATGGATTTAAGTGTGCAAAAACCGAGGACCGCATTCTGCCAATTGATCCCAGTTTAGAAAAGCTTGTAGATTAATAATTCGGATGTTGCCGGAACACCTCTTGGTCCAATTTTGTGTTATACCTCCTCCTCTTGCGCCGACAGTAAGTTGCCTGAGTGCACGTTATATTTCTATCCTGATGATAATTTTGTGACAATTATTGTTTTTTTTTTAATGATTAACCATAATTAAAGGTTGGCAAATGAATTAAAACAGAAATTATGAATAAAGAATTCATAAATTAAATAGGTACACGAGAAAAATCAATAATCTTCTAAAAAATGCAAATTTATCGATATGAGAAAATGTGAAAAGAAGGTCGACATTGTCCTGGTTAGATATCATATCAAGCACATCATATATTTTCAAAAGAAATTGCAATAACAGTTATTTACACGTCAATAAAAATAATATATAAACATAACACACTCACAAGTAATTAGAAGGAAGACGAATATATAGCACCAACAAATATGATAATATAACTTTAAAATATAAAATTTGGACGCAGAAGGATGTTTCAAGAAATTTTCAAAACGGGAACTCACTCTCGAAATTGAAAATAACCACAAACACGCGACAGAGAACATGAGGGCATTTTAAATTTGAATACTACAAAAATTAATATTGTTAATGGAATGGCACTTGTTCATTGAATTCAATTAAAAAAAGTTCAACACCTTTGGCGATTTTCTGAGGCATTCTTAAAAAAAATCTGTAACCTTTTCTTGCAGCTAAATATAATAAGACGAATTGATGATATTTCGATAAAAACTTTAGGGTCAACTTTACGTAGTAAAGATCAAAAGATTAAACATTTTGTAATTTCAAATGATCGCACAAAAATGCCAAAAATTGTAATAATTTCTTTTCAAACCCTGAAAATAAATTAGATACAGCTCGTTCGAATGCTCTGTACTTAGATATACACAAGTACAAGAAGATCGCGATCTATATATCTGTGGAGGATTTGATGATCCAACGAAATGTTTCAAGGCTCTTCATAATTTGAAGTACCTGACATAAATTCGAACCATTTAGAAGCCAATTCAGGGATGTTTTATTATTTTATAACATATTTCACGCAGTAAAAACCCAATCTGCTCACATCATAACCCTTAGCCCGATACAGATGGTTTCATCCTAGGAATCTATTTCTGGAAGAAGCTAGCTCGTCTAAACCTCTCGCCAGGAAAGATTGCCGGTCACAGAAGACCTGATCCCGGTCTACAAGCTGTGTTTTTCTAAAGATGTGACCGACTTCCGGGATAGGATCGTGCCAATGTTGAACGCAAAGTCTTTTCGTTCAATATTGCCACGATTCTATTCCGAAAGTCGCTCGCATCTTAAAAAAAGCATAGATTGTAAATTGACACAAGGTGTGCTGTGACCGGCAATCTTTCCTGGCGAGAGTTATAGGTTGTTTAGGTGTATGGTTTGAATGATTTTGACTAATATAAGAGGAAATACATTTCAGGATGTCATTTGGCTGCTCAATCCCTTGGCGAAAACATTTGTCGTATTTTGCCATCATTACACTCTGTGATTCAACAGTAGCAGATTGGGTTCGAAATAGTTTACAAGCTGCATCGTTGAATTTTGTACAGAAAGCTCTTTTACTTTTTTGATAACTTATGTTAACATTTGCTTTTTCGTATTAAATAATTTTTTTTGTCAACAGTTCTTGTTTTTATTTCAATTATTTTATATTGTTGTAACAATTGACTAACTATGATCTTTAAACATTAGAAGCAATTGGAGATTGTCATTATGTCCTATACCTACCACGGTCCATGGAATAAAAATATTATTATTATTATTATTAAAATAGTTCCAAAGCATAATTTGTTCAGTCTATTTACTTGATATCTAAAGAGGTGGGGTATAAAAAATAATTGGACCAACAAAGCTGCTGGCACTATCCAGAATTATATTCTGCAAGCTTTTCAGAGTTCAAAACTATTTACAGAATGCGGTCCTCATATTTTGCACACTCAAGTCTATCTAGCGCCCGGTCTAAAAGCAAGTTTTCCCGTGACAGTAAATTTTCTTGCCACAGTATTTGTTTACTTCCCCTTATTGAAATTTTTTTCTTAAATTATCGATCTAATGTGTACCCTAACTCCAAATAGACTATGCATCTACACTAAACACTACAGCAGAGTTTTTATTAAAAATTTACTCTATAGCAATTGTAATTGGTGAGATGTCAGCCAGATAGCCAGCCAGCCAGTCATAACGAATATAATAAAATACAAAAAAAAACTTAAAAGAAAAAAAAAGCAAATTCTGAACAGTGTGTTGCAATACAAATTTAAAGAGACAAGGATCTAACCATATAAATTAAGATAGGAAATCTGTCGTCATATGGAAGTTGCTGTAGCCTATAAGCTTCTATTCCCATCGACCGGTTCATCAACAAGGAGACAACTAAGCCAACATGCTTCACTTGCCAGTTTCTTCTCAGAGTCCAAGACATTAGCATCATTTATTGCTATACAATCTCTATTGCGGTCATTTTCTCAAGATATTCTAATAGATTGATGTATTTTTGAGAAAATTAAACAATATTCATTTTAACAAGGCAACGATAGAAAGCGTAGGGAAGCTTTGACCTTCACTGTGATTCGTTAAAACAGGAGTCAGTATTACGCCGCTGAACAAAAACGAGGGACGAATTTTAGCAACTTGGCCAACTAAAATGTTGATTGCTGAACTGTCATTAGCTGTCAATGTCAAACATCAAACCGTGAAATCGATTGGTTTATTTCTGTTTGAAGTGCTGGATACTACTTTTTTGAACGTTTTATCAGTTCTTATCAGAGTTTATCATTTTCTATTAATTACACTGCGCGTATTAGGTATAATTTCTTTAATTTTGTAAACCCACCATTAGACAATATTCAATAAATTTTGCGCTAGTTAAAAAGTTCCACAAATTGATAAAAGTTCCTGGCCAGTAACAATATTAAAGCAATCCCCCACGCGAGTACACCATTTTGTTGAATCCAACAGTTTCCAACTTTTGTTTTTTGTGTGCCGTATATCGTTGAATTCGTAATAAAAAATTCTTCTTAATAAATATACAGTGTGTACTTTTTTATGTGCTATAAAAAAATAAAGTTGCTGCTAAGGGTCATTTATTCGCTATTATCGTTGTTATGCAGTCCTTATTGACTCTGTTAATTTTTCAAAGAGTAAAAGGGACTCATGTTTAAATACCAGTGACGCCAAGAAAAAAAACGCTTTTTGTCAGTCTCGAGGCTGAACCGCTATTTTGTCATTTAGAAAATTTTGTTTCGTCGGATAAAGCGTTAGAGCCCAAGGTTTGCCGGTTCGTTTGTTGAGTCTGGAAGAGTTAAAGGAGTATTGAATTTTGAATAAGTGAAAAACCGAAGGAGAATTTGTAAACTTGTAGAAGTGTTTCTAATTTAAATACCTACCTACCTATCTTCATCCATTTATTTGACGTATTAGAATTAACATAATTTGAAATGCAATTTAAATTGGTTCACAAATCGACGGAACGCTAATCAGCGCATGCGTTGAGGTCTGGGTCCGTAGGTGACGTCACTACAAATATTCTGTGATCGTGCAATCCTATATTATATAGCACCCTTGGAAAAGTGTTACTTTTTTCACGATTTTTACTATGCCTATGACTTTCTATGAACAATACCATTAATTTTTGAGTGACAGTAAATCGCGAATGTCAATGGGTGCGTTCACCAGACGAAGCGCTTCATAAGCTCTACCTAAAGGCGGGAATGCTTTAGGAAGATTTCTCGCGCGAGTTGCTTTCTGATAACACTGTTGAGGTGTAAATACCACCTGCATCGACTTGCGGTGGTATGTACTAAAGTCACTAAATATAGAAAGTACCGCAATCCATTGGGCTGGTGTGTTAGAGGGAGAACGCACGATTTTTGCCCAAAAATGGCGGAAGTTACCAGATTCTAGTAACTTTAATGTTAGGGATTGTTGCACCTGTTTGGACAATTTGTGTTACTCCGTATGGAATGAACAGAAATTATTATTCAGGTAAGTTGCTAAACGAAATATATCGATTTGTTGTCATAACCTCTAAAGCAGACTACTCGTTACTGGATCCTTTACAAGCACTTGTATTTGTTCAAACTACCTGTACAAGCTTAAATATGACCTGCACACTACGTGATACGTAAGTACGGTAAGTGTTTATCGTGAAAAAACACAATTAGTTTGTATTTCATGTATTCTAGCAGGGACATGTCAAGTCGATTTTCTGAAGGAACCTTCCGACTTATGCCCAGGAGTTCACGGTATGGAAATTTGAAGTCTACGGTGCTCCCCTCTTTAAAAGCTTCGTACCTAGATCCACTGGAGTAGCAACTGGCTTAAAGTGTGCCGTTCCGAATCACACCTGGTCGTTGATAAACCATCGCTGTTGCAGAGCGATTTACTGTCCTTTTGCCGAAATTAAGAGCTCAAGCGTGTGCTTCACCTCAACCACTTTCGACAGAAGTTTACCAATTTCGAAGATCTCGATGGAAAACACATTATAATGCAGTTACCAATTTACAGCATTCCAAATTTGAAAGTCAAATAAAAATGTTATTATCCATTTTTGTAAATAAATAAAATATATGTACAATTGTAAGCTGCCTAAATATCTTTCTTCTGTATTAAAACCACCAAGGCGAAACACAGGAGAGAGGAAAAATACCATTTTTCAAGAGAAACAAGACGTCATTAAAACTTGAATCGGCCCACCAATTGACTTTCGAACCACGTTGCCAAACTTTTCAGCATGGCTTGTAATTATAGACGGCTGTGACAGTACTATGAAGTTAGGTTATAAAAAATGACAGCTATTCAGATTTTATTTGTCAATTTTTTTAAATTGGCAGCAAATTTGTCCAAAAATGGCGGATGATTGCGGTACTTTCTATATCTAGTGACTTTTTAGTATGTACAACTCGACAGCGCTATCAAAAAGCAACTCGCGCGAAAAACCTTGCTAGAGTATTCCCGCCTTTAGGTAGCGCTCATGAAGCGCTTCGTCTGGTGAACACACCCATTGATATTCAATTATAGATTATTAAGGATGACTATGCAACAAAATTTCTCGTACAACACAATGTCGAATGAAAGTGTCTTTTTTTCATATATTTTTCACCCTCATCAATCAAATTTGGTGCGTTTTACATTTTTCCTGCGTGTGCTGCTTATCTTCAAAAACAGCGCCACCTACTATCATCTAATAATGAATGCAGTTTTGGATCAAGATTATTGCTTCTTTGTGAACTGCTAGATTATCTGTAGGTAGTAGTCTGGATCCACTTCATGTGATAGAGAAGAAAATCACCCCAATATAGAATGATGCTTATTATGAGACCGAGGAGTTGGTTTATATGTCATCAGTTCTGCTAGTTTGCTGTGGTTTGACTAAATCTGAATGTGAGAAATACCTACCTGAATTTCAATTTTCTTATTGCTTTCACACCACATAATACAAGGAACTTTAAGAACGTTCTATCTCGACCCCAGCCATAAAACTTTCGGTTATGTTATTCAGGACGCCAACTGTGTCAATATGAAAGGCAAATTGGCTTACACCAATGGAAAAAATATAAAGGGAGTCATTTCTATACAAGTTTAAACAAGTTGTAAATCAGCATATGCATGATGAAAGCGCATTTTTGGAAAGCTTTTAGTGAAAATCTGAAGTCTCTAGCTATTGTAATTCCTGAGATCCAGCCAGACAGCCATAACGATATAATAGCGTATTTTTTTCCCAAAAATGCGCTAAAAAAGTTTATTACGATCAATTAATTTGCATAAACAAAATATATGAGATACCATTGTGTAAAACCTTTATTAAGTAGCACAAGTAATGCGAGTAGCCACTTTATAAAAAACGCTATCCGAGAAATTCGTGTGCATGTTCAATCATTTCAAGATTCAAAAGTAATGAAGAAACTACCATTTTTTTACTACCCCCTACTATATGCCATTGCACATTATATTGTGGGGATCAACCAATTCTTTTCAATACATACCTATCCATAATTTACTAGTGGTTGACCCCTCACATGAAGCTAATAACACCACTACGTTCAATAGGGTTAGACGACACAATGTTAGTGCACCAACATACCACTACTCATACTCACTCGGCATCTCCAAATATACAGAAATCGTTCCCTTTTCCTGTGGTTTGAGTTTTGGACATGGAACAATCTTAGCAACAGGCTTTAACTGCTCAGAACCCCAAGCATAGCGCAACTCGGTCTAAAAAAAAACGTAACAGTAATTACAATCAATCAACCATTCGCAATTACATCTGAGTCCCACTCCACTTCGCCGCTATTAATGATCTCCCACTCCTGCTGGTACACCTCGCCGCCCCACATGTGCTGCACCGAAATTTCGTGTTTTCCAACGATCGTGACGTTAACAAGCCGATCGATATCGTCAGGATCCGCAAAACTAGGCACCACTTGCCACGCGACCTGATTGCAGTTCTGCAGCAGGGCCATTTTCTTTTCCTTTATTTTCATAGTTTTCTGCTCCAACTTGTCCAATTTGGAGTCGATTTTCTTCTCCAACTTTATGGATCTGACCAACTCCTTGCTACAATAACCTCCACAGGTCATCGAAATGAGAGTTAAATCAAGACTTACTCGTTCATGTCACAGAACGAATTGCGACGTGCACGTCGGGACGACTCGAACTTAGCCTTCCGAGTGGTGCAACTGTTTAGTTTGAGGGCCGAAACTGCGTTCACGACCGACTCTGTGACTTCATCCATAATTTCCTTTTTGAACTGAAAATCAAAGTCAACCATTGACAATCGTACATGTTGAGTTAACTAGAGAATAAAATTATTATTATTAGGGCAGTGTAGAACAGTTAAACTGTTAACGTCTCCAGAATCAGTGTCTCTGTTCAGGGAACATCCTCAACGTCAACATTAGGATGTTATCTACCAGATAAGTTTTAATTAGAGAAAAAAAACCACCCCTAAATGTTTTAACCATTAAACACACTACTCAATTTTTCACACAATGAAACAGTAAACAAAGCTAAGTATTGATATTTTTTAAATGAGCACCATTCATTAAAGCATCTGTCCAACATGTAACTCAATTTGCAACAATTGTGACACTGAAAAAATACTTCCGACTTGAAATCACTAAACATGAAGACACAGGGAAATGTAAAGGACACTAATGAAAATGAACTTCTATTTGCTAGAAGTTCTTATATTAATTTGGTAACCCTTAGTTTCAAAATGTTGACTTACAGACATAAAAGCTCTCTCCTTGCTATGTAATACAGAAGCTGATGCTGAAATCCTTTTAGAAACCTGTATATCTGGACCAGATGATTGAAATCTTAAGGAAATAGATTATATGCCAAGATCTTCAATACTAACAACTTTTTCAAAGAAAGAGGAATCTACCCATGGGAATACACGTGCAACTCATTTGGAATCACTTAGAATTATTTGGCATTGTTTTAACATTCCAGAATTACAGAATAATATAGTATTTCTTAGTATTAGAAACCAGTGTCAAACATTGTCCTTTACTGTAATGAAAATTACATTTGTCAAATTAGCACACTATTTTTGAAAAATTATTGAGATTTCTTAATAGTTCTATTTGCACAGTTCTAGATGAATTTTTGTAAAGCTTTGGAAGTTATCAAGGTTCAAGAAATGAGGCACAACACCTCATTTTTAAAACTTAATTTGTAAGCGGCCGACGCGTCCGCATGCATGCGAAAATAGACACTTCTCCATTTTTATTTTTTTTCACAAAAATGCCTATCCCAGTGGTCCAGAGTTGGACATTAGGTTATTTGCAGGTGTAAGATTGTCTTCTCAAATCTTTTTGAAAAGGCAAAATGCTGCGAAGGAATAACGCGTCTTCTATTTACGAATATGCGACGGGACACCCTGTATGTAAGAATATTTCATTTTATTAAGTGTAAATCTGGGGGATTATTTACAAATAAACATTTCATGTCATTTGAATTTGTATTTCAGTATTTGTTTTTCCATTTAGAATTGTTCGTAATTGTGTACTATTTTTTTTTTGGTTAAAAGTCTATCATCTATCATTGAAGCTTGAATGCGCTTAATTGGGTAAGCATTGTTAATGACTGACGTTTTAATAAGTTGAAATGAACGTTATCAAAAAGGGTCCGATAACTGCAGCCCGAGTAATGAATTAAAAATTTTGTTGAAGTGACCGCCGTCATCTGCTGGTACCTACTGAACCCTGGAGCTACCGTTTCACCGGTTGACTTTACACCAGAGGCTACCGAGACCAACCCCCAGGTCATTGTTACCGCTGACCTCGACCAAGCGTGTGATTTTCGCTTGATGGCGCCCGAGTCCGTCCGTTCCTGCCGTCGACTACCGTTATCGAGTTGTATTACTTCCACTTGTTTATTTATTTATATTTATTTCAATTAAATTATTCTTCCGTTAATGTTCTTTAATTTTCTAAAGCTCACTGATTGTGCGCGAGCCCCAAAGTTCGTCGCATTCAATCAAATGTCAAGGTTTTTCTCAGTCGTGCTCTTTTTATCATAGTTGCTTTTATGAGAATACGACACCTTTTAGCTTTGCTTACATTAACGCACAACAACTAAATTTCCGGGCTTTCACAATCTTCATAATATACGTTCCTTCCCTACTGTACTTCAGGCCATAGTGTTGTTTACCACAAACATAAGGGGGCCCTGTCACGTGCCACTTTGCGATTTCAAATTTAGGCATGTTTTTCATTCTTTTCCCTGATTAAATTTATGTACCTATCACAATTTCACAACACATATTTTTTGTATAAGTACCTAATTACATATTACATAATACTTTTGAAATTTTTGAACAGATTGTCAAGAATGTTTATAAAATGACATCAGCTGCTTTAGTTACCATGGATGAAATAAACAAAACAAAACATCCTTGAAAATCCATGGCATACTATTTAAAAACCGTAAAAAAAAGGGTTTTTATATTTGGTCCATGAGTAAAATTTAAAAAAATATAGGTTGTGATAACCAATGTAATCAGAAAAAAGAATGCAAACAATTCACGTTAAGATATAAAAAGTGTTGCATTTAAAAAATACCAACTTATGGTCAAATCTCAGAAAAATGATCAACATTTTTTTTACTACGCCACGGGATTGTATGTAAAAATGTCTTAAACAGTTAGTTTTTACCTGTTTTCTATCTTACATGGGTAGTAAGATATGATAACATCCCAAAGAGTCAAACTTTTCGTTTGCACCCTGTACCTCAAACACAAACGTAGCTAGATTGGATTTTGTTTGTGGCATTAAGTTTCACAAACAAGTGGCATAGGGTCGTGAAACCCGCAAGTCTCTATCTTGAAAAACAGCTGAGATATACTGCAGCCTCAACCAAAATAGGTCATATGGTACAATGCTCGATGTCCCAACCGAAATTGTTTTCAGATTTATTGCAACTTAAAATTTAAAAAAATCCTAGTAAAAAGCAGAAAGGGATGTTTTTGATATGTTGTTCTTAAATAAACAGTTCATTACCTCCTTCATATACTTTTTGAACCATTCAGGTGGCTCACTCTCAACGCTGACGTTAAAATCGGGCATCAATACTGTTTTGTTTTCGTTCCGACGCAACCGTTTAGCTCCATTTTGTGGAGGGTGGGAAACACAATCAAGTTTTAAGGTTATGATACCCCCTTGGCGAGCTCGCTCGCGGAACGAGTATAGCGCGATTTGGAAATCCAATTGGGATTCGATTGGAAATTCCTTATCGTCAATGCTGACATAGGATACTTTAACGTCGTCACCGCCCGCTCCCGAGTTCTTCAACTGCAAAAAACGAATTACAATGGCAACTGACAAAATCAACAGAATTACCAAGTAAGATTTGAAAGTTTCCCAATTTAAGGTCGTCGCGGGAATGTCGCACATCGCCACAATGTTTGCTTTGTCATTAACATGACCTGGATTATTCTTCCACTGGAGATTGTATATAATCTCCAGGTCTTTCTTAACGCACCCCATTCCGATGAATTGCTCTATTCGCCTTTGCGTTACGGAACGTTTATTTTTCAATTTCGCACGTTCACTGGCGTAAAATAAAAACAATAATAAACAATAACAACGCACCCAAAACACAATACAGATGATACTACGCACATGCGCAATGTGACTTACCTATAATTGCGTAGTTAGAAAAACTCGTTTTTAAGATTATTATTTGGGCATATTCGCATGCTCAAATCAATTACAATTAATCGTTAATACATAATTGAGGTTTGCACTGGAATTTATCAGATAGAATTCCGCTAAACACTATTGTAGCAGAGTAAATGTAACAATAACAAACGTCATATGTGGAACATAAAATTAATGACGATCGAATTAGCGTTAAGTAGAGCCATCTATAGGAGTAACACGTACTCTCATATTGAAAATACCCACTTATTATACATAGATGGCGCTACTTCTAAATGTACAGGGTGGTCACAAAAGACCTGGCAATATGTAGACCACATGATATGAAACAAAATGAGCTCACGTCTAATCTGTAGCCCCAAATGTTGCGGTAACCTTTGAACACTTTCCGTAATTTTGTATCGTAGCAATATATGTTTAATAAATCCGACATTTACGAGCAAAAAGCTAGGTCAAATCAATTAATTAAAAAAATGTTCAGTAAATGGTAGTACACGGTTATGGAACTGAAAATCGGTAATGAATAACCGTATAAGTACAATTAAGTATTTAATAGCAAATTAAATCAAAATTTTGCATATTAGCAATATTGTAGAGCATCTTTTGAGGTATAAAACAGCATAAATAAATGATAAGCAAGCGCTTTGTGGGTTATTTTATATATGATGGATGAATGATACCGTAAAATGACTTTTCCTAAAACAATATCAATGGTATGACCTGAATAGAAAAATATTACTTATATTGTATAGCGATATACATTCTTTCTCGGGAATATTCCTATAGAAGTTTCTAAAAATATTATTAAAAAAATTCTAAAAGATTTGTATATCTAAGGCTCGAAGAATGTTTCAGTGAGTATAGGATATTTGCAAGATTTACAGGAAGATCTCTGTGAAATTGTAGCGAGGTTCTCACGTAGAAATACATAAGAATACTAAAATTTCGCCACGTTCTGATTATTCTAATGTCTTCTATTTAAAAAGAAAATCATGTAACATAAATTTAATTACCTGATTTACTTATTTACAACACTTCGCAACGATGTTATAGTACTGACTGAAACACAATACGATTTGTTTATATAACAAACGCCCCTCTTTCTCGTACGAACGCTCCCGAGTATTCTAGAATGTTCTCGAACAAACACGTCTTATTTTCCGGAAAGACTGCGGTACATCCGCTTTCGTTTCTTATCACCGATGAATAATCCTTTTTGGCCCCTCGATGTCTATCGGGCTTTCTAGAATAATCGCTACAATAAATTACCGTGTTGGCCAACTTGCGACTACCGAGATTTTCGGCACACTTGCGCCTAAGAAAAATATCAACAATATTAATGATGTTATTTGTCCTTATGACTAATGTTCAGTTTCCCGAAGACATATTGCAAATGGGAGATGCATTAACCTTTATTTTCACCGATGATGCTAAAGGCCACAGGTAAAGAGGCATTATCAAATGCCAGAATTTTAATGGATGGAACATATAAAAGCTGCAGTAAGGAATTTGTGGATGGAAAAGTCAAATAACCAGCCCTTAATGATTTCGAATGTTATGTGTTGTTATGAGAGTAATAGTTAATAAATAACAGATACTGAAAATATCATGTTGCTTTTTCCCAACGCAATCTACAGAACTGATTACAGATGTAACTAGTCGTAATAATAGTCCGAGAGCTGGGAGACATTTTTGGGTAGGTATTTGAGGCACGCTGAAAACTTGTCCAACACTTCTCCAATAAATCCCCAAACACAGAAATGCAGACCTGGCCTGGCAAGGTCTTAGCCCCGCTTCTCCTCAGCCAGGTCTGCATTTCTGTGTTTGATGGGTATAATTGCGGAGAAGTGGTGGACAAGTTTTCAGCGTGCCTCAAATACTTACCCAAAAATGTCTGCCAGCTCTCCTACTAATAAATAAAGTTTCTTGGGGAAGGTTTCGTGTCAACTTAATTCATCCCACCCCATTTTGAGAAGAAAATTACGCCGATGGATATTTTAGAAGACTAGAATACACTTCCTTGGTATGGAGCCCTATATACTTCTATTACATTTCCATTATTGAAAGAGTACAAAAGAAGTTTTTAAAATATCTGTCCTTCCAGATCCGATGGTGAGTACCCACTAAGGAGATGCGACTATCCAGCTTTGTTGCAAAGATTTGGGAGCACTTCTCTTGAGAGCCGTCGCAATCAGGCGGCAGTGGTGTTTTTAGATGTTATTCGTAGGAAAAGTGGACTGCCCCGATTTAATTTCTTTTATGCCCGTTTGCACCGACAAATTTAAGCGGAGCTTAACTTAAGTGTAGCTTAAAATCCATCGCAACGATTATTGAGACAATGGTTGTCATGGAGCCCCGCTTAAATTTGTCGGTGCAAACAGCCATTAGTACCGAGGCAATCTTCCAGACAACAATGCAAAAGAGTTCAAACAAATCTTATCTTAAAATTACCAGTGAATGTTATGTGTAGCAACTTCAACAAAATATCTAATAGTTGTGATCTCTTTAACTCCATCATTTCCGAAATCTTAGACGCTATTCATACTCAAATATAATCATTTAAGGCCATATAATATTCCATAATTTTTTTTAAATTTCATATTTCATTATTAAGTAATCTATTTTCGTTATTTTGTAATCTATTTGATCTGTAAATGGTGTTATGCTGTCGGACAATATACACTATTATTACATATTATTATTATTATTATTGACGACTATCAAAGACTTTTAAAACCTATTCAGTCAAAGCTCCTAAGTTGTCTTAAAGACTCTTTAATCTTCTTAAAGCTCTCAAAATCTCTCTTCCTTAACCAATCGCATTCTATACCTTACTGACCTGTAGTTGTTTAGTCGCCTCTTACGACACGCAGTGCTATCTGCGGTAGGGGTATTCTTTCCCGCCCCTACACGGGTAAGCAGACCAAAAATGTCAACATAATAATATTTTCCTATTATTTAATACTATCGTCAAATAATGACTCACTGATCATAGTTTTTAGGGCATTTTTGCACACTTTTGCTCACACTAGCCGACTGGCTGGCTGACCGTCAGCAAATGGGGGCCCGTAGAAGAAAGACGAGGAGTGTACATTTACCTACCGGGGCCGTGTAATTAACAACGTTTAAGGGCGGGCTACATATGACGCGCTGTCTCCGAGGGTATTATACCAACGTGGTTATTTTTCAGTTTTTTCAAATATTTTTCTATAGTTTTGGTCCCATTGTTTTCAAATTGGTGTCGTCGAAAAGATCTTGTAAACGCGCACAACTCTTGTGTGACGGAATTTTGTTTTTTCCCTAGAACCGGAATTAACCGCCTTTTGCAAGACGCGCGCGTCGGGGCGCCCAAATGTTCTATTCTATTCTATTCGCAGGGGAGCCCAACCGGGCAGCACTTAGGCACACCAGAGGCCCATTGTGCCTACCCCCTTTCTTCGCAACTGAGTTCAGAGCCCGTTCCTCTCAATGAAGGATAGGACCCTGTTTAGCCTAAGTTGCATGGCCCTCCTCGGTTCCAGGTATCTGTCTCCAAGGAGTTGATATCTGTCCCTGATCAAAGCGTCACAGTGACAGACCACATGCTCGGTAGTTTCATCTGCCTCGCCACAGAACCTGCTCGTTGACTCCTCCGCGAACCCAATGTTATGCAGGTGACCATCCAGTGTCCCGTAAGGACAACGGTGATCTTCCAAATGTTTCTTATGAGCGGTTTTTCTTTCTCGTGTCGGTAATAGAAGCTCGAGCTATGAGAGGTGCCCCAAAAATTGAGTACTATTTTGTGGACGGTTTCATCACACAAAAGTAGGCTGAAGTCCCTTCAATCTCACACGAGGACTTTGATAATTTTCACATTCATGTCTTTCAAAGCTGTCCTGCATATTTAGGGGTTCAATTTTGATTTCCGTCATCCTTAGCTGACATATATAAGTGATACTTTGGCAAATTGGATCCTATACCAATTATTTCTATCCAAATTTTCAAATTTGTATGATGACTTCCCTAGTTATTTTATTGTACACACTTTGCTGTGAAAATGGGAGTAATAGACAAGTAGGTACTATATTGCCAAAGAATGGGCGGTTTAAGGCTACTAACTTCAAGAAGTAGTTATACGAGGATGCAGCAACAAAAATATAAACAAGCTTAGATAAAAATACCTTTAGATACAGAGTAAAAATACGCCGGCGAGCTATATAATCACCTAGAGGTATCATACCTGCTTTACACTCATACGCCTGTGATTCTCATACTCGCCAAATATACTTGCAAAAAAAAATTCATAAAAACCGGTCGAGCCGTTTCGGAGGAGTGCGACCACCAACCGCCACACGAGATTTTTATACAGAAGAAGATTAGGAGTTGCTGATGAAAGAGTAAAAATTGTTTTCAGAATTTTCATACAATTGGATCTGGGATGTACTATACATAAAACGTAAATGGGAGTTTTACTGCTCATGAAGAAACTGCGTGTTCACTCAGTGGAAATAATTTATTTTCTATTTATTAATATTAATATAATAATCGTAATAATACCGGATAATTATTTACACATTATACAATTATGTACAACGGAGCTGCGCTAATACTGCATGCCAAATCGATCTCTCTACGTATTCAGTCCTTTTTCGTCTGTTGTTGTGAAAGCAACATTGCTAATACCCTTCAATTTTTCTGAATCTCTCCTTCCATTATTGTTGTCGTTAGCCGATTGCGTATCGTCGACGTCTTCCTTCTTCACGTACTCATATCTCATTGCCATTAACGAAAAGACGATCATGTCGGCGAACATGAGACCGGCGTATAAAAAGAAGGTCTTAGACTAAAAAGTGGAGATTGTTATATAACATCCGGGTCAACTGCAAACTTACTTGATCGTGGAAGGGTTCCGCGGACTCGATGATGACGACGATGAGATTACCAAAAGCGGTGGTCAACAGCCAGCAGGCTTGCAACACTGATTTCATACTGGTAGGTGACTGTGAGTAGGCAAATTCAAGACCTGTGATTGAAAACATGATTTCGCCCATTGTCATTACAATGTACTGTGGCAGGAGTAGGAAAATGCTGAGCGAATTTGGCGACGTCACGGTGTGCAGTGATATTTTCTGCAAAACTTTCGTTACAACTGGTCATAGTCTGATGGACACTTACAAATTCATTATCACTTTGGTGGCCAACCATGGCGTAAACGCCGCCCAGTTTGAGATCAGCGGTATACGTGTATTTGTCCCCAAATTTAAATGTGTAGTTGTCCGGTCGCAAGCCGAACATGCTCGAGTTGGAGGAATCGATGCGCATTTGCTCAACTCCGTCGGAGTTTACGATTTTTATTTCCACGGGATTCGGTGCGCCTAGGAGGAGACGAAGTTTGGGGTTGCCATTTTTGTTTTTGTCTACGTTGTCTTCCAGTTCGTAAGCGGGGTGTTCGGTTTGGTTGAATAGGTAAGCCGTTGATCGCTTTTCGGTTACGATGAACTTCCCCTCTGTGCTGCCACAGCCGGACGCGGTGTAGGCAAACGTACGCCTTTGGAGGACTTCGATATCGATGTTGGTGTAGTTATTTCCAGGGGGGATGACGATGTTGCCTTCTGCAAGTTCTTTGGCCGCGATTGTAATATCACAAGGAAGAGCGTTGTAAATGCGTAGTTGCCCGTTTGTAGCGTGCGGGAGTATGGGGAAGGTACTTTCGAGGAACAGACAGATGACGGCGGAAATTATGAAGGAGATACCCGCCAAGCAGCCCCCGGCGACAAGACGTTGTAAGGGGGTTGTCAATATCTTGCATTTGTTTAAGATGGGATAGATAACGTATTGGAACAGAGGAATGAAGGCTAGGATGAGTAGAGGGTTAATGACTTGCATTTGGTCAGGGAGAATTGTGAATCCGGCTATGTCACCGTTCATACGACGAGCCATGAAGGTCCAACCTGATCCTTGCTGATCAAATAACGCCCAAAAGACAGGAAGAGGTATAAATAAAACCAGTACTTTCATTAAACGTTTTACGTCTGTTACTAATTTCGACCCATAAGCTTCCTCGGCGTAGTCCAGCCAGCTGGCTTTGCTCACACCCTTCGTTTTCAGTTTTGTGCTGATTGCATTCTGAAAGTCACATTTTTAGTTAGGCTTCAGTTCACAACTATCAACGTACCCCAATGCATTTGCTGACTTGAACCATCATGTTCCCTTCTGGTTTTTTAACTTTGTACAGGGGCCTACCGACTCCGAAAATAACTGCAATTAAAACGTAAGCAAACACAATTTTATGGTTTTAATCAACTTACTTATGGAGATCACCATCAGTACTCCGGGAATTCCAAACGCAAGCGAATAACAGCTATCCTTTCCAAAGCACTTGACATCCTCGCGAAGAATTGGCGTAATGAACGTTGATAGCAGACTCCCCGCGTTGATCGAGAAGTAGAAGAGTGAGAAGAACGTGGCCAGCTGTGCTGCTTGTTGCGGTAACGTGAATTGATCGCCACCAAAAGCGGATACACACGGCTTGATTCCACCAGTCCCTATAGCTATCAGAAGCAATCCGACCAGCGATATCGGTCGCATGGGGAAATTAAGCGGAGGCGTTGCGGCTAACGCCAGCACGATGTTACCCAACGCGTAAATGCACGACACATACAAAATAGTCCTAAACTTTCCCAGCCAACTGTCAGATATGATCGCTCCAAACACTGGGAAGAAGTAGACCATCATCGTAAAAACGTGAAAGATGACGGTCGCGTCACTTTCCGAATATAACAAGATGTCGACGAGATACAGACTGAGAATAGCTGGAATGAGAGGCAAATTAGATTTATTTTGAATTAGAAGGAACTAGGACACTTACTCCGCATCCCGTAAAAACTGAAACGCTCGCAGAACTCATTGCTGACAATGAAGAATACCGACTTTGGGTATGGCAGTTTCTGAAAAAAAAAGATTGATGTTAAAATTGGCAAGTGAATAAAGGAGGACGGATTTTTTCGCCTACAATAAATTCTTGCAATGACAAACTTGAATTGTTCGCAAGATAAATTTATGCAAATTAGTTTTTTGAGTTATTAAGGTCTTTTCACCACAGAATTCCTATGCAGTGGAGGTGACATTCTGTAATGAACGATCACTCTTTAACGTCAACGATCGTTATTAATCTTGAAATAGAGATCTTTACAACCCATTGCATTAAATTGTGTATGCTAATTATCGTACTCGATTGGCGCCTCCAGTATCAGCCGATAACGAAGAATATACAATAATACAATGGTTCATGAACTTGAGATTCATCAGTCTAACTACTCAAGCACCTAAAACGCACTGGGGCCAAACGCATCATCCAGAAGTTACATAAGGGCATCTAATTTGATTCGTTCTGCAAAGGTCGAGAGACCTTGTCACTAGTGCACGAACAGTTTTCACACAGCATTGTTCTCAAATCTATTGTTTGTTTAATAGGAGCAGAATACCATATACATTGAACGATAGTTAATCCAAAAAACACGCGCCAAAGTCCCGTATCTCGCATTCCTCTTTTTGCGCGTTGGGACCGGAAACTCCAAATTGTAAAGCAATAAAAACTTGTGGCTCGTCCGGTTTTAACTGGACGTGATAATTTTTTAGCGCAAAATTAACGTTTCAACAAAAGTTTCAGAGTTTGCAGGCGCAAACCTTGATACCACGATAAGGGCAATCTACGCCGTTACCTTTATCACTCAAAAACGCCCTTGGAAAAAGTGCAATCTTGAAATAATTGATAAACTATAATCTTCCAGGTGTTGCCACTTTCGAGTTTTTTATCGTCGCGATTTCTTCTAATGAAACGCAATTAAAGGGAATCCACCGAAGGGGGGCACTTTCCGAATTAAACGAATTAAAATGCAAAAAAAATTCTGGTATTGAAAAATAAGTTAGATAAAGGAAATGCATCGAATAAAAATATTTATAAATTTAAAATGTGAAAGTGATTTAGTATGTCAAAGTTGTTTAGAATTGGAGGTCATCAACATGAATTAATAAATATTGTATAATATAAAGTAGAGATATTTTTAACAAATGCAAATGATCTATCCTTGAAGCTACTACTAAACTAATTACCTGCATCTTTGGCAAGGGCAGCTTCATGTTTGTCCTGGGGGGTTGAAATCCGTAAAAAATACACAAATTAAATTAAATAAAGCTAATATCACAACACGATTTGGTTCATTATATTAACTTGCATTAAGTACACATAGTCGTAAAAAAGTTAAAAAAATGTTTAAATAATTCTCGCGCTTAAAGTTATAATTTCTGGACCGAGTACGTTAACAACAGTAAGGCGATAACGTTACTGAAGTCGACTATATACAATTCCATTGTGAGCTCTACGTATCTTACGCTTTCTAAAACGTTTCAGTGGGACAGATCAGTTTTTGATCGGGTATCGTGACAGGTGAATGATGAAACATTGTTTTTAAGTTGCTACTGCTGTGCATATTTCGGTGTACACCAGACGCTTTTTGCTGGAGTTTCCATCTTTGGGTCGATCGACTATTGACATTCTTCGGTTTTATACTCTCGAGGAACCAGTGTATGATAATTATTGTTAAATAAACTGCATCGAAATGTTAATTAGAAACGACTCCGTCAAAGAATGCGCATTTTCAAGTTGTTTACTGCATTTTTAAAAGATTCTAACGTGCGCATACCTACATTCCAAATTTCCAACGTTCATAGGAATCCAAAAAGTTTATTTTGGTTAAAATTGTTTTGAAGGGGTTCCACACGCCCTTTGGCTTATTACCACAGTTAGAAAGCAGTGTATATCATATACATATTTTATTATATTTCCTTGTTTGGTGTAGAACAAAAACATTGCTAGTACCATTGACTTTAACACGCTTAAAGTACCTACACCTGGACACCCACGACATCTTTTCACCCTGTAATGATTTATAACGGAAAATTGAAAAATAAACGCTGAACTGGAACTAAACCAAAATTGATAGTGGTTATTTTTTTAATTCTTGTTATATCAGTATTTTTTTAATCGAGGTACTATCGCGTCGGTTTTTCACCGCCAACGCGAAAAACCCAAGTAGGTAATCGGTATAGCCAGATTATACAAGTAGCACAAAGTGCAAAAAATACACTCTTTCAGTTTCGTAAGTCGAAAACGAACACTAAACTAACTCGGAAAAGCCATAAAACGGTTCTTCTTGGAACACAACATCTAAAATTACTTAACTGTATTTCCATATAATATCCGCATCTTCATTAAGTACCTAGAGCCAATTTTGGGCACAAATTTAAAAGCAAGAATTTCAACTGAATCAAATGTTCTCTAAGAGCTCGAAGTAGATCTATTTCGCTTTTGTGTTCATCCTCTCAAATTAAAAAAAACTAATACTTATCTTCAAAGGATTGCGTTCCAATAATACATATAATTAAAGTGATACAAAATTATGTTTATATTTTATACTAGATTTTCCCCCGCGCCTAATCTAAACATCGATCGGTAATTACACAAAATAGCATAGTGCGACATCAACGAAAAAAGAATTTTTTAGAAAATGTTATAATCCGAGCGGGTTCAATTGTGAATCTAACCCATCCGGGGATACACAAAGACACATAAAAAAATTTCATCAAAATCCGTCCAAATTATTGAAATAAACGGAATATAGATTAAAAGGTTTGTTTACGAAGTATGACTTTTGAGCCTACTCACCCTACAAACCTTCACTTAAACGGAATATACCTCAGAATATACCCTATACATTTACACAGATTGAGAAAATTGGCTAGACTTTATTTAACCGCTTTTTATCTCGTACCAACATGTTATTTATTGTATATTTTTAACCAACCGATCCTTTTAGTAAGTAGTCCTTAGACCTTAGTACACATTGTTTATAATTTATATTTTTTTGTTAGTTTTTCCCCTGAAGATGACTGAAACGTCGAAACTAGTCGTCTTTTTATACGATTATATATAACTATTATTAAATTTCAAGGTATAATCCGTTTATTTCAAAAATTAAATTAAATTCTACAATTTCACGGTGTCGCAAGTCAAAATTACTGGCGAGTTTTATATTAAATTTTACCCAAAATCGTCATGAAACTTTATTTTCATGCCTACTTTACGCCAGGAAATTTTAGTTACCATGACAGAGGCTGACCAGACTACTTTTACTGCCGCCTGTCATTTTACCGGCCGCAACTGTCACTTTAACGGCCACACCTGCCACTTTTCCGGCCGCACGTGTGTCAGATTGATAAATGTCTATAATGACTCCTGCCATTTCTGACAAATTGACATTAATCAAAAGTTCTGTACGAAATTTTAGATTAAAATACGATTTCGGATAATAGCGATTTAGGCACATAAAAATCAGGAAAATGACACATTATTGGCGAGGAATAATTTCCCGAGTCAGGTAATGTCATTTTACTGACCTGTTTTGTATTACATTTTACCCGAAATCGTATTCTAATATAAAATTTCAATTTTTATATAGAACTTTTGATTAATGTCAATCTGTCAGGTGTCAATGATGACAGGAGTCATTATAGACATCAGCAATGTCACAGGTGCGACCGGTAAAGTGACAGGTGCGGCCAGTAAAGTGGCATGCGGCAGGAAACGTAGTCTGCTCTGCCTCTGTCATGGAAACTAAAATTTCCTGACAGAAAGTAGGAATGAAAATAAAGGTTTCAAGACGATTATGGATAAAATTTAATACAAAACTCGTCAGTAAAATGACACTAGTTGACTGGGAAATTTAAGCACTGTGTCATTTCCCTAACTTTTATATAAATAACTATTACATGATCGTAGTTCAGGGTTCGTATATAACGCTATATAGGTACCAGGGAAATCATTTGTTTTTGCATTGTGAGACACCATAAACTACCTACTCTAAAACACAAAAGTATGGTTCAAGCGAAGATGAACCCGTGGAGGAAGATTGAACATTCATTTCTTATTAGATTACATTTACAATATCGAAGAGATTATAGTGAAGAATAAGAGTTTCCTCAAGATACGCACCGAACGGAAAATAGATATCAAGAGCGAGAGCAAAGTACCTACTATGCGATCAAAAATCAGAGTAACCTTTGTGATTTTTGTTTGCATGGGAAATGGTACTTGACTTAAACTTCTAAAAGCGACTCGACCGCCACAAATTTTTGATTGTATAAAGAGCCATGCTAAAGGGACAAACTTTGCTTATAAGGGTACACATTTTTAATAAATGAGTAGGTACAGAATTATGGCACAAAATGAACCTCTATGTGTAATAGGGTTGTGGGTTTAATTGGAGCCTGCTTCTAATGGCTGAACAGTAATGGAACCAAATTTGGTGCTGGTGGTCCAAATCAGTACAAAATGAGCGAGTACAAAATTATGAGAAAAAGATTTCTAGTACTGTCATTTATTATAAGTTCGCTCGTTAGACTGAAATTTAATTTCATTAAATTTAACCATTTGCATGGAAGATGGTGTTTTTTCTTGGGGACCTTTATTATTACTACGATTGCGGAAATTTTTTCCTATTTTAACAGTTATACTTGAAACAAGTTTTATTGCGACCACCTCTCTCCTCACAAATTCAAATCTGTGGTTTAATTACTAACTAATTTTTATGGCATATTGTGATAGATTCGTGCCAATTACCTTACCAGATGCAATCAATTACACAATATTACATAAGTGAAGCCTGAAGGACATCGGGTATTGCTAAAGCAATTGCAAAATTGACTTATGGCATTGTTTTCTGTAAAATAATTTAATTTTTATTTACTACGTTGTATCCAAATAATCACTGTAAGCTGTTTTTCTTAATTGATGTTGGTCGGAATTGTTTATGTAGTCTAAGGAAATATAAATTATTTTGTGGGGATTTATTTCCACGGAAAGTGCATAAACGGATATAAAGAGTTAAAATTTCCAATTCTTTAAATATAAGAAAGCATTTTGCAGAAGAAATAATAGAAATGTGGATTCATTTGAATTAATCCCAAAATTTTCTGTTTGCGTTGCCACTAGCCCTAAACTAATAGCCCATAAGTAAAAATGTATTGTATACACTGTGTCTAAAATAAGGATGTCTGTCATAAAGATCTCCGAAACAATAAAAGACAGGACGGTGGTCAAATTAGAGAAAACATGTGCAATTAAAGAGTCATTATCATGCTTTAAAGAAAACCAGAAAGAGATGCCAAAAGAACCGAAATTTCGTTTTTATTTTTTCTGATGTTATTTAAACAGATACAAGAAATTAAAAAAACACTTTCTCATTGCCACTTTTTGAGAGATTTTCCGTTCCGTTTCGAAGAAATCATTATCAACTTTATTTTCTTATATGGCCCGTAAAAAATACACGTTGTATTGAGTACCATTTTTTATAACGATATACCTACGGCTCATTAAAAAAAACAAAAATTGGGAACTGTCGGTTTCAACAGGATGGTACACCCGCGCACAATGCCCTAATCGTGCGAGAATACCTATCCCACAAATTTTCCATTTCCCATGATAGTGATCCTTATCTTGGACACAGTGGTATTAGCGATTTCTCTATTATTGGTACCTTCACGGATTCGCTAGCTTCTGGTTTGGCGATATTATCAAGAAAATCGATATTACCCGCAAAAAATGATTACATCTGTAAACTGTTTGATAGAAAATAAAAATATCGCGTTCTTTGGGACCAGGGTTCGTGTGGGACTAGTCCGATCGGCGAGCAGTTGCATTTAAAAATTATAATTCTGTTTTAATTCCAAAATTCCAACGTAGGGGCTGTAAACAGAGAGATGGAGTGAATCTCGTTGAAAGCTTTTCAGAACGCTGTAGATACAGTGCACTCCTCTGGCTCGATTAGGGGGAATTTGTATAACTTTCTCCCCAAAAATTGGATAGATACATAATTCGCTTGATGCAATTTGTAGGCATTTTCTGTACGTTCAAATTGTGATCAAAACATGATTTATAATTTTTTTTTCCGCGCTTTTGTATAGGAAAACATGAAAATTTGCTACTGCAGTCGGAAAACCAAAGAAAATGAGAGCAGGTACTCTTATAGTCACTTTAAAACAACATTTGCTGTTTGTGTCAGCTGGATTTAAGGAACGTTGAATATAGAGCACGATATAAGGAAGAATCGTGTAAATTGTAGCGATTCTAGTAAAGCACGCTATGAAATTGGAACTTGATGATAACAACAATTTCCAGCGCCACCATTTGTTTATTATAATGTATTTATACGAGGAGTGGAAAATGTTAAGAAATTACTCGTCCAATTATTTCTAAAATAAGATCTATTTAATCGTATGCTAATTTAAACTTTACTAACACGT